TTTTTTTTTTTTTTGTTCACTTGGGGGAGGGCGATAGGGCTGTTGCGCTCCCGGGGGGGGAGAAATAGCACTGAAGAAATGTGTAGCTTCTTCTTTGCCGCGGACAAAAGCGAAACGTTTGTGGTGAAGTTCATGGGAGGGATTATGACAATTCTTTTTTTTTTTTTTTTTTTTTTTTTTTTTTTTTCCCTGTTTGTCCTCACTTCCGCTTCGCTGACCCCCCTGTACGATCTACAAATTATCCGCTTTCCATTTTTCAAATTTGGCCTTTTGTCTTTCTATATCTTTCAAAACACCCTCGTACCTCTTCTTGTAATCCGAATATTTTGTCGTCTTCACGTAGTAGTAAATTCCAAGGCTCAAAAGGCAAGATGAAACTAGTATATATTTCCCCGAACCTTTTTTCATAATTTCTTACAGCGGTGGGAGGTGTTAATTCGTTCAGCACGGTTAGTTGTGTGGGGGCCTGACTGCCTATCGGATGTGTTTTGTTCCTAAGTAGATGTGTTTTTATCTGCTTGTTGTAACTTATTCGAAGAGGCAATGTTATGATGTGCTGTACCCATGTGATGGCAGTAGAGGAGAAAGAATGAAAAATGAGCTGTGTAAATTAGGGGGACAAATGAATGGCCTTTTTTTTTTCGAGAGGAGCTTTGCTCTGGCATCAGTAGGAGAACACTAGGAGGTATTCACCGCTGGGTTATTTAATCTTTTATTTTGCCATAACATTGCACGTGATATTTGTGTTACCACATTATATTTTATTTTATTTTTTTTTTTTTTTCAATTTACACTTCGTTTTGAGGCAATTACATATGATGTAATAATTTTGCCCCCCGCTGTGATACGTAAGCGGGGCTGCGGGACCGGTTTGAAACGTCCCCCAAATAAGAAAATGTTGAGAAAAAAAAAAAAAAAAAACCCTCAAAAGGGTTAACCTTTGGTCAACATTATGCACAGAGATAACCAGATCATCATGTGTATAAATAAATATCACCTTTATGTTCTTTGCCATCCCCAGGATATCGAAGGGAACAAATCTGGTACTGTAAATGGGGGACGGGCGCATCTCCTTTTTGCGCCCTTTAGTGTAGCAGCCCCAAAAGAGTTTACAACTTTGTCTGCATTTTCATGCCTTTTTTGGTTCTTACATTTACTGTTACCTGCAAGAATCAGCACAAATAATGATATGGAAGTTGAACCCGTCAACCTTTTTCTGTCAACACATTTTGCATGTTGGGAAGCCATGGCAAATTGTTTAAAATGGGAGAAAAAACTCGAATACAAACTGTTTTTTCTTTTTCTTTCTTAAACCTTAAGGTTACATATTAAGAGGTGTAATAAGTTGCTAATTCTTGCAGGTTCAAAAAAAAAAAAAAAAAAAAAAAAAACTTTAACAAAATAATTAAGTTATACATACGTTACAACATCAAAGGGGTGAGGACTACATGTAGTATAGGGATCAAATAGTAGAATAGTACAACACAGAAAAAAAAAAAAAAAAAATGGAATATACCGAGGGGTACGTCCCTCAACACAGTACAATGGTCAGCATTTTCATTAGGCTACACACGCGGTGTCGTAATATCACGTACGTACAATTTGAAAACATTGGTTAGGCTAAGGTGCGATTAGTTAACATCGCTGGAGTGAAAATGGGCACGCTGCGTACAGGGGAAATGCTTCAGTTAGACGACAGGGCACTAGGGGGGCCCCCTGTTCCGAAGAGTAGCGCTCGCCTCGTCTACAATAAAAACAGAACTCGTCCCTGCTACGCCAACAAAAAGGACGCCACGTCTTGCCCATGGAGATGGGCGACGTGCTGGCTACGGTGCACTTGAAGGGGGGGGGAGGGGTTACAAAATTGGGTAGAAAACTTCAACACCAACTCCACAAAACACGTTGTCTCCCGCCTTGTTTCGACTAAGTCTCATGAATCCGTTTTCTCCCCAATATTTACTCCACGAATTTTTGATAATCCAGTAGTACTGAATACCATCATCGGCCTTTGGCGCAGCTAGCGCTCCCTCTTTCGTGACTCCAGTGGCATCATCATAAATATTATTGTGTTCAAAAATTTTGCTGGTCTGCACTTGGCCATAACCGACCAGAAGAACAGAGTGGTTTAATTCTTCTGTACATGTGCCATTGAATATACCTCCATCGTAAAAGGTGAAATCATCCGTCACACCGACATTGACAGACACTGGACCTACTTCATTTAATGCACGTATCAATTCGTTTTCTTTGACCCCACCAACAGAGGAAAGGTTGATTTTGTTCTTACATCTATAATTCAGACAAAACAAATTATCCTTAGCCATATATTTATAGTCTGCTCCTAAGCATATTCCATTTTCGATGGCATAAATGAATGAATAAAATGGGTGTCCACCATCACAACCGAAATTTAATTTTGAACAATCTACAATTTCTTGTTCACTCAAAGTTAAAATGGTTTTTTCATGTTCCTTGGCATATATGCATTCAACATTTCCTACACTGGCAAATGCCCAGCACGAACCACATAGTCCTTGATCCTTGGGTTCATGTACAATTCCTTTTTCTCTGTAGTCCAATATATCGGGCATATCGTTAATAGGGTTTGCATATTTGTTGCTATCCATTTTTCTACCTTTTTCGTTATGCAAAGAACCGAAAGGCACTACATATTTCTTCTTCAAGTCTTCAGGGATGGGAAGCAATTTTTTAAAATAACTCTGAAAATCTTTCTTAGAATAATCACCAAACTGGTTTATTCTCATTTTGTATATTTGGTTCGTTTCGTTGTGCTTCTTAATTTTGAGATAGTTCATTTTGAAATTTTCATATTTCTCCATCTGCTCAGTGGTGTCTTTATAGCTTCTGTTATACTTCTTCATGAACTTAAAAAATTTCGACGCGTATTTCAGGTTCATGAATAGACCTTCGATATGCTCCACGCTCAACTCTTCGTCGTCGTCATTATCATCGTCGTTGGGGCCGACTCCTCTGTTGTCATTTAATTTGGTCAAGCTCATATGGATATCTTCTTTTCCTTCTTCACCATTACCATTTAGGTCATTTCTTTTTTTTTTATTCTCATTTATTTTTTTTTTCAACAGTTCCTTTAACATTTTTGCTAACTGTTCTCTGTTCTGCTCACTCATGTCGGCCGCAATTTCGTTATACTTCTTCATCAATTTGATGTGCTTTCCGGCGTCTGCAATTTTTATCTTTTCATCTTGTTCATTAGGTATGGCGCCATTTGCTAGTGTTCCCACATCATTACCGGCTACATCTTTATCCCCTTGAGGGTATTTTGAAAAGATTAATTTCAGGGTTTCTATTTCAGCCTTGCTGAGGATATTTCCATCACCAGGGATGAAATAAGGACCTTTCAGGTTGCTGCTCTGGTAATGCCTCCCATCATTTCTCGACATCGTAGTAAAGCATATGTACACTACACCGCACATTACAAATGTTAGAATTGCGTACATGCAGTTCTTCACAATTTTCCTATTGCTCTTTTTGGCGAGCATTTCGTTTCTGTTCAGGGCCTCCAAGCTGGACTTGGTCAGGTTCATAATTCCGATACTTTGCACCATTTTGCGCCGCACGGTGAAAAATTAATAAAAAAAGTTGGTTACGCGGGGGTAAGGAGCATTAAGGGGCTCTCGAAAGGAAAAAAATCTACGGTATACGTATAAGTCACTGCAGCATACACAATAGAGGCAGTTCCTACAATTACAGGCAATGCGTACACTTTTATTGCTTCAACGCCCACAGTGCAAACACAAAACCACGGAGTCAGTCACTCCAATTCACATTCCCACGTGGCCGTTTTTATAAACTAATCCCACGCCGAACAGGACAAAGAGCGCAGGACGATACCGTTATTGGTACGTAAAAAAAGCTGCTCAATAATAAAGAAGGGATTGAGTATGCATGGAGTTAAAAAAAACAAAAATACTATACGGATGAGTGCAACTCAAACGAACACTCTCACTTTCTTATATAAAACTTTATTGTTCTCCTTTTCAAAAAAAAAAAAAAGAAGAAATATAGATAGGAACAGTGAAACTGATGGCACGGACGTTATCGTATGTTTCGCATAACCACCATCATCAATTTGGGAAGGCGTATGTTTCTCATCGAAAATTCCATTCACTACGGATTGTCGTCATGGCTGGAATTCAGTTTTATATGTTACTGCCTTCCTGTTGTAAGAAAGAAATAACAATGAAATGAAAAGAAGTTAAAGGAAAAGAAACGAAAAAAAAAATATAAAAATGAAACAAACATGAAAACAGAAAAAATAATGACCCAAAAACTAACGGGAAATATTAAAAATATGAAATTAAACGCTATTTTGCGAAAAAAAAATGAGAAACAACACGTGCGCAGTGCTGAAAAAAAAAAAAGAAAAAAAAAAAATATATATATATAATATAGTGCTTAAAATTTCTCCCTTTATAAAATAGGATTAATATGGATGCTCCTTCGCTCCTCCCTCCGTAAGAATGTAGTGGCTGCAAGTGTCGACAGGCTGAGCGATATATAAAAAAAAAAAAAAAAAAAAAAAAAAAAAAAAAAAAAAAAAAAAAAAAAAAAAGTCATGTTGAAGACGAACTTTCCCAAAAAGGGCCTCGCGTCGTACTTGTTCAGATTTGCAACATTTCGAGGGAGGAATGAAAATGATCTTTTGTGCACATGTTGAGGAAGCAATCGCCGCGCGGTGTGTGTCTCCCACAAAAAGAGGGCAAACTCACGAGCGCAGATGCTGACATAGCTACTTGCACGTAAGGTTGTACCAACTGTATGCAGGTAAGTCTGTACATTCGTATGCAGCTACGCATGTAGACCGACCAGCACGTCAAACGGGGATCATCTTCACATGCATTTCAGAGTGCATCCCAATGCGCATGTCCAACGTTCATGTTAATCTGCAGGTCGAAAAAAAAAAAAAAAAAAAAAAAAAAAAAAAAAAAAAAAAAAAAAAAAAAAAAAAAAGTCATGTTGAAGACGAACTTTCCCAAAAAGGGCCTCGCGTCGTACTTGTTCAGATTTGCAACATTTCGAGGGAGGAATGAAAATGATCTTTTGTGCACATGTTGAGGAAGCAATCGCCGCGCGGTGTGTGTCTCCCACAAAAAGAGGGCAAACTCACGAGCGCAGATGCTGACATAGCTACTTGCACGTAAGGTTGTACCAACTGTATGCAGGTAAGTCTGTACATTCGTATGCAGCTACGCATGTAGACCGACCAGCACGTCAAACGGGGATCATCTTCACATGCATTTCAGAGTGCATCCCAATGCGCATGTCCAACGTTCATGTTAATCTGCACGTCGAGGCATTTTCCAATGCGTATATTAGTGCCCATGTCAACGCACATATGCTTTTGCCTATTTTATCAAACATATAATTTGCGCACATGTCAATATGCATATTTTCGTCTCGTTGCTCCATGTGACACGGAAAAGAAAAGGCCAAATCGGGTGAACGTTAGCGCCACCACACCGCTGTGCATTTAAGCATTACAGAACTTTGGTTAGGTAGCCATTCCATGTGCAGCGTAAACACAAAGGGTGAATCCCTGTTCCCAGTTTAATCCTTTTGTTTTTTCCTTTTTTCAATTTTACATGCACAATGCGTTAATGGGGCAAAAGAGAATATGTCGTTTTGGTTCAATGATGTAATTTGTTTACATCAATTTTATGAACAGTGAAAAAAAATAAAATCTTTAAAAGGCTACAAAAAAAAAAAAAAATTTAAGACATAAGATTTAATAAAATAAAATTGAGGCAATTGCAACTGACTTTTTGCAGCTTCCCCACATTTTGTCTACATACAGATGAAACTTACGCTTCTTTTACCAAACAAGGACAAGAAAGAACAAAGAAAAATGGAGCGAAGCAAAATAAAACGAAATAAACGTTAAAACTCCTAACATAGAAGCTGCCGATATGAACAAATCCACGTGGCTATATATTTATGTAGCATGGAGTGTGCGAAATGGACTGCAAAAAGGCAGGTGTTGGGAAAAATATGCACACAAGTGTATGCATGCCTAACCTGCGCTACAATTGTCCTACCTTTTGGTGTATAAAAAAATTACTCAAAACGAAACAAATTGACACAAAAAAAAAAATAAAATAAATTAAAAAGGAATTGTACAAAACGATGCAAAAGGAAACATGGAAGAATAAACACATGGTAATGGAGAAGGAACGTAGAATGGTACAAAACAACGTGGGAGGAAATGATGGCATACCAACGTAAAAAAAAAAAAAAAAAATGATGGTGGCTTACAAAAAAGGGCATCGCCCACCAAAGGTATCGCTATGCTGCGGCACGCGATACAAGTTATATTTGTTGCTAGCTGTTAAAAAGTTGCTTCAATATTTCGTCATGCACGTAGGGTCAAGTGTCTTACGACGTTTTGCCTGCAAGCACTGCCGCATGGTGTAATGTAAAAAAAATGAGTGCGTCACCCGAGAGCAGCTCACAAATTTATAAACGGAAACAAACCAAACGGTATGATGGGGCAGGTTAAAAAAATGACTTTCAAAATATGCTTGTAATAATTAGACTTGCGGTAATTTTGTAACTTCTCAAAGGATTGATAATACATGTATATATTTAAATATTCGTAGACGAAATCGGTTTGGTTATTTAAATGAAAGGGGTAGTGACTTGGTAAGGTATTCTGTTCACAAGAGTTGTTCATATGTTTCCCTGGGCAACTATCCCCATGTGACCTTTTCTTCTTCATAATGAAATAGTCCTTTTTCTTGTAATGCTCATTCAGGAGAGACAAAATGCTAATAACTTTTAGATACTTTTTTTTCAAAAAATAATATCGAGCATATAAAATATTAACCTTTCTATCGTTGAAATAAATTTTACTTATTACGGATAAGTAAATTTTAATATTTTTTACGAGTCGATATTTTTTCTGTCTTTTCTGGGCACTCTCATAGTCCACACGAAAAGAGTTGAACAGTTTCTCCTCATCGGCGTAAATCTTATTCATACTCTTTTTGTTCATTTTGTTATTTGCGTCTGCTTTGTTGGTTGAGCCGCATTTCGCACCATTGCTCGCGTTCTCTTTTGGTACATTCCTTTGTAGGGATTCCTTTTTTTCTGTCTTATCAGCACCTCCCTTTTCGGCTTTCCTCCACAGAGGCCAAAATGTCCTCCGCAAATCTTTCTTATCTTTTGTATGAAAAGGCAACTTCAAATCATTTTCACCAAATCGATCATTGAAGTAAATGTGATTATTGTCGACTTTAACTTTGGGGTGGTCACACAACTTCATTCTAGCTTTGTGTAATTCATATTCGTTTTCGAAAAAGAGTATTTTTGTATATAAATTTTTTTTAAAAGGGAATGATATTTTCCCCATTCCGTTGCCCTTCCTTTTCTTTACCGTTTCGATAAAAGGGGACATTGCCATTGGTGACAAGCGACAAACAACACTGCTTCCTTTTCTGCTCAGGAGAAGACTGTCTGAATATTTCTTCCTCTTTTTGCATTTGGCATAGAGATAAAACAAGTATAAGCATTTTAGACACATAAACTGGTGCGTCAAATTGTAAAAAAAACTTGTATTTTCGTAGCTGTAATAGTTATTGTCATTATTTACACTTAGATAAAATTTTATGTATGTGTCTATAATGTTCAGCAGGTAAATAATGAGCTTGGCATTTACCCTCAGGTATATTAGAATTTCAGCCACACTGATCCAGGTAATGGCTTCGAGGTAGACATTTTTCAGGTTAATTTTTCGCGTCCCCTTGACTTCGCAACTAACTAGGGGGGTGGTGTTTCTGACATTGTTGATGCTGCTCTGGGAGTTGAGAGTTCCAAAATGGTTATAGGTTCCACCAATGACACCACTTCCGCTAACCACGCCGCATCGATCTCTCTCCGAAAAGTAGTAATTCTTGGTGTATAATTTGTCGCTCCCTTTCGCGTAGCTAAAGAAGCAGTTGCAGTTGTTGATTCCACCATTTGGATGGTAGTTGCTGTCGCTCTGTGCATGTAATTCGCATTTAATCTTACCCAGATCAATAACGGACATAATTGTGTTCAAACAGAAATATACATACATGTCTGAGTTTTTTTTTTCTTGCATTTTTTGATAAATGTATTTGTACAATACTAACAGTATGGGCATAACGCAGGGTAACAATTTTACTTTGCTGATGTCAATGTATTCGCTTTTTTTTATTTTACTTTTTAGTTCGTGTGGGCAGGTATCATATATTGATGGGGGGTCCATAAAAGTGGTGTTTATCTCTTCCGTGCTTACGCCTTCGTCTTCCTTATTCTGTTGCTTCACATTTGCATTGGCAGCATGTTCAATACGGGCGTGACAAGATTCTCCACACTTTTCATCCTCAGCCGCACTACCACCATGTGTTGCAACAGCTTGTGACCCGTCACCCGAACCACTCTTCATGAGAGGGGAAGTTGCAGCCACCCCGGAAGCAACAACCTTGTTACCCCTACCGCCCTTTCTGGACTCACCCTTCATCGCATTGCTCTTCTTTTGCAAAATCTTTAGGGAAATCTGAATTCTGTCAATTTCTTCTTTAATGCTATTGGTCAAAAGTCTATTCCCTTCGTCCTTCCACTTAGCTAAGTTGGTACACTTGTTAAAATTAAATGGGACATTGGGACAAAAACGAGTCGATTTGGGCACTCTCCAGGAATCGCTATTTCTAGTAGTTTCATCATCAGTGTAATTAACCTCATCACTATCACCGTTGTCCATCTCGTCTGTGTCAAATATTGCATCGTACAGTTGGGTAAGGTGCGCATCTCCCTTTTTTTCTTCAAGTAAAAAGTTGAACTGGTCCGTAGGGCGCGGGATTTCACTTGGGCTTGATTTAATATCACACAGTTGTGATGCTTTTTGAAGAAGCAAGTGTTTCACTTGGGCATTTGGGCAAGTCCTCTTTCTATTCTTGTCTTCTGTTTTTTTTTCCCAAGAAAATAAGATATCATAGATTACGAAAAAATTAATTAAGTAATATACATAGAGGTAAAAAAAAAAACAGTTGTTCGGGAAGTAGTTTATAGCTTTCGTGAGGATTAAAAAACATTCGTTGTTAGGTGATGTAGTTTGGGGTTCCTCATCGTTGTAAAGACAGTATGGGGTACTTCTCCTTTTCCCCTCTGTACAGTGTGTGCCCAGCTTATCAAGCGCGCTTCTCCCCCTTGCGAGGATTCTTCCAGTAGCAATATTCACCTCCGACGTTTTAGGACCAAACGGGTGTTCTCTATTGTTCTTATCATGTCTACCACTTGGGTTGTCACTTTTCCCATTAGACTCCCTTTCGGAAGGGAGATCACATGGGTTTCCCTTCACAATGTTAACGGGCCATTCACTGACTGAATCGTTGCAATTTATAAAATTTCCGAGCTTGCAAATATCTTCCATACAGCTTCCTCCTGTACCTGGCATTTGCCCATCATCTGCATGAAACAGGTTGTTAGCACTGGTAATAGCGTTATAAAAGTTGGGGGCATTTTGCCTTAATTGGTTAATTAACCCTTTGTACTGTTCATTGTAACTGTGCAAAATGTTCGCATGGTTAATTAGAGCGTCATTTTTGCTACCATCACCTTTACTTTTTCCACTAGTTGTTTGGATGGAATAACCCTTATGTGTATCACCCTTACAAAGCTTCCTATCCCCGTGTGTAAAAAGTACGTCCATATTGGTGTACCTAGAACTGGTAACTATTATATATAACAAAAAAAATGCGAAGGCGTACACATTATAGCAGTTTTGTAATAGAAAATTTTTACATATATAAATGCACTTGGTAATTTTTAACTTGTACAAATAGATAACTGCAAGATAGTAATAACTCAACAGGTGGTTGGGATCCACCTTGATGCTTTTTATCATGTATTTGTAACTCAAGTTGAGTACATATGAATAATCATTTTTTAACAAATTATTTACATTTATTTTTTTTCCAACCAAATCTTCCTCGTAAATGAGGTTTATTTCTTTCATGTTATCATAGTAGTAGTTCGTATTTAGCTGCTTCAGTAAAGAGATACCTATGATGTAGAAGAGTTTACTACTTCTTAGTTTGTTTATGTCCATGTTGGGTAAGAATGTAGGCAATTCTTCACCGTCTGATGTGATCAATGCATTCTCTTCCTTTGCGCCCTTCGCCTGGCATTTGATCTCCTTCCCCATTTTATCAAGCCAATTCGAATGGCAATCATTTTCAGTGTAACATTTGTCCTGGTTAATATTATGCGAATCGTATTTTCCATCACAACTTGTGCTATTCTCCACCGATGGGTAACTCTGATCCGCACGTACAAAACGGCTGGCATCGTCAAATGATTCTCCACATTTTCGATTCGACTCGTCCAGTATTTTTTCTTTTCCTTGGGAGATATTCTCACTATGGAAGTGTAAATTTTCTTCACTTTTTACCCTTCTGCGTTGGGAGTCCATCTTGAGCACGTCACATAAATGTTTACTCTTACTCCTGTGTGTACCACTGCACGGCTTCACCATGTTATTGTCTTCATCGACAGATCCACTCATCACTTCGTTAGTTGTACCCCGTAGCGCACCCCTCCTTCCTTTGCTCAATCGGAAATCCAAGATGACATTACACTTGTGTGCATTTTTCAAAAAGAAGAAAAGATACCGTAAGGAATTCTGCACACATATATGTGCGCTACTGAGGTGGTTAAAATTTACCTTCAGTTCAAAAAATATGTCGAAGAAAATGGAAAATCGGAAGGATTTTATATCCCCTAGTTTGTGATAAAACTTGATTAAAGACGAAGGGGAGTTATCTCTACCCTGAGCGGCATTCATATCATTAATGTAGTTTGTGCTGTATGTGTTGATTATGTAATCATCGTAGTGAATGTCTTCATCTTTCATGTAAAAGAAGGAGTTTTCGTAGGGGGCACATTTTTCGGGCTCATCTGCGAAAAAGCTACTCTTCCCCATGTCGGGTAATTCCGTATGTTTTACTTTATCCCCTTGGTGAGAAAGACCAACTGACCTTGAACACACTGATGGAGATTTGTTCATATGAAAAAAATGGCTACGTGCATGCTGGTTCATAATCTTACAGTGTACATGGTTAATGTATCTTAGAATTGAAATGACCAAATTGTAATTCGAGTATAGGAAATTCAGTAGCGCTATTCGTTGATACAGGGAAAATATCAGGTACGAATTAAATCGGGTGTAAAAAGCGAGAGCCACAATTTTTTCATACTTTTTTATGAGGAAATATTTGTCCTTACTATGAAATTTTTTATTTAATTCGTAGGTATCAATTTGGTAATATTCATTGTAGAGGAAGACATTTTCAATGAGATTCTTTGCCTCGAAGGTTATCCTTTTTTTGCTTCTCCTGATTTGTTCTATTACTCCCTTCGCATTGTACAGCGCAATGTAGTAGTTGCCATGATCCACATGGTGGGCATATTTCGTGCTTTTCCTTCTTTTCATCTCGGTAGTGTGCGTTCGGCTCAACAGGACGTCATTCCATTTTTCCCTCCTCTCATTGAACAAGGAATATTTCTGTATATATGCTGTTTCATTTTTGATATTACTTAGGGTATTTTTTCGATAGTTGATTTTTTTACTTTTGATTTCTTCAGAATCATATAATTTTTCTTTTTTTTCTTTATTTGAAAAATTGAACAAGTTAACTGTGTTTACACTGAAGATGTTGTAAATGCTTGTGGGTATATCCTTCTTGCTATTTTTAAGTAACTTCTTCCGCTTGTTCACTCGATCTTGCGTATTTCTACGACTTTGTTTTGCACTTTTCCTTTTGTAGTTCCATTCAGCACCATCTACGATAGTTGTTTTATCTCCGTTGACATCATCCGCACTGGCTCCATCATCACTAGTGCGGTCACACAAGAGGTGTATATGTTCCTGCCTAAACCTCTCAATCTGGGTGAACTTACCCTCGCCCAGATGTTTACAGCCTTTTATGTAGGCTAAGTAATAGTGGGAACTGATGAATGGCAAAAAAATAAGAGATAACATTTCTGTTATTATGAAGAGGAAATAAATGTGTTCATATTTTTCTACATTAATTTTGATGTGATAATTAATAAAATTTTTTTTATAAGTATCTCTCAACAAATTAATAGCTTTTGAATTGTATTTTTTTTTTTGGTTGTTTATTAGGATAATTGAAGCCATTGGATGGAAGGCCTCTTCTTTTTTATGTTCTCTAACCATTTTACACTCTTCGTCTTTTTTGGACAATTTCTTGGAACTTTTGGTCTTGGACTTTTCATTTAGATCTTTTTTCATATTCACTTGGATGTTACTGTTCTCACCAAACATAGAATTATACACCATTTTGTTATCTTTTTTTTTATTTTTATTTAAGTACCTCTCCTTTAGATACTTTTTGTAGCATGATATTTCGTTGCCAATATCCTTGTTGGAATGGTATAGGAAATTGTACAAATTGTACCTCAGATTTTGCTTCTTCTTTAACACATTTAAAAAATTCAAGTACTCACTTATGTCCTTCTTATGTATATTCATATAAATATATTCGTCAAATATGTAGAGGTAGAGAAAATTATAAATTAATATTTTTAATTCATTATTGGGGAAGTTGAAAAAATTTCTCAGTGAATAGCTGTTCAAATTGTCCTGTCCATCAGTATAATCATTGTCAGATTCGTTCAAACTTCTGTTTCTTCCGAACAAATTTTTGTTAATTTTTTTCTTAAAAATGGTTTCAATAAATTTGTCGTTTTTCCTTTCCCCCTTTGGGGTAGCCAATTTGTTTTTCCTGTCCACCTCATCACAAAATGTTAATTTCGATTTTTTCGAGTTGCCGCTATACGTATTATCAAATGTCGACTCGCTCTGTGCCTCCACGTTGATGGAAGAGCGACTTTTCAGGTTACTTACCAAGGTGACACTTTTCATAATAGATTTCGTCTTGTTCAAAGGAGCATCCGAGTTGTACATTTTATTATGGCTAGAAGGTTCATGCAACGAGATGGTGTGGCTATATGGGAATTTATTCACTCGCGTGGGATCCCTGTAATGGGAAACGTGTTTACCTTCACCCTCCTTGACATTATTATTTTCAAAATCTGCAACGCTGTTCAATTCGTGATATACGTTTCCTGTTTTTTTTTGCCCCTTGTTCCCCACGTGACTGCAGTCGTTCGTTAGGTAGCTACTAAGCATATGGCTTCTCAACTGCTCGTTCGTACCCATAGTGAAATTAAAATTTGGGCAATTTCCACCAGGTGAGTTATCGCTTAGGTGTATATTTTCCCCATCGCAGTGGCCGCTCAGTGCTCCATCTTCCTCTTTTTTCTGTTTTGCTAAATCGTGCTGGGACGCAGTTGTATAAGGACATACCTGGTTGTCTGCCAACTGCATTTTCTTCCCCTCCAAGTTGATCAACGAATGGAGCATGCTGTCTTTCCCATGTTCGCCCCGTACGTTAATCCTGTATTGGTGCATTAGCTGTGAGTGGATCCAACTGTTGTGATTATCCAACATGTACCGAGCATTCATTCCGTTCATCTTTTGAGATGCATTTTTATAAAGATTAAAATATATTTTAAAAAATATGGACTTTAAGCAGTAGTCATTGGTTAGATAATTCTCACTAGGGTGAAATAAATTTACACCATTGTCCAAAAAAATAATTCTCCTTAGTACATACAAGTTCTTCTCATACGTGAATAGGTTACTGTCATAGAATTTTAGAATCTTGTCCATGTACAGATGGTAAATCAGATTCTTTAAGTTGTAATTATTTTGATGAAATATATATTTTGTTTCTACATGACTTATTATATTAAGGTAAATTAATATGTGTCTTTTTATTCCATTGAAAATGTACTTGTAGTTAAAGCATATTGCATTTTTTATGATATTCCCTACGACGATGTCGTTGATGTAATTCAGGTGCGGGGAGTTGAATGAATTATTCAGAAAGGCATAGTTCCTATACCTGGAGTGGGAGTTCTCCTTCTGCCAGTCCGCCACGAAATAAAAATTGCTGTTGTGTCGCAGCTGCCTCTGGAAGTGGTCAAATGTGTGCACCACCAGCTCGTCGTACATGCTGCACATGCCATAGTTGTCATTCTCATCCTCTGCAAGGTTGTCCTTACCATCCTTTTTATCATCGTTGTGGTTTCCCTTATTGTCGTTTTTCGCATCGCTTTTCGCATCCCTTTTCGATTTGTTTTTCTTTATGCTTTCCTTTCCATCTTCCCTCGCCGCATCGATTGCGCCTCTTGCCGTCACATTGTCGTTAATACCCCTAGACACACTGAGGCTGCCCTGGAGGTGTATGTTAGGATCCAACTCGCCAGACTTAGTGACACAGGAATCGCCCGCCTCACTATTCTCCCGTTTGTCACTCGCTATGGTCCCCACATCAGACGGCACATTTGCCATGGTCTTCATTTTTTTTTTTTTTTTTTTCTTTTCTTTTTTCCTTTTCGCAATTTCGTCCTTTAAATACTTGGAATGCTTTGCATTAGAAGCGTCCGTTTTTGCTTTCCCCTTTACATTAAACGAGTTCAGCTTATTCATCTCATGATTTAAATCGAAGGACTTCCACTTCCTCTGGTAGCTCTCGAATATATAATAAAAATAGAGGTACACATTCTTATATATGTAAGTTGAAATGCTCAAAAAGTTCATCTTGCTGTACAGGAGTGCCATAACTAATATACCCTCCACAATGTTTATCTGTTTAAAATACGAAAAATAAATCAACACATCAAAAAAGTAGTTGTAAAAATAGTATTTTTTATCCTTAAATTGGATCAGATTCTTCAGGATCTTTTCCTTTTTATATATATTTTTCTTCTCATTGTATTCAATGTTCATTATATTTTTTAGTCTCTTTATTCTGCGTATTTTATGTTTCAGGGGGATATTCCTTACGACGTCTGTTAGTCCTTCTAGCGATGTCTCTTTGTGTTTTATTTTTAGGAATAACAAATATTCATCTATGGTCATGTATTCCTTCTTTTTTTTTTTTTTTTTATGTTTCTCCTTTTTTGATGTGCATAATTTTGTCTTTTGCATGTGTGGTGAAAGTGGATGCTTCGTTTCTTTGTGAAGGGGTCATTCTCCTTCATCTCGGCAGAATCATCCTGAGTATCTCTCCGTGGGGTGTATTCCCCATTATCCCTACTGCTGTGGTGCTCATTGCAATCTATTATGTTTGTACCATCCTTAATATCATTCACTTGTGTGTTGTCTTTCAGTGAGAGGGGACATATTTCCGCTCCATTCGGTGTAGTCAACTCGTTTGAGGGCTCCACTGACAAGCTATCACACGCGGAGGTCCAATCACTTCCACGCAGGGAGGTATTCTTCCTCTTGCTTTTCCTAATTGCCATGGTGGTGCTTCCCGTTCCACGCTCCTTGAAGGAGTCGTCATGTTTTTTTCTCCTTGCAGCCAATATAAATTTGTTCTTAATTTTGGTACGGATTCCTTTACTTGGCAGCACTATACTACCTTTATTTGTTTTTTTTTTACCCCCCCCCTTTTCTCCCTTCTCGTCATTGGACTTAGAAAAGATGGAAGACGCCTTCTTTTCATACAGCAGGGTATCGTAATAATTATATATCTTATTTTTCAGCTTGGAAGAAATTAGGGTGGTAATCTTCAATTTCCTTTTTTCGCTTTCGGAACAGTATTTATTAATTTGTCTAAACTTCCTCTTCAAGTAGATATATTCAAAAAATTTAATTTTGGCGTTGTGGAAATCTTTTAAATGGATGTAAGAAATGATTACTGGGACGTACAAGTAATACAGGACAGAACTGATATCAATATATTTTATGTTCTTCTTATTAATTTCATATTTTAATTTTTTGTTATTGCTAAATAGGTAAATATCGAAGTAGCTGAATGAAGGCAGGGCTATGAGGCTTTTGTCAATGACTTTGTCCAATTTATCATAATCACTTTTTTTTAAGTTATAAAAAAAATTAATGACATCATATTTTTTTTCTTCATTGGAGTTATCTTCATTGCGGAATTTATTATCGTTCATTAATAATCCTATTCTTTCAGTGTTCCTCCCTTTTTTATTTCTCGTAAGGGTGTTTTCCTTCATGTAATTTTTGTCCCCATATATAAGTCTTTTCCCCTTTCTATTTAGGTACAGTATTTTTATAATTTTGGAATATCTAAAGTTGTAATTAAAAATTTTGTTTTTATTTAAGAAGCTATTACTGTATATGATAAACACATTTTTAAATGGCTCAAAATTGTCTATTACTTCTTTGTATTTGTGGTAGTTTAGCAGTCTATTGTTGTGTCGAATGTATTTCCTGAGTATGGCTCTCAGCTTATGTCGGTCATATTTTTTTATATTTTCATTGATCACATTTTTGTCCAATGCTTTGTCTTTTCCTTCCGTTTTCAACTCACCTCTGATGGTGTCATACAGGAGCATTTTCAACATTTTCGCGCACACTGGGACGTCCTGCTCCTGCTGCTTTGGGCTCCGTTCGCTTGGTTCAACTGGGTATTATTTGTCATCAGGTCGCTCGGTTAAGGAGGTCGCTTGATCATTTATTTATTTATTATTTTTTTTTTTTTTGCGTGTGTCCTTGAATTCCGATTTAAGTCTATCCCCAATATATGACTTACCCGTTTCGATCTCCCCAATTTGGTTGCCACCCCTTTGGTGACGCTTACCTTTCACTTGTTCTCTCCGGTTTATTTCCTCCCTCTTTCTGGCATGATTGCACAAAAACAGACGCCTTAATTTTTTCCTGTTAAACTGGATGCTCTTTCAAGTGTGAACTTTCCCGTTCAGGAACTTGAATAATTATTTCATCGTTTTCCAGGTTTGTCGATTTTTCGTTACAATCTCTCAGTTCGTCTGTTAGCAATTGGGATTCAAATTTACATTTTTGTAATATTTTTATTTTTTTTTTATTTTTTGCTCATTTTTTTTCTTCCAATGTTTGGGAATTTTTTTTTATTTTCACTGGAGAATGTCAGGCTGGTATTTCATGAGAACTGTGGCATCACGTTTAGGTGTTTTTCGTCGCATAAGCAAGTAACCTTAGATCGTATGCACATGTTAAATGTAAAATATGCGCATAAACTTGTATTGTGCGTTCTGCGGCGGTATATGCGTGTATCTTTTCTGCCTTTTTATATATATATACACGTAACGAGGGTGCAAGCCGCTTACGTGCAAATAGGAAGGAGAATTGGTGTGTATGCTTTTTTTTTTCTTCCGCCAAGCAGATACTCATAAAAAAAATTGCAAAATGTGGATCGTTTTCCTACTTTTCGTAATTCTGTGTGGTATGTAATTTATTGACATGACTGAAATTTTTTTTTTTTTTTTCTTAAAAAAATTCGAAAAAAAAAAAAAATAACGTGTTTATTTTTTCGCGCAGGGGATGTGCCCCCTTTTTCTGGTAATTTACATGGTACCCATAGGTGCGTATATTGCGCGTGTATGACATGATGGTCCAATTGTGAAACATTTCGAAACAAATGTTCACGCTTTTGTTAGGAGTCAATTGAGGTCATCCTCAAAAGGGAACAGAGAAAATGCTGAATTGTCTACGAAACGCCGCCATGTAGAGAAGGAAAAGTTTTTTGTTTTTTTTTTTTCTCATCCTGTCCTATTTTTTTACCCTTTACGTGTGTACTCTCATGCTTTTTTTGCGTAGCATATATCTCATGAAAGACCCCAAACGCGTTAGCTACGGGAAGGCGAAATAATATTCATTCTTTTGTTAGCACAATAGTGAGTTCTTGTTTTAAAGTCTGAAGCTCTTTCCTTCGGTTATTTTCGTCGTAGAAACACTGTAGGGCCATGTAGCACAAAATCAGGTTGGGGACAATTAGTGTCACCTTAGTTCTTCATCTTGAGGGGATCCTAGTAACACCGTTCTGTTAGTATAAGTATGTGCCCAGGCAGCTTAACTAAACGTAAGACGCGCATAAGGCACGTTAGGCAAACCACCAGAGGCGTAAACATTTAGCGGTGGTTACAAAATGCAACAAAAAGGTGGGAACGAAAAAGAATAACCACCGCGTTAATAGTGTGCATATATGCTAAACGTTTTTATCTTAATGGTAGCAACATATTGGCAGGTGTGCTCCCCTGTGTATGTCTGCTTTATGCCCCCGCATTGGCAAACAGTCATATCTTTTGGGCCATGTTACCACTCATTTTAAAAGCCTAAAGTTACGAGTTATAAAAGGAGAGACACATAAATTGACAATAAGGGCGTAGTAAATTTTAAATACAATTTTGAATAACGGGTAAAAAGGGGGTTTACTTAAAAAGTGTGCATACGTGTTGTCCCTACCGCTGAGCGTGTCTGTAGTGAAGGGGCATACAGGGGAAGAAGCGTACATAGGTTATCCCAACGCTACACTGAACCCTAATCCGCTACACACGTTTCATTGTATGAAAAGACGTCCCCCCCCCCACTTAATTACACCGTGAACAGATTCCAAAATGAACCAAAAGAAAAAAAAAAAAACGAAACCCCCCATAAACCTAGCAACACTGGAAGACAAAATAAACATCCTCAATTTTATGAAGGATGACTTTGAAAAAATTCTCGACAACGAAAATGAAATTCATGGAATAGTCACCAACCAGCACAACAGCAAAGAAGAAAAAACTTTAAATGAAAAGGAAAAAATAGACATCATCTTAAGCGAGCTGATGCTATCCTGTGAAGAAAAAAAAAATCAGTTAAGTAAGTATATAAAAACTGCCAACGAAATAATCAGCCAAAATAATGACATAATTGAGAAGGAAAAGAAAGAAATTGAAAATTTAACTTTGGAAAAAAATCAAGAAATAAATTCTATGCAACAAAAAATTGACTTGGCAAAAAGCTTCCACAACGATATAAATAACACAATGGTGCAACTTTTTAACAACTTGGATTTATTTTTAAAAAATAAAATGAACGTGGAATTAAATATTGATCATCTGCAAAAAATCTCAAAGACCGAAACAAAAATGGGCAATAAAAAAACCACGGGGGAGGATACACAACACCGCGACGAACAAGTAAGAGTGCATAAAAGGCAGAACGAAGGGGAAGACCAATTTTTACAACAATTATATCGCTCCATGGATGAATATGAAAAAAAAATGTGCAGCATTATATCCTTTATGCAGGAAAATGACTTAGATCATCGCTCCAAAATGTTATTAACTGAAAAGAGGAGCGATGCTGGGCTATCTGCACAACTTATGCACATCCCTCAAATTGAACAGAAAAGTATGAGCGGGGAAGGTCACAGTGGTAGCGGAGATGGCCATTCCACGCAGGGCATAGGGGTAACGTACGAAGACACACGTATGATTGAAACGGGACAGACTGGAATGGCACACGATGCGAGTGGCGAGGTTATCAGCGGGGAAGGGGAAATGGAAGAGGAGGAAGATCTTGATGAAGAGGAAGACGATGAGGAGGATGAATATCTGGACGATGATGAGAATGGTGAGGATAGCTTTGATGATGATACAGATACGGAGGAGGAAAGTAAAGAGGACGAAAACGACGATGAGGAGGTGGAAGAAGATGAAAGCTTGGATGATCATACCGAGAAGAAAGATGATGAAGATGAAGATGAAGATGAGGATGATGAAGAAGAAGAAGAAGACCATGACGCAAGCACGGAGAACACGCAGAGAAAAAAATTCAACACACCTCCGGAAAGTGAAGACAACTTCGGCGACTCACAACCGGGCGAACGTGAGGTGATGGAAGCAACGCCATATGGACATACAGAGAAAGTGTGCGGCAAAATAAAAATACTGAACGATGCAGAAACGACCATAAAGAGTTTCTCCTCAGATATGTATAAAAAAATACTAAGCGACAATATGAACGCCCTCATGGACAAAATAAAAAAAGTCGATTACGACTACGTGTCTTACTTTGAAAAAAAATTAAAAAGTTAATTATTAAATCACGTTCTTTTCCCTCATTCCCTTTTTCCTTTATTTTATTATTTTTCTTTTTTTGCATAAAAGTGTATCTAAAATAAAATTTCCAATTTTTTGTGACATGCGAAATGTCGTTATTTTGTGCGAAATTTAAAAAGGAGTGTGTTAAACAAAGAGTTCACATGAAGAGGTGTTTCCCTTGCGTGTGACGCGGCGAGGGTTCGCGTTTTCCAATTGTTCAGTAGGACAAAGCAAAATAGGACAAAATGGGGCAAAAAAAAAAAAAAAAAAAAAAGGGAAAGATGGGGCCATAAAATGCCCCCCAAAACATATTGCACATATGATCGCAACGTAGGGGTTACAACGTACAGCTGCAACGCAATCGCGCGGCACAAAACGATGTGCTAACAAACTTACCAAAGAAATGATCCACCCGTTGGAGGCGGGTAAAGAGTATTCCCCGTTTAATTTACCATTTCGGGGAAAAAGAGGCACACAGGCGGGAGGGTGGTTATGTGTGCATAAAGTAGGTAAATATGTTACACACGCATGTATACATATAAGTAGATGAACACGTAAAACACGTGTTGGACAAACGAGAGGAGCACATATGACGTGGGGAAATTAAATTATTCGCCCTTCTTCTTTTTCTTCGTTTTCAGCTTGGCGAAATCTGAAAACTCCATGACGTCATCCGTGAGAGCGTCAGATTCTTGCTTCTTTTTCCTTTTGGAAATATTGTTTAAATTTTTGTCTTTGCCAAAATTATCTTGTTCACTTTTCTTCCTTTTTTTTTTGGGTGTCGTTTGGTTAAAAATAAAATCATCATCGTCGAGGTCTTTGCCTACGTCAAAATTTTTATGTATGAAATCATCCAGGAATTCGTCTTCCTCCTGTTCCTCATCCAAGACTGAGCCCGTGGCATCATCGTCATCGTCGGAACTTCCCCGAGCACTACTCACATCACCACCGCTCTTGTTTCTTCTAATTTGATACTTGTCCTTAAATTTTTTAAAACTATTGTTATTATATACGTTTAGAATGTGGTAAAAATATTTCTGGTATGGGTTGTTCATTAATTTAAACATTCCTTGCGTTTTCACTTGATCGTTTTTTTCTCTTTTCTCATTCATGCAAGAATCGTGCATAAAATTGTTAAAAATATTGAGCATATTCACTTGTTCTTGGGCGCTTTTGTATTCTACTGATAGCTTATCCAGGATGTCAATGACGTCCTTCGTTTCGTAGCGGTACATATATGGATAGCAAGTAGACGAGTCATGTGCACTTGGGGGTGGTTCTGGAGGGCGTTGTTGTGTGGTGAATTGAGACCAATTATTGGCCTTGTTATTAACCGTCGTTTCGTTTATGCTTGGTGGGGGGGGGATCGGAGCGCGCACGCTAGGGGATATACCGTCCGTGGCACCATTCATTATTTGTGTGTTTCTTGTCCACTGCCGATTGCTCTTGACGTTAATTACTATATCGTCATCATTATCGTTGTCATTGTCGTTTGCATCTCCACTGTTTTGAAGAGAAGCCTCCTCTTCTGTGTTTTTCCCCTTGGGGGTTGGATTTTCAACAGAATCACCCTCATTCAAGTCTGGTTTGTCTGCACTGGCCACGCTGCCGTTATCGATAGTGCCGTTACTGATTGCCCCATTTCTCTGCCCTGGCTGGACCAACAGCGGTCTATTACGCATGAACCCATTATTTGCGAAGCTATTTTTGTGCACACCAAATTTGTTCATCTGAATAGAATTATAATTAAAAATTGTTATGTTCCTAAATTCGAAGAGGACATTCTTAAAATTATCGTTCAGCAAAGAGGAAAAATTGTAAAACTCATACAAATGGGTTAGTATAGAATTGGCATCCAGAGGATTATTTACTGACTTATTGTAAAGAAACATTTCGTCATTGATGATTGGATTTTTTCCCCCTTTGTGATATTTGTTAAACTTTACCATGTAGGCATTTTTTACATTATCCAAATTTTGTGCATATAAACTATTTTCATCATTAAATAAAAATTTCATGAGGATGTTTTTTTTTAAAACTAAATATCGTATCATCATCAGGGAGAATAAATGGGTCCATGATTCTTTCGCATGAATGCTATGTTGAAAAATTCGTTTTATAAAACTAACATTTCTGATCAAATTTCTGTCTGTAAGTATTAATGCTGTTATTAGCCCGTAGAAATTGTACGTGTGATCACTTTCATAATAATTTATATTTCTTAAGATGCTGTAAAAATAGCAGTATATATTATCGTCTATTTGATTGGATGAATATAAGAGCAGGAACATGATGATGAGGAAATTAATTTTTATTTTGTATGACTCGACACTTTTTATTATTTTTAACAAGGAGAGTATGTTTAAGCTGTGCAGGTACTTGTCCTCTGCTGGCTTCTCGTTGCCTCCAGTTCCTCCTCTTCCTCCGGTGCTGTTCTGATTTTTCAACATAATGCATCGGTTGTAAATGATGAAGTAGATGTTGTTCACCAGGATACTGGAGAGCACCTTCAGAATCGTTTTGCTCAGGTAGCCGTACAGGCAGTGTTGGTGGAAGGTGGAGTCGTCCTCCGTTTTTTTATGACGATCAACATGTTTGCTTCCGCGTGAGTTACTATTTGTGGATCCACACTGGGTACCACTTTGGGTACCATTTTGGGCACCATTTTGGACTTCCTTCCCTTCATTGTCCCCCCCTCCAAGGGTGTCTTCACTGCCTTCCCGGAATTCCTCCCCGCTAACCACGTTCGTCTCTTTAGTACTGGCCCCGATGGCTGAGGAATTATCGCTGCGCACGGACTGGCTGTTGCTAGGTGCGCCCACAATCTTCGTTGCACTTCCATTGCTCCAATTGTACCCTTCCTCCTTGGTGGCGAATTGGCCATTTCTTGGAGCCCCTTCGAGTTTGCTCGTTTGAGACAAGTTCAGTGGGGACACCTGGCTAATCTCATGCGCTGGTTGCTTATCTCCCACGTTCCCACCAGCATCGCAGCCCAAGTCATCCTTCGGCGCTTTTCCACTTTCGAAACTTTCCCCTTCCGCAGAGGTATATTTAATGTAGCTCATTTTTTCTATGCTCCATTCCTTGAGCAGGACATTTCTCTTATCGAAAAGCTCGAAAACATTCTTCGAAAACATCTCAAAAATGTAGGTAGCAAAGTAAATAATATTTTCCGTGATGTCATTAAAAGAGTTGCTCTTAATTTTGTATAGAATGAACAATGACCTGTTCATGTTGACAATTTCCTTCTTCAACTTTTCATTTAAAACATTTTCCTTGTCTCCATTTTTTAAGGACTGTACGATTTGCTCAACGCAGTATCTTAAATTGGATAATACTTGCTCGAACAGAAAAAAAACGACATAGTGCTGCATACCTTCTATTGTTATTATATGTTTGAGGGTATTTAGAATAAGCGGATTTCCCTTTGTAATGGACAAGTACCCCTCAAGAAGGATGTTTAGATTGGCAAATCTATTCTCTCTTTTTTTTAAACAAAATTGTTTTAAATTATTTACTGACACGTAAAAGACACTTGGTATTGAGCTGTACATTGCATTCTTCAAAATATATATGTATTGTAGGAATAGCTTCTTCATGAAATTTTCTAGTGCGTATATATATAGTAACGCATTTAGGAAGAAATGGAAGGAAGCGAAATTATATTCTTTAAAGTTGAATCGGTTAAATAGGACATTCAAAATATAATTCACAACCTCTCTGTTATTCCCTTCCAAAGTTTCTAAGCTTTCATTTGGCAAAATGAAGATGAACACATGTTTTACACATTCCAAAATTGATTTCCTTATGAATACGTCTTCCCTCTTATTATAATAATCTAGCAAAATTTTTACATACAGGATGTACACTAGTGGGTTCTTCTTAAACAACACGACCATGTTGTTAATTCGATCTGTGAAGACATTACTCTTATTGTGTATAATTTCGAGATGGATCTTTTCTTCATCTTCTGAATATTTGTCCACGTAAATCTTGTAATATTCGCACATTAGATTTAGGCCAATATCGTATAGCAAGTTGTACACGCTGCTCATGTTTACATTCCTCTTTAGAAGCAGTTTCAGCTTTATTTTGCCCCCTCGGTGGTGGTGATTGGTAGATATGCCCCCACTATTGGCATTATTCGCACCAACACCATAGTTGCTACTATCCCTGTACTCGTTTCCAAGTTCGTACAATTGCCGCAGACAAACTGGAACATCGTTGTAATCGATGGTCCGAGACTTGTCCGTAAAATCATCCTCATTAGAATTAGCAACATTTTCCCTTTCCTCATAAGCGGATATTTTCTTTTTTAATAGCTGCTTTATTTTACTTTTCCACATTTTGTTGTTTAGTACAATTTCTTTTGTCTCCTCATCGAGCTGGAAGATCATATCCTCGGGGTTTAGGAAAAGTAATTTATTTTGACTCTTTGCCTGTTGGTGGTACTTCTGCTCTTCGTCTTCACCAACAGGAGTTTCTTCCTCATTTTCATTTTCTGTCCTTTTCCCTTTTCTCCTCTGCCTGCTTCGCATTTTCTTCAAATAGAAATTTACATCATCGTATTGGTAATTTTTTTTCTTCTTTTTCAAAACATATTTCGACACAATATGTTCGAGGTTTTTTTTTACGGAAAACCAGGAGTGGTTTATGCTGTATATCTTCTTCACGTTGGCAATAAAACATTGATCAGTTTTTTTTAAGCTTATTTTATTTTCCACAACATTGTCAACCAGGTTCTCAAAGTCACATTGAGGTGTCCTATTGTTCATAGGAGGGGTGGACTTCCTCCACCCTTCATTGGAATAATTGCCTATTCCATGGTTGTTACTATTAAATTGTTTTCTACTCCCTTTTTTTTCCTCTCTACCGTACGTATTGTTAATTTTATTTTTCCAACTCTTATTGAGACCGAAGCTCCTTTTCTTTAAATCATTCTTCTTGTATTTGAATACTTTTCCTGTTTTCTTGAAGTCGTAATTTCTTACATCCTTCTGTTGTTTTTTTCTCCCTTTTCCTTTGTCCATATCGAGGACTTTTTTATTCATATTGTGTTCTGCCTACGTTTAGCTGCTACCGTCTTACGGTGTGCCCCTCTAATTGTATGCTCTCTCTCTCTTCCTGTTATTTTTTTTTATTTTCTTATTTTGGGGGGGCGCTCCTTATTTTGTTAAGTTTCCACAAAATGGAGAGAATTCGCTCCTATTCTCTTTTGCATTCGCAAGTACTTAGCAGTTAGTTGCCGCTCTCTCTGGTACATGGACGAAGAAGCAGATGGTGGAGACACGCGAACATGTTGTTCGTCAGCTAAAATAGTCATTACATAATGCCTATTCAAAACTGTATGTGGTTGCCGTGACGTACACTATTTGCATACGCGTATGCTATGCTCCTATGGCCGCTTTGTAGCGCCTTTTTGGGCTTCGCTTGTCAGGATGTTGACGCCCGCTTGGTCGCAACTGCTTAGCCGCGGCTTTATTTTGCCTAACTTTGTAAAGGAACCCTCTATGCCATGCTACGAGGGGTAGGAAAACATTCAGCCTATACACAAGCATAAGCATGTATATACATATGCATATATATATTTGTTCTTACATAAGTTTGTATTTTTTCCCTGTGGAAAAAGCTAGCCCGCGGGGATGGTGTTCTCCTTGCGCGCAAAACTTCTTTTCCATAGCTTTTAAACGAATCTGCCTTTTCCAGTTGTACGCTCTGCTCAATTCATTTAAAAAATGGTTTAAAAAACAAAAAACAAAAAAAAAAAAAAAAAAAAAGGTAACAACGCAGGAACGCTCGCGAGTAACTACGCAACTGCGCTGGTATTGAAGATGGAAAAAGGAAAGAACAAGAACAACACGTGACGTACACTATTTGCATACGCGTATGCTATGCTCCTATGGCCGCTTTGTAGCGCCTTTTTGGGCTTCGCTTGTCAGGATGTTGACGCCCGCTTGGTCGCAACTGCTTAGCCGCGGCTTTATTTTGCCTAACTTTGTAAAGGAACCCTCTATGCCATGCTACGAGGGGTAGGAAAACATTCAGCCTATACACAAGCATAAGCATGTATATACATATGCATATATATATTTGTTCTTACATAAGTTTGTATTTTTTCCCTGTGGAAAAAGCTAGCCCGCGGGGATGGTGTTCTCCTTGCGCGCAAAACTTCTTTTCCATAGCTTTTAAACGAATCTGCCTTTTCCAGTTGTACGCTCTGCTCAATTCATTTAAAAAATGGTTTAAAAAACAAAAAAAAAAAAAAAAAAAAAAAAAAAAGGTAACAACGCAGGAACGCTCGCGAGTAACTACGCAACTGCGCTGGTATTGAAGATGGAAAAAGGAAAGAACAAGAACAACATAAACCCATAGAAAAAAAAATATATATAACGCGCTATTATATTGTATTGTATTATTATATATAATATATATATTTATATGCGCTGTTTCTGGTGAGGCGCCTACAAATATTTATGTTATCGCACTCTGCGAAGAGTGGCCCTGAAACCGCAGCGAATGAAGGGAAGCCTGGGGATATATACATAAATACATACAGTATATGGACATATGTACTTAAATGCTTAAGCAGCCAACTATATATATATATGTAATTTTATATATATACTAATCTTGATAAACTATTCACTCATTTTGTAAGTAGGACTGACCTATATGCGCCAAACAAAAAAAAATTTCCCCCAAGTTTGCGCCTAAGTACAGAAACCTCGGAACCCTTTTTTCCTTTCATTTTTATGCATACCTGTGTTTGTATTATATGTGCTCTGCAAGTTGGAAGAAGAAATCGATTTGGGTCTATTCCTGTTGCCTTTTTTTTTTTTTTTTCCATATATTATTGAAAGGGCCAAAAATGGTTGTAATTGTATGTGGAAAAAAAAAAAATAGAAAAGTGCAGAACAATGCAGAATGGTAGCACAAATTCATCCAAAGCTATAGGGGGAAAATATTCCCCGTCGTGGTTTTATTCATTTATGTTACGTGCCTACTTAATATAATATATAAATGCAATTATATTTTATCCAGTGTTGATAAATTTTTTCCATCTATTTATCACCATGGAGTTATTTCCTCACGTTATGTGGGCATAATGTGATAGGTTAATCGACGCATCCCTTTTTTCGAATGTTCTGTAAATTTACTCGAAAAAGGTTGGAAAATTATTGGGAATTTTTTTAGCCCTTCAACGTGATCATTAAAATGATTGGCCAAGTGGGGCAGAACACGTTTCTCAAGGAGACATATGTACAGTATTGTTCAAACAGTGACCAACTTTGTGAGAATGTTTTTTCTCTTTTTTTTTTTATACCCTTTATAGTTACCGCGCTGCAAATTAGGGATCATGTAATGGACCCATTTTACTTCTTTTAGCCCATTTAAAGGTTTACTCCCAACCGTTCAGTGTAATTATTTATATTTGTGTACGTATGTAATATACGTCTTATCGCAAAACAGGAGAAGGATAATCCATTTTTTATATTATTTTTTTGTTAAACGTAATTGTAAAAGAATTCAAAAAAGTACAAAACAAAGAATTAATTAAATTTTTCGTTTTAAAAATTGATAAATGGGAAAGCGCCAAATGTCACACTTGCACACGCCATCGTTTTTCCCCTTTCCCCACTGCGCGGATAACCACAGAAAGGGAATTCACACAAAAAAAAAAGAAAAAAACAGAAATGCGTGTTGGTATGTACAGCAAAACACTATACACATGTAGGCATCGGTAGCCAGCACCGCGTCTTCTTGTTTTAAGAACTTTTGGAGACCTTGCTGAGTCTCATTACGGAATCGTGTACTATATAAAATGACCTTTCGCAAATCTTCTTCATTTGGAAGTTGATATCCTTCATTCGGTTAGCGGTTTGGAAGATGAAGTCCCTGCGGGAGAGTAATGGTGGTGGATGCAATTTTAAAAAAGGGCATTTGTATTTTAAGCAGCCGGTCACGTAAACTGGTGGTTAACCAGTTCAATGTAACGAAAAACAAGTTTATGCACGCATGAACCCCCAAAGAGGAACTCTCTCTGTCTGCATCACTCATTTTATTTTTTTCCTTACTTGGGCGAATCGAAGTGCTTAATAGCCCCCTTGGTCGTCAAATATACGTCCCTTGAAAAATTGAAGAAGCTGTTTTTTACATCGTAATAAAACTGAGCATCCTTCAACTTGTTCATGTTCTCCCATTGGATATTTTTAAAATAACTCTGAAAAGAGTGGCTCACAATGGGGATATTCTTATACGGATAGTAAATAGGTTTGAAGCTTATTTGGTTTCTATAGAATGGAAAATCGAAGTACAAATTTTCCAAATTTTTATTGACTGATGAATTTTCATCCTGGGGTTGATCAGCAGTGTATACGTTTTGCTCTATTAGTAAACCGAAGCATTTTTTAACGGCCCTTTCTTTGGAGTATATATGAGTCCCTATACATATACTTGATTTTAAATTTTTTTCATAGGGGGATAAATATAAATCATTGTACAACGTTTTTTCTTGTTTTTTTTCATTAAAAAGGTAATTTTTTATCATATTATAATTTTCCCAAAGGGGATTACTTTCTTCGTTTTTGTTTGCTCTGTCCAAATCGCTGTTCTGTTGGTGTCCTTTCCTATTACTCTGCTGTCTTGTATCCTCATTTTGGGGAGAGGCACTTTTGCTACTTAACATTTTGCTCATGCTATCCTTCGAGTAAATTTTATCGAATGGTATCATTTTGTAAAAATAAAAAGCATTGTTGTCTTTGAACCCTAGGCAGTTTACATTGATATTTTTATTTATGTGCAAAAAGGAAATTCCTTTACATACCCCTATTGACTCAAATATAAGATTATTGTTAATGTTTTTTTTTACAAAATCGTCATTATATGTGTCCACAAACTCGATGACAAATTTTTTTTCCTTATTTCTTGTGTTCGTTTTTTTTCTCCCGAATAAATTTGCAGGAAAATCATGATAATTGAAAATGTCCAATATGTGCAATCTCTTGTTTTCCTCCTGCTGATCCTCCTCTTCATAATCTTTATTTTTAAAAAAGCTTTCACTTAAAAAATTAGTACGATGGTTTCTTTTTTTCCTATGTATCGGGATTTCGAACTCGTCCTCATCTGCGCCATTCTTGTGTTCCTTTTTCGAAACATTCAATTCTTTACTGGGTTGCTGTTCCTTGGTCTCTTCGCTGCTCTTTGCAGCCTCCCTTTGCATGTAGTTCTTAAATATTAGCAACTGTTCCTTGTCCTCGGATGTTTCATTCTTTTTCGACAGGCGTTGGTTTACCTGGGTGTTTCCATTTGTGTTCACATGTTCGTTCTTATCTCTGCTCATGTGGAAACCATCGCTCGCTGGCGTGTGCTGCTTCTCTCCGCCAGTCTTATCAACAGGAATGTCCATTTCATCTACATCAAAACGAATGTCGATTCTCCTCCTTCCTGATTTCTGTCGCTCCCCTTTTTTTTCTTCTTCCTGGTTATTCATGTTTTCACTATTTTATGGGTACAGAAAAAAAAAAAAAAACCAGTGGTTGAAGTGCCCTCAAAAATGGGCATTAACCAAGTGTACTCACGCCAAAAATATAAGAGTAAAACACATAATGGGGGACACTGGAAAGGTGGCAATCTATGTGTATTTCTCTTGTAACACTACATGATGACTTCCCACCATGTTCGCTTCGTTCCTTTTGGAGTGAAGCTGGTCAGGTTAAGGTGTTTGTTCTCATCGTGTTTAGCATGCTTTCAAGAATATTTGCCTGTGGATGATGCTAAGGCTGGAAGAAAAAAAAAAATAAATAAATACCCGCATAAAGCAGGGTTATTTATTTATCAGTTATTCTGCGTTTATTGTATACTTTTGTTCTGTTTATTTGTTTATGATTTGCCCTTTATAACTTTTTTATTTTATTTTTTTTTTTTTTGTTACAAAGGCGTTCTTCAAAATGTTCGTTTTTATAGAAAGTTTTTCTGTTTGTTTTTGACGTTACGTGGCGCTTTGCTTTTTTTTTTTTCCCTACTTTTTATTTACCTTCTGTGTAACGAGCATTGCGGGGCGTCGCGAAAGTTTCATTTATGTAAATTTTTTCCCTTAAGCAAAATGTTGCATATTCATGTGTTGCTTTGGTTTTAGTATCTTGAGGTTGCTGTTTTTTTTTTTTTTTGTTTTTTTTCCCCTATTTGGAGAGGCAAATTATACTACAATGACCCAGCGGACAAACACACAATTTTAAAGTGGTGAATGGGACGTTTTAAAGTTCAATCTGAATAAACTTGCGCAGACACGGAGGGAGGAAACATGTAAAAAAGAAAAATGCAAAGTTGAAAATGCAAAACTAGAATGTGCAAAAGTGAAAAGTGCAAAACTTAAAAGTGCAAAGTTACGAAATCGCAAAAGTGCGAAAAGGACAGAAGGAACAAAATATAACAGAACAATCTGTTACCACCGGGGGGAACAATGACGCACCGTTTTTACACACACATGACACAAATTGACATTAACAAGATATACCTATGCATATATAACACTCAGGGAAGCATACTCTACCGTATGTTTTTTTCCCCTCCTCGCACAACTTTAAAGTGAATCGTTGCAGCAACCATTTTTACTCTCATAGGTAGATACGCGAACGGGTTATTCTTGCAGTGCATCCATCTTACCACTCAAGGATATACAAACGTTTGTCCCCTTTTTGATAAGAAAAATATGCACATAAGTTTGGGGGCAATTCTTTTGAACAAGTTTTCCTAACCAACACAGGGTTGTGTGCTTCTTCAACTTAATTGTTTTTTTTTTTTTTTTTTTTTTTTTCCTTTCCACTTCACTGTAATGTGCTAAGAACTGATTTGCTACATACATTTCTCGTTCGGCTTGTACTACTGCAAGTGCAATTCATATCGTGGCGTTACATATACTCGTGTTTAACTTCGTGAATGTACATGCGCCTTTACATTTGCTCCTTCACACTGCTGGCTGTACATTGTTCTGAGGGCAACGCCGTTCAACCAATATTAAGACCCATTTCATTGCCCCCTGGTTGACACCAAGTAGCAATTATAAAATCACACAGTAGGTCCCACTTCGTCATGTGTAAAGTACTATTTATTGACAGATCGCTCATAACAAAATATACTTGTCGCCTAACTTTTGCAACGACCATTTAACCCCCTCCAAGGAGTACCACATAAGGAGGATGGACTCGGAGGAAACGATTAACCAAGCTGTTAAATTGGCCAAAGAAGCTGTTATAGAGGATGAAAAGAAAAACTACAAAGCTGCCCTGAACTTGTACATTCAAAGCTTGCAATACTTTAATTTCTTCTGTAAATATGAAAAGAATGCAAATATCAGGGATTTAATTTTAAAAAAAATGGAAATCTACATGACGAGAGCGGAGAATTTAAAGGAAATAATTAAAAAAATGGAAACTATGGAGACAAAGGAAAAGGTAGGAGGGGGAGGAGCAAGCACAGAAGAAAGTAAAGAAAATATGAAAAAACAAATAAAAGAGTTTATTCTAAATAAAGACAAAAATGTTAAATGGTCAGATGTTTGTGGATTAGAAACAGCAAAGGAGATATTGAAAGAAGCAATTATTTTCCCCTTGAAATTTCCAAAACTCTTTAACTCTTCTGTTTTGCCATATAAGGGTATCCTATTATATGGACCTCCAGGGACTGGCAAGACCTTCCTAGCGTTAGCTTGCTCCAATGAATGCAACATGAATTTTTTCAACGTCTCGTCATCCGACTTGGTAAGTAAATATCAAGGAGAAAGTGAAAAATATATAAAATGTCTATTCGATACAGCCAAAGAATATGCACCTGCTATAATTTTTATTGACGAAATTGATTCCTTGTGTGGGTCCAGAACAGACGGAGAGAATGAATCTACTAGGAGGATAAAGACAGAGTTTTTAATAAACATGAGCGGTTTAAATAATTATAAAAATAATATCATCGTCATGGGTGCGACCAACACCCCGTGGTCCCTAGACAGTGGCTTCAGGCGGAGGTTTGAAAAGAGAATATATATTCCTCTCCCAAATGTGTACGCCAGGATGAAGATATTTGAGAAGTACATACACGGCAGTGAGAGTAGTGGAAAAGGGGAAGGTCCAGCAGATGGTAAAAGCGCAAGTGTTGGAGGAAGCAACTGCGGCAGCGGTGGCCCAAGATACATAGGAAAAGAAGACATTAAATACTTCGCAACTGTAACGGAAAATTACACAGGCGCTGATATCGACATTATATGTAGAGATGCGATTTACATGCCGGTTAAGAAATGCCTTCTCTCGAAGTTTTTTAAGCAAGTAAAGAGGAATGGCCAAATTTTCTATACTCCCTGTTCCCCTGGAGATCCGGACGTAACCAAAGTTGAAAAAAACGTAATGAGTTTAAATGAAAACGAATTACTGTTGCCGCCTTTATCCGTGCAAGATTTCAAAACAGCCATATCCAATGCGAAGCCGTCGCTGTCTGTCGACGATTTGAAGAAGTATGAGGAGTGGACCCAGCAGTATGGAATGAATGGCACGTGAGCAGCGTGAAGAAGGAAAAAAGAATACCTAATGAACGATCTTTTTTTTGTGACATAGTAACAAAAGGTTACGCATCAATGGGCGTATTGAAAAAATGATTTTTTTAATTTTTTTTCAGCAGCGTCATCCTTTGGTGGCAGTGCGTTTTTTTTTTTTTCGTGTCCCAAGGTGGGGACAGAAAAGCAGCCATTATGGCAAACACCCCATTCGTGTGTTTATTCATTTATGTATTCATTTGGTATCTTCATGATTTTCTTTTTATTCGAATGAAGGTTATGCGGTTTAAAAACTTTTCATATGGGCAGCGGTTAATGATTTTTTTGTGGGGCCCAAATGTGACACAAATGAAAATATCCCACTTGGGCAGCCTTCCGCGTAGTACAAGGCTGGCGAAATAAAGATCACGATTTTTTTTTCTTTTCCCTCGTTAGCTCATGGTCAGAGTGATCATATGATGGGCACTGTTTAGCAACACAACAACAAAAAAAAAAAAAAAAGGACACCAACGTAGAGCCACATCGGGGAGTGGTGTCTACACTGCTAATAAAAGAGGGGTAGCAAATACAAGGACACAAATAGTACACCGCTTAGGCCACTGTTGACAAAAAAAATAGACAAACGCGTGGGAACGCGTATCACCCATGAGAGGCGTACACACAAACAATTATGTAATTGACGCGGAAAAGGAATTTTACGTCAAGCGAAATATTTACTTGACGGGTGAAGGTCTATAACTCATATGCTTCTTCTCAAATCAGACAACTTCTTCCTCAAGAAAATTAAATTGTTCAAACATTCGCATGACATATAATGGTCATACATACTGGAGATGTCCTCCCCGTCTGAGATTTTTTTTCCATAAATTTTTTGACACATTTTTTTTGAAAAAGGCGTTATGCTTTTCCGCTTGTAGTGGAGAATATGCTCATAACAGTACTCGCAAAGCTTCCTATTGAATTCTTCACTGGTTAAGATAAAATTAACATTTTCACTCGATTCATGTTTTACGTTGGTTCCGTTTTGCCTTTTCGCACTTTGTTCCTTTTTCTTATATAAAAAATGGGTGCCATTCATATTTAAAATGTAGTTGACAATGTGGTACAGATGGGGAAATATGCTCATCAAAATGTTCAGCATCACGTAATTTTTGCAATACAACGTTAGGGCCAAAGCATGAATGGGCAATTTTAACAATAAAAAAATTCTTAATAAAAACCATATCATGTCATTTTTGTGAATGCAGCAAGTTTCAATAAATGAAATTTTATTATTTTTTTTTTTTTTCTGTCCAACATTTTTATCATCACACTTTGCATTCTCTTTAAGATCAACAATAGTGGAACAAATATAATTATAAATTCTTTTCTTAATTTTATATTTTAAATACTTCTTGGAGTATTCCGTATTCTTCACATTACACACACGAAAAAAATAGTACAAATATTTTAACGTGTTGTAAATAGGTATATATTTATAAACAGATGGGGCCAAATGTGTTTCTAGAAAAGTGTAATTTGTAAGTTTATTGTATATATTGTATGAATATAAATTGCTGCAATACTTGTTTTTTTCATTTTGTATTTCCGTCTTGGACACATTGCGCATGTATTCTTCGCTCACGCTGCACGTGTCCATCCTTTTGAGGTGTTCCTTCTTCGTCTCCCAGAAGCTTATATTAAAATGGCTCTTAAAAGATTTATATATATCGATGAGAAAGCACTTTTGTGATCCATGCTGTGAAAAAGATTTATTAATAACTTGGTTTTCTTTTTCCAATTTGTTAAAAATTGTTCCAAGCATTTTCATATGGTTAATATATTTCGTGTATTCTTGATAGTTCTCTTTGAAAGTGCTGGACATGTTTTGTGGTACACGTGCTTGTCCGTCACCGTCTCCCTGGAGTTTTTCCCCACTGGGGTGTTCTACCTCACGATGGTCTTTATTACTACCGCTGGGGGGGTTTATCTTAGGACCATTTCCTTTGTTTTCTTTGCTTTTTTTACAATCCCCATAGTTTTCTTTTCCCATACGATGGTTGTCCTCGTAGGTATGCTTAACGGGTCCCGTCTGTTCTTCCCACATGGGGCTACCCATATGGGTTGATTCAGGACCATGTGGCATCGTTCGTGAGTTTTCTAAATTTACAAAATGAAACTCCCAATCAGTGTAGCGATGTAGGGAAACATCGACGGGGCATATGCCCCAAAACACGTTCTGGAACAAATTCGACTTGAAAAAATATGAATGTGAGAAAAAGGAGAGAACGTCCACCTTTAGGCCCGTGACAAAGTAATAGAGTTCGAACCACAGCATGTTGTAAATGTAATAGCACACTATGTTTTGCACGAGAAGAATAAACCTGATGTAGATGTTTTTCACTTCTGCGAGGTCCACACTTTGTTCGTCTTCTGGTGTTGAAGCAGGGAGTCCCCTCTGATTGGGTGCGCACCCCAAGACGGAGATATTACACGTGTGCAGCTTAGAGAACGAATCAATATTGTTTAACAAAAACACTATCATATCCTGGTTGTAAAAAAACTCGCAGACAATTTTGTTCATTTGGAATTTTTTGAAAGCGAAGGTTTTTATTTTCAGGGACAGTCTATTTCTTCCCTCTGTGTGCAGTGCCTCTTCATCGTGTATGTAATGATTGTTCTGATTATTGCTGCCATTCTCTGAGGCGCGACTTGTTCTGCTCAGCATAGCGTCACCGGTGTTGGAACTTCCTAGTAAAAATTGGAACAGACCCATCCCATCTGCATTCCCCAATTTGATATTGTTAAAACAGTCTGCGCACACAAGGAGGAAGAGGAAATTGTTGTGGTTGGCACAAGTGCTGTGCATTTCTATTAAGGCGTTCTCCATAATTTTTCTTTTTGTTGTTTCGTCCAATCCAAAATAGTTGCAATGAAATGGGTAGTCTGTCCCTTTTGTTTCAAATAGAGTATAAAAAAGTATGGACATGAAATTGATAAGGTCCTCTGCATACTTAATATTATTTCTGAGACTCATACAGAGAAAGTACATGCAATAAAATTTCCGAACGTTGTATATCCCTAGATAGTTCTGTACATTAATGATGAATAAGGAGCAGATGTTGTACCTCTGGTTTGGTAAACAAAGTTGCATAAAATCGTGAGGCATATAATTGCCCAGGGCATACATCAGGATGGCGCTGACGTAGGGATCCATCTTCCTTATAATGTTGATAACAACCTCTGCGATGTGAAATTTGCAAAACTTTCGCATCATTTTTAGGAGAAGCATGAGGTGGAAGACTTGCCTCCTCCTCAGCACACACAGCAGGTATAGGCCAGCGTAGTACACGTTGCAGTTTATTTTGTACGCGTAATCAGTGTTGACGTCGAAAGGGGGAATTCTACCGCCAGTCGCGTTGTTACATAATATGTGGGGTGATCCCTCGTGGGCAGCAACTTCGGTCGCTCCTGCAGACTCTGCTGTGCACGCATCCGCCGCCTTTGTCAGCCTCAACAAATGCAGAACCGAGCAGTAAACGCGCTCATCCTTTACACCTGCCTTCAGAAGGTCATTTTTGGACGCGTCGCTCGGTGACACATTTGCGCCCATTTCGTTGAGAAATGAAATGAATTTTTTCTTTACTTTTTCGTTCGATTTTACCGCCTCTCTGTTTTCCTTCTCTCCATCTTTCCGCTTCGTTCCCTCCGTTCCTGTCCTATAATCGCGCAAATACGGTTCTTCATCCAGATGGGAATGGTTCACACCAAACACTCGACGAAACAGGGCATCGTCTAACCTGCTCATAGTGCCCCTCTCTTTGTATCGCTTGGACAAGAAGAGGGAGTATAATACCGCAGCGGATATATTCAAAATGGTATCGTCTCTGCCCTTTCGAGTAAACCTGTCATAGTATGGAGAATTACTCATTCTTGTGACATAGTTATAAATAACTTTATATGACGCAACGTAGAGGTCGTTCAGCTTGTTAAGAGATTTATACAAAACCATTTCCAAAATGTTCGTAGCGAACATGTTCCAAGTGACGTACTTCGTTATAATGTTAATGATGATTCCTCCAAGTTTTTTTTTTCTCCATTTTGAGTCATACATCGGTTGATACTTCCCATTCTTGTAAGAGTATGCATCACTGTACAGTTTGAAATATTTAAATAAAATGGTGTTAATGTAGCTGTTTATTTTGAAGCTTATTATGTCGTATGACGACGGGGATGGAGACGAATTGGCATTATTTGTGTTCCGTTTGTTTCTTCCAATTTCTTCCAACTTGGCCTGTCCTTCTGCCATCCCTGATGTATTTGTCTCCCCCTTGATAGGTAACGTCATTTTTTTTTCTCTTTTCCATATTTGGCTGCACACGATGTGTATGCACAATCCCATGTTGTGCACCGTGTGATGCAAGTGGGAATTGTTGTCATCTGCAAAACGGGATAATCCTACATGCCGATAAATCACTAGCGGGCAATTGACATATCTGTGGCTGCCAAAAAGAGGGTCATTTTTTAATGCGTTTAGGAGGCAAAATTGATCACGACACTTGCTCACACTTATTACGCTCATCTTGTTGTTGCTACTCAGATAGACATAGCACGATTTCTCCTTATTCTCGAGCTCCTCTATAATGGAATAGAAGCTGTACTTCAGAACAGTCTTGTTGAGTTTATTTGCAATTCTGTTTCCATGGTGTGCTATATGAGGAATTACTGAAAGGATAAAATTATTCAGCAATGTGCTATGCCCGTTGCACCTGGAACGCCCTTTGCACGTTTTGCCAGCTTTTCCGAAGTGATTATCCCTGTCCATATACTTTTCGTTTGCTTTGTCTCCCCGCAACACAGGCCTGTCACATAAAGAGGCACTATTTATAAGATGCCTAGAATTGCTAAGGTGAAAAAGCGCTTCCTTTTTGGATGCTTCCCATCGGTTCAAGTCTACACATTTCATTTTTCTTTTTAATCGAACCAGGCTTTTATAATTTTCTGAGTGTTTATTTAACTTATCCTTGAAAATGCTCTCAAATAATTGGAACTTCTCGTTTGGTTTGCTGCCCTCTGATTGGCTCAGCGTGAAGAAGTCAAAAGAGGATGCCTCGACTGAACGCTCGCATGATTGGTACTTTTCGAATTCCTCAAATTGGATAGCATTTCCCGCAGATGGTTCTGCTGATCCGTCTAATGATCCTATCATTGGGGCATTTTCCGTATTCTGTGTCTTATTATTTGCATTTATTTTCCCCTCACCATTCACCGTTCCCCTCTTCACCTTTGCAGCAATTTGGTTTGTAAAATTTCCACGTTTCTGCTTCTTGCATGTCCGATTAATGCCATACAATACGTAAACCATGTAGTAGTACAACAAATAAGTATAATAGCTTGGAGGGGGCCACATATATTTTATTGGGCCTGGCAGGGCGTAGTAATTCAAGTAATTGTGCCCCTTTACAACTTCAATATAATCTACTCTGTTATTGAAAGTTCGAGTGAATTCAAAATCGTAACAATTGTTGCTGTCTACATAAATATGGAGAAAGTAAACAGAATTGTCATAATTAAGAAACACATAATGGAAGATATCGAAAAGTGTGTAAAAGCATCTTGGCTCGATAAATTTATTGTCCCTATTTAGAGGCAAAATAAAAATGTTTTCCGATTTTAAAAAATATTCCTGCTTATCTCCATCTTTGCTTTTTACTTTACTAATTTTAAAGCACAATAAATTGTAAAATGCGTCCAGCACTATTAGAAACCTTCCACTGCTCATGTGGTTTATTGTGGACATATTTGCCGAGGTTGACTCGTTGGAATTTGTGTTCATCTCCCCCCTGCTTTCTCCATCTTCTTCTTCGAATGGGAAACTTTTGTCGTAGTAAACATGGGTCAATATAGGCCTATACAACAGCTTTATGGACAATGTGTAGCTGTTAAACCGCAGGGCATTATGTATGTTATAAAGATATATGATATAATAGAAATTATTTTTGCTAATAATTTCTTCATACAAGCGTGTCAGTTTAGTTACATAGTCCTGCTCGCTTTTTTTTTTTTGATTTATTTTCACTTTAGCTTTGTGTGTGTTATCATAAAGGGGGATGCCATAATGGGAACTATATCTTTTGTCATTTGTTTTTTTTAAAGTACTTCTTAATCCTCCGCCTTCAGGCACACTTGCATTACTGTGTAAGGAAGAGCTACTTTCGTATGAAAAACTGCTCTCCCCGTTCTGGTTTTCACTGCTGTGGTGTTTTTTCCCATCGCTAACATCGTGTGTCTCTTCTGCGTTATCCACATTTGCGCTCCATTCTGTGGAAGCACTCAATTTCCTTTGCAACTCTCTGTAGTAGTTATGTGCAAGGTCCGTTGTTTCATCATCGTATGGTTCTGCAGCGCAGGGTAAGTTTTGTTCACCACTTGACCCTTTTTCAGCATGTTCAAAGGGGACGTGTCCGTGCGGATGGTTCTCCCCAACAAGGGTTACGTCCTGCCCCCTGCGCTGTTCCATCAGATAAGCGCCTGAAAACACGTTTTCATCTTCCTTCAGGAAGAAATTATTGTAAAACACGGAGAAAGGCTTGGAGTATATGTTCCCCTTGTTGTTGTTAAAATATTCCTCAAAGTATTTGTAGTACATGTCCGATTCGTTATGGTTGATGTTGAAGAGATAGTTTAGCAACTTCGATTCCTCCACAGCGCGCTGATCTTTGTTCTCTTTGGGGATCTCCATTTTCTCGTGGATGTCTTTGCCCCTCGGGGGATCTTCGAGAGATGGGGCTGCGCTCGCCTTCGATTTGGACGATCTAGATGATCTGTCTGATTCGAACGACTCGAACGATTCGCTCTCTCCATCTGCTTCTTCCTCTCCTTCTGCGTCCTCCCCGACCTCCGCTTCATCCGATTCATGCTCTCCGTTTGCTTCTCCCCCCCCATCGGGAGCAATTCGAACCTCCGCAGTCCCGTAGTCCATGCTGAATAACTCGAAGCTCATGTTACCCTCACCAGTCATAGCCCTCCTGAAAAATATGCTGCCCCTGCCTGTGCCCAAATCGTCCTTTTTGAAATGCCGAAAATTATTTTCATCATATTTGTTGTGCAAACATGTGACAAAAAAAATATCATCAAACAACCACCCCGCTGGATAGTTGTGAAAAAAAAATTTGAGATAATCATCAAGAAAATATGAAAAGGCTTTTTTTTGAAAGCTGTAAATGCAGATGGACTTAGAAATGATTAGCATGTACTTATTGCTAAAGTTTGAGTAGCACTTCTTCACGTACTTAAAAGGAGTTATAATTTCCTGTATATTCAGAACATTCTTTTCATGATTACTCAAATTAAAATTATTGATGTTCGTATCAAACATGACAATTTTATTTAATCCAATGTATACCTTCTGATTCTTCTCATTTGTGTAGTAATTACTATTATAATGAAATGTCTTGTTATTACTATATATGTCATTTAGGTACAAAACATTTTTTACTTTGATGTAATGATGCCTTTCGTCTTTCCCAAAAGCATGAAAAAGTTTGAAATCATTAAAGACGAAGGATATGTTTACATGTGCGTCTTTTATGCTATTTTGTTTACGGTTGCACAATCGATTGCTCATGAATGTGGACCTATGTTTTGTGCTTCTCTTGGGAGGAACACCATCTGGACAGACTACGCCAGGTGGAGGTAAACCATCCTGATGATTATTTTCTAGGTAATCCACATTTTCGTTTGATTCATGCGGGGAGGAAGAGTCCTGCTTCATCGAATAGTACAAAGTTCCATTTGTGTTAAAAATGTAATAACTGTTTTGATTTACAGAGATGAGAAAAAAATTATGTTGCTTGTTCCACAGCAGGAAGTTATAGTAATGGTGTGAATTGCACCACGCATTAAATGTGTCTATTTTAAATATGCTTTTTTGGAAAGTGTGTTTGCACACGTATGGATATGTCCCATATGCTTTTATGATCAAATCTTGTGTTATTACTAAAATCATTTTTCTGTAAATGTTCATACTTACGTCTATTATACAGGAACCCACGTAAATGCCAATAACCGGTTTTTGTTTTCTCTTCCTTACATCGTTATGGCGGTATTGGATTTCATTATGAGATATTGTTAGTTCTTCATTGTGTGTAACATCAGCTTTGTTATATACAGCACTTCTGCATTGGTTAGGACTACTTGTTTGCTGACTCCCTTTCTGCATTTTTGTTTTTTGCATTTTTGGACCTTCTCTGTTTGCCATGCTCACCCCGTTGAAGAATCGAGCGTGGACATTCCTCCCAGAATGGTAACAGGACTCACTTTTCGGAACATTGAAAAAATGATGAAAAAAGGAGAAAATGTAAAAATCTCCCTCGCGAGTTAGTAGTAACACATAATCGTTGTGCTCGCTAAATTCTACCTTTACTATTCCTTCTTTGGCGATTCTTCTCATGTGTTTATTTGTTATGCCGACTTTTTTGCTCTTTATAAACTTGTACAGGTTGTTTTCTCGATTGACGCTATGCAGGTAGGTGGGTTTGCAGATCCTCCAGTCCGGATGTCGCTTCATGCAACTGGCACTGCCATCACCGCATCGATTAACATTATTGTTTCTCCTTTTTTTTTTCCTCCTCTTACGTATTGCCGTGTAACCCCCGCGCGATGGAAACAAGCCGCGTCTGAGATGGTTGCAGTACGCCTGGACATGTTGAACGGCTGGAAATTTCCCCACGCGAACCCTAACTTTCCACCCTTTTTTAGGGGAATAATATACACGACCAGTTTTTTTGGCCACTTTTTTTTTTTGACTGATTCGTTGGAGAAGACCTAAAATGTGCTTGGTATCTGCACAGACTTGGTTCCCACTGCACATTTTATTATTTTCCTCTTTAGTTATTCTTGAGAATCTGTTGCCCCCCCTGGATTTTCTCCTAAAATAAATTCCCTTAAGGCTTACAATGTGTGTGTTAATAACAACCATGTTAACACTATTGTTCCTGTCGGCCCCGTCTGCGTTTGAAAGCAATTTCTTGTTATGTGTGTCATTTGCTCCCACGTTGGGAATAACGTTTCTTTGAGGCGCCGCACTGTTATGACGCGAGGTGGCAGCCAAGACAGATTTCACATTTTCCGAAATAAATATTTCATCCGTGTTGTAAGAAAAAAATAAAATGTTACTTTTCGTTATCATCAAGCAATTGGAGGGAATGGGGAGGTACAGAACAGTTAAGAGCTTTATACACACATATTTATGTATTTTTTTTTTCCTATACTTTTTCTTAATATAGGTGATGTAAGCATAATATTCATTTTCATTTTCGCTCGAGTCATCATCAGAATATTCCAAAATATTTATCGAGTGTGCATTCTTTTCATAATCCAACATAACAACGTCATTTTTGTTCGATATATTGTACGCATACACATATTTCAAATTTGTGCTAACTATATATATAGTGTTATCAATGGGTGACAAAACCACCTTGTTGTGGTGCCCGTACTTTTCAACATTGTGATGTTTCAAAGCGTATAAAGTAACGAAGGAAAAATCGTAATTATCAAACACATACAAGCAAATTTTCGTGATTATGTAGACGAACGAATTGCACGAGCTGGTGTTTATGTATATTACTTCATCAGTGAATGTTTCGTTGGTGCTGTTGCTCGGGGCGCTTCCGGCGAGTAGCTTGCTATTTGGGCCACTGAGACCACTGGGATCACTTGGGCCATTTTGCCCATGATATCCATGCTGTCCATGCTGCACATTACGGAGGTGCACCCTCTTGTCGGCTGCACCCCCACTAATGGGGGATTTGCTCCGCTCCTGATTATTTCGCGGCGAGTAGACTTTTTTGGAAAATTTTATCTCATCCTCTTTATCCAAACATAACATTTTCGTGTACGCCCTCGCCCTATATGTGTTGTCCTTAACGGAAAAATTCAGACACACATGTACGCAGGGGCACTAATTCATGGGAATTACTCTGTTCGGACTCGACAAACGGAGGCAAGTTTCGTCGTTGGAAATTCACCATATGGATGGGGTTTCCCCGAGGTGGATGACCCGAAAAGAAAAACCAGTTGCACTGTTGAAAGAGCACCCAAGTGGGATGCACAATCCTCTGTTGTGCAATGACCCTCCTTTGGGCTTACGGAAAAAATAGCCACAAAAAAAATAATAATAATAAACTAAAAGGAAGCTCAAATAGGAGGAAGGCATCCATTTATTCACAAAAAAAAAAAAGAGATCCAAATAACGCCAAACATGCACAATAAGCCACACACATGGTGTAAACATATGTATTTTATCACCATTGCATTGTATTGCTTTTACATAATATTTATTTATTTTTTTTTTTTTAGGGCTTTCTGGAAACAGTTGGTAAAAAGTAGTGTGCCAAATAGGGAACAGGGGGATCTGTTTTTCTTTCCATTTTTTCAGAATGTTTTTTTTTTTCACCTTGCCTTAATCTCGATCATACACTTGATTGAGTCTCCCCCGATGGAAACCCTTTCTGATGAGAGCACATGGGAAGAAAACTACGAGGCACCTCGTGTCGGTAAAAATAACAGGCCTTTATGCGTGTATGCTTTATGTTAACATATGCGTATTCCTTTTGGTAAGCGCGTTATGGGGGTGATCATACAAATATGCTCTACCGCGCATGCGCTTGAAGCCGTGTAGTTCAGATTGTTGTGACACGTGTGCGTGCGAAAACGGTGATCTACGAAAAGGGATCTTTTTTGCTCATATTACTCTTTTTTTTTTTTTTTTTTTTTCGCTTTCGTTTTACCTAATGAGAAAATATCTTGTCAGCCACGATTTGTAGCGCGAAAAAACGGGGGGGGGGCACTGCAATGGCGGTGCATATACAGAACTAAATGCCGCGAAAGCGTATGCGCGCATAACCTATGCACGTACGCACCTACGTGCCTTTGCGCGTTTGCCTGGTCGGCATCATGGGCCTCCAGCAAATTGCCGCTTGCGGGATCCTGAAAAAAAAGGAGGCGCGAAAAATAACCAGTGAGAGAAAAAATATATATGTATATTCAGTCACGCATGAACTAAACCGTAGTATCACTTTAATAAAAAAGAACCCATCACTCGATAGTATTAATTTAGCTGACCAAGTTTTGGTTTCCATTTTAATGCCACATCTGTTTGGTAAAAATGTACTATTGTTAAGTAAACTATTTTACGAGCACAGAAACAGAAAGGATTTCCCCCTTCTATGTAAGCATATTACCTTGCATTGCAAAACACGCACGAAGCCACGCCCCCTTAACCCACAAGCTGACGAGTAAAGCTTCCTTAGGAGATAAAGATAATTTCTTAAGCTTTATTTAGCGCTATTCCCGCATTTCATTATTCCCATAAGGAGTGGAAAAAAAGGATATATAGATATTTAAGAAGCATAAAAGGTATGATGTAACTTCTTGGATCCAGATTTGTATAATATTCCCCCAGACGCCCCTTAATTATTTCCATTTATTTCCAAAAAAAGCAAGCGGTGATGTCAGACATGTTCATTAGCATTAAGAAGGACTTATGGCTTTTCATGTTTTCCCAAAAAACAAAAAAAAAAAAAAAAAAAAAATTCTTCCAAAATTGAAGTGACACACGGAATTGTACATATAGGTGTTTGTATACGAAAGCATGTATGTACAAGTGAGCATCTGGAAAACGAGCACTTAAAGATTTAAATCAAGTTGAACCTCACACGTATATATACGTACACGCTTGACCTCCATATGTACATATGCTAGGTGTATGTATCTGCCGGACCCACATCAGATTAATAGAATTAAATTCAATAATTCTCAAATTGTACGTTACAGCAGCTGGCAGAATTGAAAAAAAATAATTATAATTGGCCAAAGGGACGCAGTTGTAATTATATGTAGAAAAGGAAAAAAAAAAAAAAAAAGAGGAAAACTAGCATATTGTTACAGTGGAAAATATTTTTCAAAACGGTAGAAGTTTTTTTATTTATTTATTTTTTTTTTTTTTAAGGTTTCTACGAGCGTTTGCTACCAGTTTTATAATATTCGTTTTCATTTCATTTTCTTTTTATTATCTTTTGCTTTTTTGTTTTCCCCTTGGCGTTTGACGACCTCAACGTTTTTATAACCCTGCACACACACACGCTGAGATACATACGCGACGTATGTACGAACACGTGCGCGTGGATAGGAAAATTTATTTACACAGAGAGGGATTGCCCCAAGGAACCTGCAGTCCATTTTTTTTTTTTTTTTTCACTGCGAAACGTGTGGTTTTGTTGCCCCATTGGTGAACGCAGAAGTAGGTACCTTATCACATAGGCAAAACGTGCACAACGGACGTACCAAAATGTTGTCCAACAAGCGAAAGAGCAAGAAGCTGAACCTGCTGAAGGACCAAATGTTCCTCACGAAAAAGTACGTTGACATGAACGACCCCATATACGATAGCGAAATAGAAGATGAAAACTGCTTCTACACGGTTGTCAACAAAGAGGAAATAGAATACTCACAGAAGGTGTGTGAGATGAAAACCAAAATGTTCGAAGATATGAATATTTTGTCATTTGAAGATTTCGAAAAAAAATGCGACACGCTGATTAACAACTTTTTTGTTAGCTTCAATTTTCAAGAATTTATTGAAGACTTAAAAGAATTAAATGTGAAGAAGTATAACGACTTTTTAGTTTTGCAGCTGATTAAAAAGTCTTTCGATAAGGAAGATGAATGCCAAATTAATGTGTCTTGTTTGCTAAATGTTTTAAACATCACCAAGTTGATTACCCCAGAACAAGTGCATAGAGCGTTTGAAAAAGTTTTGCTAAGCTTGGACGACATTAAGCTGGACTGCCCTTTGTGTTACGAAGTTTTTTTAAAGTACATTAGATTTAGTACACTGGACAATGTGATAGACAAGAATTACATTTTGAAATTGCCCACTGGCTTTTTTGACTCGTTGAATTTGGACAGCTGGGATGAAAAGGAATTGGCCTCACAGAGCTCGAAGGATAGTGAACACGCAGTGGACAAGGTGGGCTGCACCAACGGGATGGTCTGCACAAATGGCACGCTATCGACAAATGGAGCGCTATCGACAAATGGAGCGCTATCGACAAATGGAGCGCTATCAAAAAATGGAGCGCTTTCAACAAATGGAACGATTTCAACAAATGGGGCCCTGGCAACAAACGGAGTAGTGTCCAACAAGCTGGATGAGAACCACTTGTACGCGCAGAATCTCGAAAATGTAGAAGAGAAAAAGAAGCTGAAGGACGAAATGTGGAAGGACACGGTGCTGTGGGTGCTGGACCTAAACATGAAGCAAATGCAGAAAGAAAAAAAAGAATTTAAGCAAAAGTCAAGGGACTTTCTAATGGACTTCTTCAACGATGGAGACACAAATGAGGTCATCGAATTTTTAAACAGCACAAACCCTTTGTTTCATTATGAGTTCATAAGGATAAGTATTATAGAGTCCTTTAGTAAAAATAATATATGCCGAAAGTACATCTCCTACTTGCTGGACAATTTATGCGAAACTTACTATTTTAAGAATGACATTATTATAGCCTTCATAAGAATTATAGGCTACATCGACGACTACGAAATTGACTTCCCACATGCAAAGGAAATGGTGTGTAAATTTTTGCTCAGATGTATATATGATGACGTACTTTATCCAGCCTTTCTAAGTGATATATACAAACTACACATTGGTGGCATGACTGGCATGATGATTTGTAACAAAACGCAACAACGAATTCATAACAAGAAAAAATTGAACTTGAACAATATTAATTACATGTGGGATGAAGATGATACGTATGAAAAAATGAAATTAAAAAGAAAAATTAATAACACTTTATTAGAGTACTTTTATTCTTACATAGATGAACAAGAATTTTATTTACACATCGATGAATTTCTACCCCACTATCATGATTTGTGCAATTACGTCGTTAAGAAGATATTCGTATTGAATGTTGATATTAACAATGACTTGAATATGTCTTTCAAATTGGTCGATTATTTGATGAGCAGAACTTTTATCACTGAAAAAAATGTTGAGGGGGGAGTCATGGAGGTCATGAACTCACTTAAGGACATTGTGCTGGATATTCCAAAGTACCCAGAAGAATTTCGTAAAATTTTGAATTACCTTCATGAGAAGAAGTACATTTCGCAGGGCACCTTTGACGGGGTCTCCAAGGAAATCGTAGCGTTTGCTATGTAGTTCAGACATGAGAATGAGTGACGTCCGCAACGAGGTATCTACCCATAAGATCACTTGCTCACCAACGTGTGTTCATGTGTACCTATGCGGAAGGTGCCTGGCATTTCCCCGTGAAACGGCCAAGTTGTCAGCGCCAAAATGTCAGATGCCAAGATGTGAGCTGCCAACATGCGTGAAGACGCGTTCGAGGAAGACGAGCCAACGGACAGAGCAACCAAGCGCAAGTGTTCTCCCTTCCCCACACACCTGCACACAAGTGGGCGCAGTCCATTCTGTACGCTGTACATGTGAGCACAAATCCGAATATATGCATGTGCATGTGAATGTGCTTGTACGCGTGTACATATATGTACAGATGCGCCGCAGACCCCGTGTGTGTATATGGGGGACTGGTGCAGATATTGCACAAGCATATCATGGGTTTACGGGCAACCCTGCTGCTGTGAGTAAATTTTTTTTTTTTTTTTTTCCCTTATCCTATTTTTTTTATTTTTCACGGTGTGTAAGTTCGACAATCAAATTTGATTGCAGGGTATGCGCGTCTGTTGGTCTTCCTGCTTGCCTATCATCATACATACATGTATTCCTGCCTATCTGCATGTGCATGCTAATTGGGCACGTGAATGTACCCCTTCTCATGTATGACGGTTTAGCGCAAGTATTATTTGCGTCTGCACAATGCGCATACGTGATTATGCGTAAAAGGGGAGATATGGAGGAACGAGGGCCAGTGGCTCCTTGATAATATTGCAACAATGTAATCCCTAGAGGGGGTCCCCCCTTGAGAGGAGACAATTTATCTGGAGGTGCATCTTTTTTTTTTTTTTTTTTCTTTTTACATCACCAGGAATATCCCCTCTAGTGAAACACATTTTTAATTCAGACAACTCCAGTGATAATAATTTATCTCTCCCCCTCTTAATACTTTACAAAAAAGAGAAAAACTCTTTTACTCATAAATAAATAATAATTAGGCATATTTTTTCTTTGTTTTTTCAAAAAAAGAGGTAACTTGAAGGAAAGTGAGATTGCAAAATGGAACTATATGACTGTAGTTACCTCTCCATTAAGCTTGCCCTAATGCTGACTTTTGCAAACAATGCGCTGCTTACTAGTTTCAGTAGTATGCACCTGCGGGTGTGTGTATCTGTTGAGAATCTTGTTGTCTACTGCTCCCAATGGGGACCCCAAAACAATGGGCTACTGTCTCTCACATAATTCGGCGCATCTGCCACTGCGGATAAATCAACGTTGTGCCCGTGGCTGCACATTTCTCCCAATTTAACAGAATACCGTCTGGAAACGTACAGACCTAAGTTCCCATTGGATAACAAAAATAAAACACATTAGGGATTCACCTCACTGAGTGTAAAATGCTCAGTCGGTTTTGGATAGGAGGGATAAACGAGAAAAATGTTAAGCTGAATGAACACTCTAAATTTGTTCATAGCCGAAATGGATCCTTATCTCTTTATACACCTCCATTTAGGTATTATATTAACATGACTCACATTTTTACAGAGCTTCATAGGAGCTTACGCTTGAGGTAAGGCGGGGGCAGGGAGGGGTGATGGTACAGACTTTTTTTGGAATGCCGTGGAATGCTGTTAAGACAAATATGGGGAGACAGTGTTCAAAGGAAATATATCCTTATGCATGTTCCCCTTTGGATATATTTTTCCTGCGAAAATTGCACCTGCAAGCGTTTAGCAGTTCCTTTAACAGAACCATCTTTAGCTTGCATGGTTTTCTCGTAATTGAGCAAGTTCGGCGTACGTGTATTGGGGAGGTTCTAACAGGCCGGGAGTTCTTCCCTGAGGATTCCCTGGGTCATTCATCTACGCGCACTTGCAACGCGCATGCGTAGACACAGACGTGTGTACATGTTCCTGCGCAACCAGGCGGGCATGCCCTACGAATGTACTGTTACGTACACATCCATGGTACGCTCGTCGGGAGAATCTGCTCCAACCTTGCCATTTTTGTGTGTTCACTTTTTCAGGCCACATTACGTAGGGAGAAACGCACGGGAAGTACCTCTTCGGATGTTGCTTTTTCCGTTTTCATTCCCCTTTCATTTTTGAAACTATCCTTCGAATGGCGCAAAGGTCATGAGACTTCCTTTTGTGGGACCTTACTTCCAGGACCATTTTGTGACATAAAAAACAGGTGATTCACGGCGGATGGCTTTGCAGCAAAGGCGATAGCGAATGAATAAGCCAACATGGAAAAAAAATAATAAAATAAAAACAAGAGAACAGGCGAGAATAGAAGAAAAGTGAAGCTATGTACCCTTTGCTCTCCCTTGCGCTTCCTTTAGAAAATTTATTTCTCCACAGCACACAAGGGGGCATGCGCGAACGCAAAAGGGAAATAAACATAAATACGTGCATGTGAATATGTATATACATATGTATACTTTCAAGTACACAAATGAGTGCGTTTTTTTTTTTTTTTTTTTTTTTTTTTTTTTTTTTGCACAAAAAAAGCAAAATTTTAAAAGCATGCAATCGCAAATTTTCCATGAAAAAAAAAAAAATTTAACAATAATGCTGTACCATACTGATGAATTTACATATCCCTTTACATGTTAAAATGTATATATAAGTACCTGTAAATTTTATTGACTCATTTTCCCAAGCTGTTCCTTACCAGATTTTGACTTTCTCTCTGTGACGTACATATATATACTTTTATTCTACTTCATATTTCCTGCCCCCCCCAATCGTGAAAATGGTGAAGATTGTTGGAAGTCAAGCGGGTGAGAAATTTACGCGCGCCTGTATATATTGACGTGCGCATGTGGATGCCATTCTCCTATGAGCAAACGTACACGCTTGTAGAGCCTCTGCACGAGAAACATATCTGCTCACACCCATTTTTTCCCTTTGGCACAGATTTCGATGCAATCCTTTCTCAGAACGAGTTAGTCATTGTGGACTTTTTTGCTGAGTGGTGTGGACCCTGCAAAAGAATAGCACCTTTTTATGAAGAATGCTCGAAGAAGTACACCAAGATGGTCTTTATAAAAGTCGATGTGGATGAGGTGTCCGAGGTCACAGAGAAGGAAAACATAACGTCCATGCCAACCTTTAAGGTGTACAAAAATGGAAGTGTCGTCGATACATTGCTAGGGGCCAACGACACGGCGCTGAAGCAGCTCATTGAGAAGTACGCCGCTTAGGGCATAGAAGCTGACTGACGCGTGGATGGATGGAGCGATGGAAGAGAACAATGAGAAAAAAAAAATATAGTGCTTTCACCAGTGTGCTTCAGTTCGTTACCCATGTCAGATAAATTGGAAGGCCATCTTTTTTTTTGTAAATGTGCGACATACACCCCTCCTTTCGACTTGTCACATGTGAGAAGTTACAAAAATAAACTTTTGCCGTGCTTACCCTTATGTGCATACTCTCGACATTAGTCTCTTTTTGTTAATGTGCAACAAGATGACAGAAAAATGCAACACATATGAGGGCACAGGGGGGGATATCTCTCTATGCAAAAGGAGTACTCCACCTCTCCGTGTGAAGGCATAATCGGTATGTGGATGTATACAAAAGAAGCATTTTTTTTTTTTTAAATTCCGCATATGGAAAGCAAATAAGAAAAATTGCACACGTGTGTATATACGTTACACGCATACATGTGTGTCCTTATACTTGCACATAGTGTGAACACTTCTCTTAACTGAGCACGCGTAATTAACGAATAAACTGGGGGTGAGACAAGGGCTTTAAATGAAAAACCGCTACAAAACAAAAGGTGAATAAAATTAAAAATTGCCCAATTTGAAAAAGGGGCCAAACGAGTGTTTACACGCTTATAACACCCAAACGCGAATGATAAAAAACATTTAAAAAGAATAACCCGATATATGCTAGCACTGCCCAGGCTGTTTACACAAAATTTACGTTAAAGTAATCGCTCATTTTTTGGGACACAAAAGCTTGAATTCGGTTCTTTAGCTGATAATCACCACCACCAGCACCACATAAGGCAAGGTTTGGTTTTTTCCCAACCGATTTTTTCTTCCGCATTTGTTCATGCACATTTGTACAATCACTAGGATTATCATTTGGGGAAATTGCCCTTCCTTTATTCTCCTCACATTTTAATGCTTCCTTTGTGCTACAGTGCATATGTTGGGATATGCCATAGTAGGCGGGATAGGAGCGCAATGTATCTTTATAATCATACACTTTGCTGAGCTGCCTAACATTGTGACCATCATCATCGCCTAAAGAATTTATGCTAAATTTTCCAGTCAAGGAATTAAAATTAATTCTCGAAAGCATCCTTTTTGTATTTTCGTTCTGTTCAGTTAAATAGCTTTGAAAATACGTTGCCGAATCTTCCACTGATTTAAAATTATCCACCTGGTTTATGGCGAATTGCTTTCCCTTCACTAATCGCCACTTATTATTATATTCGATGATGGTGTCTTGATTACACTCGGACACAATTCCGTTATTCTGTTTGGTCGTTATCCCTTGAATAATTTTGGGCACATCATAATTTTGGTTGCCATATAAAGGGCGTTCTGGAATGCAGCTTTTAATTTCGTCCACTTCGTAGTCGTTCTGTACAAATGTGCTAAGGTAGTTCTTCCCGCTCGTGTGTTCAGGGCTGCTTTCGAAAATTCCACGTGTGTGGTTCATTTTTTGAGTAGACCTAGTTGGGCTAATATTCTGTTCGTCTTGTCCATTAAAGGCGGCTCTCTGAGATGTACTGTGCTCAATTGGAACAGTGAATACCCTGGGCGTTCCCATCTCGTGTGACGAGCCATTCTTGCAAGGGTGCGTGTCGGCGTCCCACGACCGGTCAACATGAAGAAAGCAGCCTTTACTTTGTCTCACTCCGTACGCATCTGGTCCACCATTCAAAAACATGCCATTCACATGGTTGTTATAATAATATGTGTTGTCAGAAATGAGATCAGCAGGATGTTCGCACAAGTTCGATCTGGTCATGGCGCACGTTGTGTAATTTGGGCTAATGAAACCTTTTGGTTGGACCTCTTTTATCTTTTTAATATGGTCCATCGGGGTATATGCTCCGATTTGAATAAAAGCACCGTTCTGAGCTTCGTGTTCCTTCCATGCTGAATTACTCGTCATAATGTTGTTCGATATGGAGACCATTTTCTGGGGATCCTCATCATGGACCATATATCCATTTGACAAAACGGAGTTGTTCAAGACATGCTGAGAACCCTTGTTAATATTTGCGCTTCCCATGGTTGCCTCATTCACGCATAGCAAGTCACCGTTTGGGCAATCTGCTAAGCTGCTATTAACAGGATGGTGTTTCTGCGAATCAGTTTTTATATTTGCGCTTGTCACATATGGCCCGTAATTTTCATATCCCTTCCAAGCATCACACATTTCAGCCTCCCCCTTTACTTTGTAATTGTAATAAGTAGTCTTCTCATCTCGTGGCTGCTGTTGCCAAATTGTATGACCCCCAATACTTGCAGCGTTCTGGCTGCGTGTGCAGCGCATGCTCGACGCATTCGACAGGTGTGTATTATTTCCCTTTAGTTGGAACATTAACAGTTTTTCTTTATCATGGGCAAGCGGCTCCCTTTTGTCAGAAAAAATGTGCGTACCACTATGTACAAGTCCAGGGTCTTCTCGCTTTGTAGGATTATCGTAGTGATTATAGCTTATAGTGCTCATACTATTTAACGCTCCTTTCGTGATGTACGCGTCGCTATTAGTACCCTCCATGGGCAAGGTCTGCTCCGAATCAACATATACACCATTTTCAAATGAGCTTAAAATATTTTGTGCTGAATTATATTCTGTACTTTTTTCAAAATCGGAAGCTTCATCCTTTGGACAGTTATCGATTAAACACTTTTTGCTCATGTTTTCCATTGGGTTCATTTGATAACTCGCTTCATATTTGTTCGTTGTACCCATTGGACAATTCGGCCTCCCGCCTGATTGATCTTTTTGGGGCAACTTGCCTGAGAGGGTGCCTTGGTTTGAGAACAAAAGCGTCTGGTGCATGTCTTTAAGAGTATTTGTTCCCTCTTTTTCATGAGGCGTCTCTAAACCTGAACAGTATTGGTAGTACTGTGGACTCTTGGGGACATGATCACTTTGGTTATACGCTAGGTCTCTTCTAATCTCATTATTTGCCTCTTTTAAATGTTCATTCTTCCTTTTCTCCGTTTGACGAGCTGCAAAGTGCGCTATGTCGAAATGTTCCCCTTTGAGTGGGCTTCCAACCAACCTCATCTTTTTGAAAGAACCTCCCAAGGCAATTTCACCCATCGCATTTTCACATGCCGGATCGCATTTGTCACTTTCCCTATGCGTTGAGTGAATATTGGTTTCCCCATCCATTGGGAGATTTCGCATGTAGTCATTCTCACAGTAACGCGGCATTTCCATGGTGTTCCTTTTTATGCAGTGTGGTGGTGATTGCTCAAGGGGTGCAGTCTAATTACCGATTTGGGCTATCAACATAGGGGCTGTTATTTCAACCTGTGTTCTCCCATACAGATATGTATAACCCACATGCACAATGTGGAACCTTTCGCACTATCAAAAAAGGTCCCCAATCCAGCGAATTGGATAAATGAATTTACTGCAAAACGGTTAAACTTTATTTCGAATGTTCTTTTTTTCAATGTTAAGAAGTTCATACAATGGTGTGATCGAATATGCGGGTGAGGAGTTTATTGCCGCTTTGTCTTTCAATTGTAGATAGGAACACCAAAACGGCAACAGTCATGTGAATAACCGCTGTGGGACCAATACTTTACGTAAGGGCGACACTCCATAAGAACACAAATAACGCTCGCTGAGTTAGGCCGAAGCGTTACAAACAAATTTTAATTAGAACAAAGTAAAATGCTGATAAGCTATGTGTTACAGCAAATTATGATGAGGGAAATTGTGCCCGAATGCAGAATGAAATTTCTACAATATTTTGAAATATTTTTTTAATTAGCAAATTGTTTGGTTAAGACAAATAAGAAAACGTATTCATCTGTTTTGCTGGTTCGTCGTACTTAAGATGATTTCAAAAGGGAAGGCACACGGACGGTGTAAAAATGCAAAACAAAGTGGAACGTGATGGGAAAAAATGAGGAACAACATGATGAATAGCAAAAGTGTAAGCGGAAAAGATGAGAACAGCGCCATAAGTTGAAAAAAAAAAAAAAATGTCTATAAGGCCCACACCTGTGCGGAGGACACACCATACTTGAACTGTCATGTTTTTGGAAACTCCAGAAGCAAACCTGAGGTAGGGGAGTTAACTCAAAAATGGTGTTACGTGTACGTATACATATGTGTGCGTGTGAGCATATTGTGCAAACCCGCTTGTTTTTTTTTTTTTTTTTTTTTTTTTTTTCCCTTTTCCCTAGGTAATTCATGAACATCATTTTGCAAGTTATTCGGTATGTTTTGCCAAGTTTACCTCTCCCCACAAAAAAAAGCGAAAATAAGAAGATACCACTAAAAATGACAAAAGTGACATAACATAACCAGAATACAGCAAAAGCGAAAACCAAAAAATAAAAATCGCCGCAGCAAAAATTACATCAGAGTAGATCAATTGCACTCAACTTTTATGGCTAAAAGAAGGGCGAGCAGGTAACCATTGCGCGAACATGTTGTACAAATAATTAGGCACTGAATACAGGATGCACAAAAATTCGCCAAGTTCACAAGTGTACTGGCTGTTTGTATGCACGTGAATGTATTACGCAAACGCAGGAAACGTACGGAAATGTACCGATGTAAAATATGCGTCCCAGCGCGCATGAACACACATGCATATACTTTTGTGCATACGGCCTGTTACATGTTTTGGTATGCCCCATAAAGAAATTTTTGTCACCTCCATTTTTGCGTTAAAAAAATTATAAAGGGTAATTCCGCATATTGAGAAACGTTTTGTGAAATTTAGTAAAGTAATACTGATACATTGCGTACCTTAAAAGGAGAGAAAAAAAAAAAAAAAAAAAAAAAGAAAAAAGGCGCAAAGGCCATAAACAGGGTAAAAAAACAAAACGAACGCCAAGCGAACGAATCACAAGTGAACAAACAACGAACGTACAAACGACGAACGAACGAATGACGAACGGACGAACGACGGACGGAACAACGAATGTGAAAAAGCGATAATACAAAAGCGCTGAAGTACGAAAACGAAAACCCCAAAGCACCAAAACGGAAAAGATCCAAAACCCAAAGGCGTCAAAACGTGGAAAATAACAAAAAATTAATGAAACTGCGCAAAGTTGACAAAGGCGCTAAGAATATACGAAAACCTAATTTTGTTTTGTGAAAATTATAAAACTTCGTTGGGCTACATGAATTTACTTAAGCTGATTAGTAAGAATAAAAAAATGAAGAACGACAAAATGGGATATTCCATACTTTATTATTCGAGCTATGTTATAATACGTAAGTGTGGAAAAAAACTTTTAGAATATGGAGCATAGTATGGACATTTGCGCTGATGCTATCTGAGCTCAAAGGCTCATCATGCTGTGTTTCTAACGTGTATGCAAAATGTGTTCATTTGAGAATTTCCCGAACTAGTTACGTGGAAATAGGACAACGCAGATTTCCTATGCAGAGAGAAACTGGGCTGCATGGTTTAGCTTCATTCGTATTGCACGTATTAGTGAGTTCTCCACTGTGACATTTCTTTTTTTCCCCCCCTCAACCTGGATAGTCCTAACGATCGTGCTCTCGAAGTTTATTGTTATCCCTTTGATGGCTCAAATGTTTTTGTACACATTTATCACCATATATATTGGGAGCCATGACAGTTTGAAGCAATTAGAGGTACGTCCTATAGGGAAGAAATGCATAATTTTGAAAACGAACTGGAAAGACACAAAACCATTAAACTCATTTTATAATTGAAGCCTTTATTTCCCATGTGTTGCACTCATCATTGTTTAATTCCACGTTATTACATCCCACTACAGCAAGTTGAAGACAAGAATAAGAAGGCCGATAATATTACAGCCTACGATGCGATTATGTTCCCCATTATCGGCTCCGGAGCCTTGTTAACGCTGTAAGGAATGAAGCACAAAACCGACACGACGGCAGGCATATAACAATGCCAAGATGACTGCTACGCGAACAAAAAGTGATAACGCAAAAAGTACGGTGATGTACATATGTTTCTTATTTCTCTCTGCCTCCCCTTATCTCCTCTTCAGGTATTTTGCGTACAAGTTTTTAGACCCGTACTATGTGAATATGCTTTTGACGGTTTACCTAACCCTAGCAGGAATTTTCTCACTACAAGGGGCCTGTGCTAACCTTTTGGTAAGTATCCCTTTTGGTGCATATGTAAATGAGACTCATATAAGAATTTGTCTTGCCGCACGAGATAATTATCCACCGTTGTTCTTCGAATGGCCCTAAAGTGCCCAAGAGGGACAACAAACATAGAAGGGAAAAACAAGATGAGTCCAGTTACACCAAATGGTGTGCACAATGTGGCAAAGTTCATGAGGCGAATTATTTCATTCCATTTCATTTTTGTGTTCGCAAAGTTTTCTTTATGAAATGCTTTGCAAACGGGTGAACATACCCCAAATGAGAGATCACATGCTCTGAGCAAAAGAGTGACAGCTAGGGGGGGAAATGCCCCATTTGGAAGATGCACATTTACGAATAATGTAACTGTACTGTTAAAACACACTCCCGCGGGGGTACCCCCTTTCCTCTTTTTTTAGGAACCTGCGTTTCCTAAGTTTTTCAAAAAGGACGAATATGTTAAGACCTTTAAAATGCCGGCATTTATTTCGAAGGGTAATTACTGAGGAAACAAAAAAGGAATGCCTGTTGTTTTCCCTATATAAAAGAAATTACACACTCACAAACCTGCATTTATCACCTTTTCGTCCGTTCAGAGCCCGTTATGTTCAACACAAACAAGGGAGAAATAATCACCTTCCTGCTTTGCTTCTGCATCGGTGGGAGATGGATTTTTTATAAAGACTTTATCACCCACAATGTGTTAGCGGTGTCCTTTTGTTTCCAAGTAAGATATTTCTGTTTTGAAAATGTGACTTTGCTGTTGGAATTATTTACCATTTTTTGGTGTACATGAAAACAAATATTAAAAAAAAACAATCTTTTCCCCCGTTTCCCCTTTTAAAGGCCATATCGCTAGTCATCCTGAGTAACTTTTTAATTGGATTCCTGCTACTAGTACGTGTGAAGGAATAAAAGTGGTTTCTCCTGTTTGCAAACCTCCCCGTGTTGTTACCGCCGTGATTGCATCTGTTTGCGGAAAGCTGTCCACGTTAATATATACCCATCCATCAACATTTTTATACACTTTATTATATTCCCATTTTTTTCCTCCTCCCCCTCTGCGTTCCTTTCCGAACAGTCCGGACTCTTCGTGTATGACATATTCTGGGTTTTTGGAAACGACGTCATGGTGACCGTTGCGAAGGTAAGGAAGAAAAAAAAAATAAACACGCCATTTGTTCTAGCATAACTGATAAACTACATGTTATAACGGTGTGGACACGCGCATGAGGTGTAGTGTACTTGTCGCCAATTGCCTATTTTTTTTTTTTCTCCCATCCCCCGTAGTCATTCGAAGCACCCGTAAAACTCCTTTTCCCAGTGTCGAAAGACCCAGTACATTACAGCATGCTAGGATTAGGGGACATCATCATCCCCGGTATTGTAATATCACTGTGTTTACGTTTCGACTATTATCTACATAGAAATAAGATACACAAAGGGAATTTCAAAAAAATGTTTAGCGACATATCCATTCATGAGAACTTTAAGAAATATTATTTCTTTACCATTTCGGTTTTCTATCAACTAGGGTTGGTAGTGACATATTGTATGCTCTTTTATTTCGAGCATGCACAACCTGCTTTGTTGTATCTCGTGCCTGCCTGTATATTGGCAATAGTAAGTTGTTCTTTAATCAAAGGGGAATTTAAAACGATGGTCAAGTACCAGGAAATTACGGACAAGAGTAATGTTGCGGATGACGGGAAGAAGCAAGTAGCTGATAAGGACTCAATGTACAAGAGTCAAGAATCCGTCATATCTAGCGCGAAGAAGAGAATTACGAATAAGTAGGTCTACTCCAGTTTGGTCACTTCTTAATCCGTTTCTTTGTGTGTAAGTATGTCCCTGCGTATGTTCATATATTTTTGTGTTCATGTGTGTATGTGTGTATATTTTTGTGCATATCTGCATGTGCGTGTGAACCCGCATGTAATTGTACCTGTGCGCTCCGTAGTATGAGGTTCTCATTATCTAGTAAGTAGAGCCTCACCCAAAGCATAGAATAATGTAGTAAAAAAGAAAAACAGTCCACTCAGCGACGAGCTCGGCGAGATGTGCGAAAATGAACCAGCGCGGAGTTCGAGCGGACAGGTGTTACGCGTGTTACTCATGTTATGCCTGTTAGGCATACCGTGTGTGTTGTGCCGATTAGGGGAAACTTCATGCGGATTACATAAAAGAATTATGATAATAATGTTTTTTTGTTTTTTTTTAAAGCTCCGGGCGTGGAAAGCTTTACTATGTGTTTATGTACACCTATCCTTTTTTTTTTTTTTTGATATTTTTTTATAGTTACAGAATTATTTATTAAAAAAAAAAAAAACATTAATACGCATTTTAAAATGTGCACTATTGAATGCATACAACATTGTAACGTTTGTTTCACGCTGTTCTTGTAGTTCGTGTTTAAGTGTAAAGCGGTTGTCGACAGTAAATTACCTCAATGAAAAATCAGCGGTTGTTGCTTTTCCAGCACAGATGTAGCCACGTGCTCCTGGTCTAATTCCGTCCAAGAAAAGTGTGCTTAATCCTTTTGAGATTATATGTACTTACAAAAAGGTGGAAGTACCTTTTTTTTTTCTTTTTTTTTTTTGTCAATTAAATGATATGAACTTCAAAAAAGCACATTTTTTCTGTTGGACATATCGGTTCTACATGTGTGGATATGTTTGCCGTTGGTCTGTGTGTTACAAATTTGTTGCACCCGATTGAGCATATATGCCCAAGTATTTGTGCAAAAAAAAAAAAAGAGCAAAGGTTTTAAATATTAAAGGCACAAAAAAAGAAAGAAAAAATAATAAAACAAAACAATAGTATCATAAGCTAATTGCGGTGTGTCATTTTTGCGGATATTTTACTCCACAGTGGTTAAAAAAAAAAAAAAAAAAAAAACATTGCAAATGTCACTCAACATTTTCGGCAATTTTGCTATTTAAGTCATCCAGGGAGATATTTGAAACCATTAAAACCTACGAGATTGAGGGAGTTGTTTTAATTGTATAAGCAGAACAGTAACTGTACAGACAGCGCACTTGGCACTTGTTCATGCCATTTCGCTCTTACTTTGTCCCTTGACTTCAGCCCCGAAACGATGGATATGTCTCTCTTTTTCAAATCCACTGAATGTGTGCGACGCAGGGGAAGAAAAGAAAAAATAATAAAAATAAATAAGCTTAAAACGGCGTAACAGTGTAGCAGCGTAACCGCGTGTGCGTTTTACGCAGAATGCTACACCGTCGCAATATTGCACTTACGGATGTCGGAGAAGTAACCTATGATGGCGATATTGGACTGGTTGTTTATTGGCTGCTCTTGTATATTAATATTCAGCACTTCTCTATCCGAGTTAAAATCTGGAATGGAACGAGTAAAAGAAACAAACCGGCATGAAACTTAGGTATATGCTTAAGGAAGTGTCACCCATATACAGCTGCGTAAGCGCAATTTCTAGCTGGACACGCACTCCTTTGGCCAGCATTGTTTTGTGTAATAATTACATATGGATGTGTTCTTTGCATTGGGCTTAACACGCAGACTTATTAAAAAATTTTCATCTTTTTTTTTTATATAACTGGGGAGATTTGCAGTTACATTGTGTGCCTGAACAGTCAGAACAAAAAGGGGTACATAACATATTCAGAGAGGAAAAAAAAAAAAAAAAAAAAAGAAATATTTTTAAGGACAGTTGCCACTAAACTTCGGTATGCAAAAGGACCTCTTCAGTGTTGTCCTCTTTTTTTTCATCTTAACCGTTTCTTTGGATACACTTTTCGGCATTTTCCTCAAAAGGTTGTTTAGCAAAAATTTCATACTCTTCTGATGTGCTTGCAACTGCGTACATGCAATGTGGGCACATGTGTATACATAAATATGTCTGTGCGTGCGTAATGAAAGCATGTATTTGTGCAGACGGGCTAAATCCATGAACTTTCACATTTTAGGGTAAACAAAATGAATCCCTAATTTTGCATACTGATGGGAATGAAAACAGGATGCAAACTTTTTCGCCAAACAAACGTGTTTATAAGTGCTGTATGAATTTGCTTACATGGCGGGTTTTCATACAAAGTGGAGCTATCCTTTTTAAGGTGAAACTTTCTATGCTTCCATTTGGAATAATAAAAAAAAATATAAATGATGCGCAAAGTCGACACATAAAATTAGAACACAGCATGCGGAATATTACGAAATTATTATCCTTTCTCGCGAAGTTGTAATTTTTTTTGTGCGCTATTTAAAAAAAAAAAAAAATGTTCAGAAGTACATCATGGAAACGCACATGGACCTACTGCTCTATGTGTGTCACTGTTCGTCTAAACAATTGTTCTTTTTTACAGTCAACAGAGTGGAATGCAAAGGGTTTAGCAGTTTTATTCTGCCCTATGCAGTACGATTAATTTGCACAATTTTAAATGAAGTCCTACAACTATTGTTTATCTTATTTTACTTTATTTTGCCCCTTCATAATACGCTGTACGCAGTTTGCTACCTGGAATGATGTACATGTGCATTTTTGCGAAAAAAACAGTGAAAGGCAATTTTTAGTTGCTTAGTTTTATATATATATTTTTTTTTTACACCAAGCAAAGGATAAAAATTTATTGGTGAGTGTTTACTTCTTTATAATGTAACGCTGCAGAGTGTATATATGTTGTTCCCATTCCGTGCTTTATAATTGAGGGGCACTGAGAAAGGTATATGGCTTATTTAAAATTTTATATTTCCTCTAATTCAGAAAGCAATATGTAATGTGGAGGGGCTATTATCTACATGCGTGCCTTATCATCCACATTTCCTTTTTCGCGCGCACGATATTCTTTTATTGGGTGTATGCAACTCGTATGATTCTCTAGCTTGCTCCTGACGTCGATCAGGTTATGTGTATTAATACTTATGCGAACATACTTAAAATATGTATTGTTAACCTTTTTCGCGCTTCTAAAACCGCTTTAATTCTGGGGAGGGGCACCCTCTCCCCTCCTGTGCTAAGGTTTAAGGAGCCCTAAAAAACCAGCAATTGTTACCGCCCTATGTGCGGTTGAGTCATTTTCAGATGGAGGGAAGTAAATTAAGGGCGTTGCCCCTAAACTATACAGCAGAGAAAAAAAACAAATAAAATAACGAGGTAATAAAAATTTATAATTATTAGAATTACGAAGAAAAAAAAAAAAGAAGAGAGTAGTAATTTATTACTTCCTTATTATTCACTTCGTTCATCGTCCCAGTGCGCAGCATACATATGTAATGCACACGACGTGTACCGATCGGTACCATCTCATATTGTATGGTTTATATATACCTTACCATAATTGGGGCAGATGCATGTGCAATACAGTTATATGGATATATATATACATATATACATGTACATGTACATAAATATATATATGCACCTGTGCTCGTTGACTGATTTAAACTGCCACCCTTTTATACCTCTTCCTGCGAAGCGAGAGTTCGTAAAAATTTCTTCTCTTTTTATCGCATAAAGGCTTAAAAAAAAAAAAGAAACAATGGGATGACGGTTTCGCAACGCAGCAGTGTTATATGAACATGAAGGTGTATAACCACACTAAGATACATTTGTAAAAACGGTAAACGCATTAAAGCCCCAGAGCTCTAAATGGCGCGCGCAGCATCACAGGGGGATGATACATGAAAATTTATATTGATAACAATGGAGGAATTTGTTTTGTATAAAATTAATACATCTCGTGCTTTTTCTTCTATTTAACATATTTCTTAAAAATATATCAAATAAAATATAATACGCATAAAACCAAAATAAAAAAATAAAATTATAACAGGGAACACATGTTAACTGTTGCAAATTACAATTTTTATTTGTACAAAATATTTATGTACTTTTTGGCATAAGGTAGTAAAGCTTAACATCGTTCTTGGTATTTTTTTTCCGGCTTTAATGTACAAATAAGAATATGCTAATTTAACCCATACCATTCAAATTTGCTGTTTTCAAGGTAAGCAAGGATTTGAGCGACCAGCGAATAAAAGAGAGTTTAACGAGAAATGGGCGACTGAATGTATTAGCTGCAGCTTGGCCACATGAGCGAATGTGTTATATATACAGTAATTTACATGGTACACATGTTTATCCCTTCTTACAATACGTTGTAACTGTTTATGACCCTGAGAGTATATCCCTCGCAGCGTAACTGTTACTAACTGTTTTACACATAAAAAAATAAATAAAACTTACAAAAATGACGTATCGTTAACATATACGTATGTGTTCATTTTTACGTTAAAGTGCACTAATATGAGGAATAGAACAATAAATAATAATATGTTGAACCTGGGAAAAGTGCCTTCTCTGCACCTTCATTAGCGACAAATTTGTTTTTGTATCCCTTTTTTAATGTGTAAAATTTGGAATACATTTGTTTGTGTCGTTCTAATATGCGCACAGTGCAATATGTAGACCGGCCGAGTGTGTCATTTTGTGAAATACAAACAAAGAACTTGCATGTAATTTGCACCTCAATAGCAGCAGTTTTTTTTTTTGTGTGTGTCCAGTGGAGAAAGCTACTACGTATTTGCGTGGTATCCCTGTGGCTTAGCTCGTTTTTTTTTTTTTTTTTTTTTCTTTTTTTGCGTCGCCCTACGCATGTGCACCACGTTCATCTTTGGGTACCCAGCGTATAGGCGAAAGGCGCAATCGGCTGACTGATAGCCGCCATCTGTAGCGCACCGCTGTTAAGAGCTGCTGCGTAGCTTCTATCTAAGAAAACCCCCTTTTCTCACCCTCTCCCTTTGCAGATGTATCTGTGCTACCTTCTTCTGTGTCTCCCGCCCGTGGTGGGGTTGATTTTCTCAATAATAGAATGCATCTGGGTAAGCAGCATTAACGTAAATGGGCCCGAAGATAAGGTAGATAAGATGGAAGATGGATTAGCTCAGGTTGATAAAATGAAGGAAATAGCATCCTACATCGCTGAAGGAGCCAACGCGTTTTTAACTAAGGAATACCAATATTTATCAGTCTTCATTATTGTATTTTCCATTTTATTGGCTATTTTTGTTAGTTACTACACAGCGATCAGTTTCATCTTGGGTTGCTTAACGTCCATATTGTGTGGTTACATAGGTATGAAAATCGCAGTATATGCCAATGTAAGAACGACAAATGAAACATGGAAAAGCTTGGATAAGGGATTCCGAGTGACTCTAAATGCAGGTACCGTTATGGGATTTTCCCTAGTATCGTTTAGCATTATAGCCCTAGGACTCCTTATATATATTTATAAGACCTTCGTTTTTAAAGGCGTTGCATACGATTCCGCCGTGTACAAAGTAATTGCTGGATTCGGTTTGGGAGGTTCTTCAATAGCATTATTTTCAAGAGTAGGAGGAGGTATATACACCAAGGCAGCTGATGTAGGTGCCGACTTGTCAGGAAAAAATGAATATGGTATTCCAGAAGATGATATAAGAAATCCAGCCTGTATAGCAGATAACGTAGGAGATAATGTTGGAGATATGGCAGGAATGGGTGCAGATTTATTTGGATCTTTAGCTGAAAGTTTATGTGCAGCTTTGGTTATCGGGTCAACTGTACTAAGTTTAAAGGAAGGCAGCACCAGCAACATAAACCATTGTATCATGTACCCATTAACATTTTGCAGTGTCAGTATCATTGTCAGTATGCTAACCTTTTTCATTGTCACTAGATCAGTTAAGGTAGTCGAAAAGAAAGACGTAGAAAAGACCCTAAAATATTTACTATTCGTATCCACCATATTGCAGTCCATAGCTATAATCGTAATTGGCTACTTTTCCCTCCCCGTTTCAATTAAGTACAATGTGTTGAAAGAAATCCACAGATGGAAAATCATCGTTCCAGCCTTGGTTGGCTTATGGTCAGGACTGATAATTGGATTCACTACTGAGTTTTACACTTCCTACTCGTTTAGCCCAGTTCAAGAAATTGCCAACACACAGAAGGTGTCAGCAGCAACCGGTATCATATATGGATTATCTTTAGGATATAAAAGTACTTTTATTCCGATAATGTGCTTAAGTGCCACCCTTGGTATTTCTTACGGTTTGTGTGACATATACGGTATAGCCTTAGCAGCCGTAGGCATGTTAAGTACTCTGTGTATTTGTCTAACCATTGATGCTTATGGACCTATATCAGATAATGCTGGTGGTATTGCAGAAATGGCTGGTCTCCCATCAGAAGTCAGAGCAAGAACCGATATCCTTGATGCAGCAGGAAATACCACAGCAGCAATTGGTAAAGGTTTTGCCATTGGATCCGCTGCCCTAGTCGCTTTTGCATTGTTTGGAGCATACGCAAGTAGTGCCAACTTACGCCATGTGAATATCCTAAACCCATGGGTCATTATAGGACTACTCATTGGAGCCATGTTGCCATATTTATTCTCTGCCCTAACGATGAAATCTGTTGCTATAGCTGCGAACAGTGTCTTGAATGAATGTCTAGAACAATTTCCTTTAATTTTAGCGGACAAGCAGAAACCTAATTATGAAAAATGTATCAAAATATCAACTGATGCTTCTTTAAGACAAATGATTGTTCCAGGTTTGATTTCCGTTTTTTCACCCCTAATCATTGGTGCTCTCATGGGAAAATATGCAACTGCTGGATTGTTAGTGGGTATTATTTTATCTGGTATTCAGCTAGCCTTTTCGTCTACAAATTCGGGAGGCGCATGGGATAATGCAAAGAAGTATATCGAGTCTGGTGCTCTAGGAACAGAACATTGCAAAGGATCCAGTGCCCACAAGAACTCAGTCATTGGAGACACCGTTGGAGATCCTTTGAAGGATACCTCAGGACCATCGCTAAATATTTTAATTAAATTGTCAGCCATCACTTCGCTCGTTTTCGCCGGTGTGATTGCCAATACTTTCACCTCCAGAAGGGGAGGTCCCATCTGGCTATGATTTGGCGTGAGGGAAATACCCATCTATTGGCACACTGACCTGACCGATTCGCACGTTAGACGTGTGGCACATTAGAGACCATCCTACTGTCATTTTAACCAAGGCATCAGCGAACTGCGAAGTGAGAAAAGGGAACAAAAAAAAAAAAAAAAGGCAATCCGCAGTCACCGATCTATTACACCTTTAAGCAAATTCTCCAACTTTGTTGGGAGTCGAGAACGTGGATAATATCTGACTGGAGAAAAAACCAGGGCATGGTGCATTGCCCAAATGTTGATGGTGCTGTGCACAGAAGGTGGTCTCCCCACATATGCGTGCATGATGATATGAACCCTCCCACACACGAACATACGCGTACATTTTAATACATGTGCCCGTGTGTAACAGATCCGTCGTACCGCTTTAAATTTAAAATAGAACAACCCACCCCTTTGATTACCAATGGGTGCATTTTCCCCCAGTTGTCTGTATGAAGGCATGAGCAGCAGTGTACATTTGTTTGCAAACGAACAGACGGAGGAGAAGAGAAAATATCGTACACATGTTACACAAATACTGGCGTAGTGGAAATCTGCTTTGAATGATTATGAGCATTACACATGCATATATATATACACATAAACATACATATATATACATATATGTACATATATATATGAATATCTATGTACATATGTTCTATTTTGTGTGTGTTTTATGTGTGTATATACGTGCATGTATAAGCGTACATATATATTTTTTTTTTCCGCCTACAAATATGACAATGTTTTATCTATAGGTATTTCGTTTTTTAGCAAATTTTTAATTCATCCCAGGTATTTATTGTGAAATTTGTTTTACAAAATATACCGAATGTATATGTATATGTATATATATGTCTTCATAGGTCCAATTTTTAACTCCGCGTTGGCCTACTTCACATTTTCCGTGGGTGCTTATATATATGTATATTGAATGAAACACACGTATTTATTTATTTTTTTTTTTTTTTTCATATCATAATATGTTTATTCTGAGAACAAAACTACGCGGCTTCGTAAGTTTTTGTTATGTCAAAACAGAAAATAAACCACCCTTTTTAACATCATGTGTGTGTTGTAGTTGTATAGACGGTGGAAAAGTTGTAGCGTTCCCTCACCCACCGCAGGTGTGACCTGTCCCAAATGCTCTTTCTGAGATGTCGTGTATGTGTGATGGAACAGGACTGATAAAAAACAAAAAAAAAAAAACAAAAGCCGTTGCGACAACAATAAGATGAGTAGCACGAAATACATATATGAACATGAAGGTAGAACAAATGTAGTCAAATTGTGTCCCTTCAAATTTATGACCCCCAGAGAATTATTTTGTAAGTTGTCATATTCTCAATTATGAGAATTTCGTATGCCCCACATGATTTTCACTGCGCATTGTAGTAGGACGAAATAAAGGTTGGTTATTCGTCCTCGTTTTTTTATTTTCCATGTGGTGAGAGCAGAGATCACCACACAAGGAGTGCACATCACGCATGTTCATTTTACCTAACTAGGAAAATATGTAATTTGGCAAAATCTTTCACCGCTTCCTGTTCAGCGTAAATAAACGCACAAGCGTTACAGCACACTATATAGACGCTATATTTTGTTCTATCTTGATGCAAGGATAAAGGAGGGACGGAGCTTCTTCCCAGAACACCCACTTAGGTACATTACTATATGGACCACGTGGACACATGGTAAAAGTGATAAAGATGTCCATAACCTGTAAATTCCTTTCTCTTTAAGACCTGATCGGTTGTAAAATTCTTTGTGTACATCGCCTGGGACGTGCTGATCATTTGGTTCGCGTACAAAAATGTGAAGAAGTGACAATTTTTCGACCTTTTCCTTAACTTTTGCAAATTCGTTCGCCTTTAGAGTAAAGAAGGGTTTTTCAATTGGGGGCATTCTTATATTATTATTATTTTTTTTTACATTTCACCTTCAGGCATTATGAAGTGGTGTGCCTGCCGTGAAATTAGTAACATAGAGAGTCATGTGCATTGTACTGATAAGTATGCATGCCGTTACTTTAAGCGTATGCATATAAGTCACATGTATTCATATGTACATCCCTGCAAAGGCACAACATGTCACTTTGAGCACAATACGACGGTAAACAACGGAGGACGGAGGCATTTTTTTTTGTAACTGTAATTTTTTTCCCGCTCCTGGGAACTGCCCGCTTATACACAATTGTGCCATAGGTGTTAATTCATTATGACGCGTGTCCGTTCATGCAGATATTTTCTGACGCTCGCGAAAACTTCACTAATTTTTTTACATTAACGTATATTTATGAAGCTGTCCCCAATTTTTTTATCAGCGGCGCGCTTGACATTTTCTCCGCCGTTTGTACGTGGCAGCGTAGCGGCATGGCAATATTTGCCCCCTGTCGTATTGCCATATGTTGAATTTTTGCCCCTAATCCCAGTTTAACCGCTGCGCCCCCTTGGTTGCTATATGATCCCCATGTGAGGGTCATGCATTCCTTCGCAATGCAATTTCACTTCCCATATTGTACGTTCAAGTCGTTTGCGAAATTAGTGTATATAAGTAGCATATTATGTATGTACGTGTACACGTATTTGCAATTGCCACAGTTGTATAAATGTGAATTATTTGACTTTCCCCATTTATTCCTTTTATATACATATATATATATAAACAAAAGGCAGTTAAACTTTTGGTACGCCTCCACAAAGACTACTTTGAATTGCGTCATTTGCGAACATATACATTGTATATATGTGCGTGCGTATTTACGCATGTATATATATTATATGCGTTTATGTATGCGTATATGATGTTATATGTACGTATTACTTACGTGAACGTACTGGTATTCATGTACGCAGGAATGCAGAACGTGCGAGGAAAGGGAAAAGCAAAAATATGACTCCTCCTTTTTTTGCGCGCACAGATTTACATTTGCGTCCCCATTTTAAATGAATGCAATAATTATTAGAAACAGGAAGAAGCAAAAAGGGGGGCGGAGTAGTAGTATACCTGCATTTTAACGTGCATGTCATTCTCGTGCGTGTACACATCCCCATGTGTACGTTCGTGAGCATGGTTTATAATATGCATGTTTGCACTCTGTGTACGCCCGCGCTTGTGTAATTTTACGCATTTGGTGCAAAACGCTCACTGCACAAACAGGCGCTCGACCCGTGAGCAACCTGCGCCTTACACATATGCCGTGCGTACATGTGTGAAGCGTGCGCATATGCGATAATTTGCGCTGCACAGTCTTTCATTTGCTGCATTGTCGCTAATGTGTATTTGAGACTGATTTGATTCGCCCTTGAGTTTTTTTTTCCATGCATTTATGAGTGTGTCAGCATATGTGCCAACTACGTATCTGCGTAGCGGCGTTTTTGCATAACTGCGCAGAGGCTTTTTGGCGTAACGACCTTGCAGCTTCTTTGCTCAACTACCATTTTTATTTTCCCCGCAGGGAATGACCCTGTCCCCAATCTCCTTACTCGCCCCTCCAATTTGACCTTATTTCATTAAAAGTTTCCTTTTTTTTTTTTTTTTTCGAAGCATTTAAATGCGCCTTTACACATTCGCAATTTCGTACCCTTGGTGCATATTTTTAAGCAAGCACATATACGTGCCCATGTACACATGTGACCTACCTACCTGTTCATGTGCTTATACTTATACGTACATGTGCGTATATTCGTTTGGTACATCCACAGTGAAGCAATAGGTTTGTTAGCCCCCCCTTTTTTTTTTTTTTTTTTTTTTCTCCCCCTCGCAAAATGAGCTCTTACTAAAATGTCCTAAAAATGGATAACCCAAATTTCAACAACCCCTCTTCTTGTGTAAACATGTCATTCTTTTTAAATAACAATAAGAACGTGAACGATGTGAATATGATGAGCAATGAGAATAATGATAATAATAATTGTAATAGTAGCTTTATGCATAATGGGCAGGGACAAAACAATGATGCCTTTAACCAGTTAAACAAAAATGATGCATCCATTGACATACTAGTCAACCAAATGGAAAATGCATTTTCCATAAGCACAGATATTATAAAGAATGTCAGTAATCTCCTTGAAAGTACAAAGGTGGAGGAAAAAATAAAAGGAATTCGCTTGGTATATGCCTCATTACATTACAAGTATAAAAATAATTCAGATTACAAGAAGAATTTGTTGAACAGGGGTTGTGTCATGTTAAATACGCAAGAGAAAAATAACGTAGACAATATCGATTCGGATGGAACAAACAATAATGCCAATGCACACCAGAATGGCTATCCTAACTTTTTAGCCACCAATTATAATGGAGACACCGTTGGGATGTTTTCCACCAAAAATGACACAAGTAATGGGATAAACGGGAACGATGGCACTGCCGGCAGCTGCAGCATTGGTACTGTTGGAAGTAGCAACCCCAGTGGTAATGCGCAGACACAAGCCCAGCACAGTAATGGACTGCTAAATAGCTACCCAGGCAATGATCAAATCAATTTAAAGGTCCTAAACTCAATGATCTTTGCAAACTATAAAAGTATAAACAACGTAGATGAGTACTTTGATCTGCTGGACAAATGCCTAACAAGGGAAAACGTCATTGATATAAATCTGAGTGACATATTCGAAATGAACATTATTAATATTATAAAGGCTTTACTGTACAATTATATATTCCATAATGATGAAATAATCGTGGAGGCATTAACCCTTTTGATTATCATTTTTGGCTGCTGCGGGTCAGGCGAGAAAATCAAACAAGATGTAGTAGATGAACTGTACACATGTTCTGTGTACATGCTAAAAAATATTTGTCAAAAGTCATGTGAAAAGGTGTTCACACCATTAATTGTGCAGTTAATCATATCACTCCTGAGGACCATACTGATATACGACATAACAAAATTGAAAAACGACTTGATAGACAATAAGGGCATTGTGGAGATTCTACTAAAAGCAGTAGAAAATATTCCTAATTTGAATGGAGTGCGTGTTTGCTACACCCTAGTTGTGTATGGATTGAAAATGTTCTATGTGTCCACATGCCAAATATATGAAAAGTCCTTTTTAAGGGAACTTGAAATTATCACCAATTATTTATCCACTTGTATCAAAATGAATGACGAACGAGTTTTGTTCCTGACGAGCTCTACCTGTATTACCATTTGTGAAAACCAAATAGGTATAGACGTTTTACTCAAGACGGACATACTGCACAACGCGGTAATATTGTGTGAGTCGGCTAACCCGGACCTCGCTTTTGAAGCCTTGTCCATTATCTCCAAAATAGCGTACGCAGCTAACCACCAGCAGATCTGTATCCTTATCTCATGCAATGTCATTAAAGCGTTGAAAAAGATACTAAATAATATGAAAATCAAACCTGGGGCACGTGCACGGGCATGCAACGCGTTAGGGAACATAGGATGCGAAACGGCGTCAGAGGTGGAATTGCTAATCAAAAATGATGTCTTCCCATTACTGGTAGATATTTTTCAAACGGATAATGACTTTAACACGAAAATTGAAGCGGCATACGCTGTTTGCGCGTGTTTGTCTAAAGCCAACCAAAAACAGGTCGGGTATATCATTTCCTGTACTGCCACGACCAACCGGTTGGGACAAAACATTTGTATGCAACTCATTGCAGATATGTTGGAATTAGTTAGTGAGTCGGATCCTATGAATAATGGAAGTGTCAAATTGTGTAAGAGCATTTTGAGAGGACTTGAAAATATTTTAGATAAGGGCGATGATGAAACACGCGATTTGTCCCTATGGGAGAATCCATATGTTTTTATGTTTAAGGAAGTGCAGGGAGATATTAAGCTCTTCCAGATGCAGTTCTTTCCCGAGTATTACGTCGTCAACAAAACGTACGACATACTCGCCAAGTACTTCTCCTTGACATCCACTTGGAACAATAGAAAATGAGGCAAAACAGCTTTTTTTGTGTTATTTCATGATTTTACATGCAAACACACTGTGTGTTGTGCGCCCTGTCCGCGATGTGCATCCGTCTTCCATTTGCCGCGATGTTCATCCGTTTTCCATTTCGCCGCTTTGCGTTGCGTTGCGCTTCGTTTATGTTTTTTTTTTTTTTTTTTTCTCCATGCACTGCTCCCCCTCGACCGCCACGTTATTTACTTCGCTGCGTGTGTATGTTAGACTTAGCGCACAAAAACGTACACAGCGGTGATAAATAATCTGTCATGCTATAATGTCCACCAAGAGGCACATGTAAGGAGTGTTGACTTGCCTTGGGGTCAAACAGAGTATTATGTGGGGGTTATCACTGCAGGAAAAGGTATGCAGCGTGCACTGCAATGTGGCAGCACTTATCCTGTGATATAAGGAAACATTACGAGCACCAAATTTGACCAAACGGGGGGATACCCTTACGTACACGTGTGCGTAGTTCACTATAGGGAATCATTCACCTCGACAGCGTTCCATTATGCAGCCATACATTAGTTGTTCCCTCGCATAAATATGATAACCATTTTTTTTTTTTTTTGTTTACAAATTGAGCAAGCACACAATGTGCTGATCCTTTTATCATAAAACGAAATTCGAACAGTCTTCTCACGTATGTGAGCACGAAAGGGTGATACAAACATATTAGCAGAAATTTAAATCTGCTGGATTGATCTTGTGTAATGCCTACTTGGGTACGCACCCTCTAAGTGCCTCAACAGATGCGGGTCCACAATTTCGGTAAAGGTAGCTCCACTGTAGGTAGTCCTGCATTGCTCAGTAGCTTTTCCAAAAAAAATGCTTCGGCTCCGTGCCTCGGTGTACATGCGCAATAGAAGAGCCAAATGGCTAACAAAATAATGTTGTCGATTTGGCACCCCCCCCTATGTCATGATACATTCGCCCTATTTCACTTTTCGGGTATGTTCCGCATAGTGGGCACCCCCATGCGTGTTAGGCCTCACGTAGTTCCTTTCTTTCCTATATGTACACCACATCAGTGGCACACTCTTTTTGCACCTTTCTAATGTTGCGCATTTTGCGGCACTGATATTTCACCGGGACAGCAACACCAAGCGCATCGCACGCAAATGTACACCTTAGTATGTACATGCATGGATAAACATGTATGCCAATACACATGCACTGCGTACTGCAATACACTCAGTTCCTTTAAATCCCCTGTGTGGGCCTCAATTTTTTTCTCCATAAATGAAAAGGCAGAATCCTTGGTGTGACTAGGCACAAAAAATAAAAACATGACAGGAGCCCCTATTTAGAGATGCAACAACCATATTTGCGAAAGGTTGATGAAACGGAAGAGGTGAAAATTCGAGGGGACCATAACATGGGGCAGTGGTCCTTTTTTTTTTTTTCACTCACGTGAGCTACCACACGTATATGTCAATTTAGGGAAAGAAAAAATACCTACATAGGGAACTACATCCATAGGGTGACAAAACCGAGGGAAAAAAAAGAAAAAAAAAAAAAAAAGTTACACATTCACAGGATGTTGAGACGACAAGGGGAAAGCAAACTAATGCCAAATAGAGCGAAGCATAGTGAAAATTAACGATCAATTTGTGCGTTCAACAGGCTGAAGAACGCCTCTCTACGCTGCACACTCCTGGGGAACCACTTCCACACAGGGCAACATGCCAAAAAATTTAAACCTATTCGGGAAATATTTAAGAAGGCTTGGGAAAACGCACAAGAAGGGCTTCAAAAAGAAGCAGATAATTCACCCAGTGCCGGTGAAGGCATATGGGAGAGTTCCATCAGCAGCTTCACAGACAGGTCTATACCACGATGAGGATTACAACTACTACACAAAGGTATCCTACTCGTTAAAGAAGACGAGAATTAAGTTAAAGCCAAACGTTTTTAAAAAGCACATAGTTAGTAATATATTAAACACGATCATCCCAAATGTTAAGGTTACAACGAGTGCACTCCATGCTATCGATGATGCGGGGGGATTTGATAACTATATTTTAAGGACACCTCCAGAGGAACTTCGATCAAATTTTGGTGAAAAATTAAAAAGTGTTATGTATTTTTATATGTCCCATCCCAATATTAGATCATTTAGTCTTCCCTGGAAAATTTTTATGAGCAAATTTCAACAAAGTGATTATTACTACGCTATATATCAGCACCTGCAAAAGAAAAGACTGCACGAACTTTACAAGGACAAACAGTCTGCTCAATTTTCTCCATACTACTTACCGAATGAAAAATATTTACACCCCCAGAGACAGCCATTCTCTATTAACACAGAAGTCAGCAATCTCAATTTGTGGTATAATAAAAATAAATTATTGAGGAAGGCCTTTGTAGATAAGTTGAAGCAGGCCAAATCTTTTGACAAGGCCTACACAGATCACCACTTTGTGGACAGCTACAGAACTGGCAGAGGCCGTGGTGGAGGGGGAAAGCACGGACGCACGCCGAGGAAGCGTTCCAAGACGTATAAGTACTTTGAGATTAGACCGTACTAAGCAAGCGGCGTATAGACCGCACATTCGTAAGTATAGAAGTATATTTGTGCGCATATGTGTCTGTATATGGAATCTTTTCTTTTTGGAGTCCTCTGCGAATGCATGACCCCATGGGCACAGGTAACTTTCAACCAACCCCAAAAGTGACAGACACCCTCCATGCACCATAGAGGGCAGATGCTCTCCATTCAGTTTGGCTCACCAACCGGGTTGGTCTTTAAGTAGAACTTCTTTCCTTATTTTTTTTTATTTAATTTTTTTTTTTTTTTCCTCCACCGCATGGTGCACCCGTTTGAGCGGATTGGCTGAGTGGAGAATGCAAAAGTTTGAAAAATATCGAGTACCCCATAGGGGAGCAGCTACTTCGTATGATATATAAACGATGGAATAAAAAAAAAAAAAAAAATTAAAAGGAGAATTATGCGCGACCTGATCTACCAGCCGCCAGGGATCGACACAGAGCTGTCAGAAATTCATCAAATCGTCGGCATACGAAATAGGGGTGGACAATTCACTTTTATTTTTTTTGCGAGCTTTCATGGGAGATATGCCAGGTATCATGTCCGAATTGGAATCATCATCGTTTTCTTGTAGATAATTCAACTTGTCCTTCTTCTCAGATATGATGGACACATCATCATTGTCCTTATCGCTGACATTATTTAGGGAGCTGTTGAGGGACCGGTCATCCGAATGTTTTGGAGTTCCATTTGGAGATTTGTCCGCGCGGTCCGTATTCATGTTAGAGCCCAAACCATCGTTGCTTATTAGATTGAGCTTGGTCACGTTTTTGGTCCTTATTGGTTTGGGGCTAGAATTGATTTCGTACATGTACTGTTCATCATTACGACGGGCTCCCTTATTTCCGTGGTTGGCATTGACGCGGTTAGATTGCCCGATCAAGCACACATTGTCTTCATCTTCGTTTTGGCTGATAAAGTTGCTGAGCGTTGAATTCGACGGTGTCCTTTCATAATCCGAGTCCTGTGCGTTATCGCCACGCGGTGCATTGTTCTCCAAAGTTGGCGCTTTTTCTCTGTCTTTATTCCTACTCTTCCCAACCTCCTCTCGAGAATCGTCATCCCCCTCATGCAAGAGTTCCTCCTTAATTTTGGAAGCGTGCTTATTTTTATCTCTGTCTTCATTTACATCATTCTGTCGAATCTTTGTCCCGCCTTTTGTTACAACCTCGATGGATGTATCTGTATCCGAATCGGAGTCACCGTGACTTCCATCGGAATTGTTCCCATTTTGCGTCACGCTTTTATTAACATGAATATTGACCTCCTGGGAGCTCCTCCTCGTTTTTATAGAGGGTGCATTAGATTGCCTACTGATCCGTTTGGCAATATTTTTGCTTATATTCATATGGATACTTTCGTTAAGATTCATATACGAGTTTTCATAATTGGAGTCCCTAAATTCTTCGTTGAGTTTTCTTTTCTTACAAATGATCAGAAACATATGTTCAAATATGCTGTTTTCGAATTTTATCTGTGTATTATTAGCTGTGTTGTATGATTCTATGAGGTTCAGAATTTGCTTCTTGAGGTAGCCAATTTGATATTCAGACAGAGTTAACTTTTGAGCATAGGGAAAAATATATTTTAGAAATGAATTTTGATTCTTTAGGTTCAAGGCACAATTTACACAAGAGTGAATAAACTTACACAGAGGAAGTTTCTGCCTCTCCACAATTTTAACTCCCAACCGGCTAGCAATAGAGGTACTAAACAACAAGAGGTCTTTTTCTTCTAGTGCGTTGTTAATATATGCTGTATACAGCCCAATTAATGCGCATAGTAAGACTTCATAAAATATGTCAATACTGTATTTTTTTAATTTGTTGTGAAAACTTAACGCAATGGAAGACAGTCCTCTATTCTTTACATTCAAATGAATTAATAAAAGGACCCCTAGGCAACTGTTAAATATATTTATATTGTTGCAATGTAAAATAAACTGAGCTATTATTAGCGTCATATGAGTATATTGCATTTCTAAAATTTTCTGATCCGTGCTGAGTTGGTCTTTGTTGTATATTTTACACATATCAGCAATGTAGGTGTATGTGTTTATGGGGAAGAACACACCTATGTCGATTGAAAGGAAGGAGTTGACAAAATTGTAATTGTCGTTGTTTATATTTTCCACGTTTTTGAATAACTCCGTTACGAAATTGAACAGCACGTTGTCTTCCTTGTACACGTACCTCGCCACGTATTTATACTTGTTGATTTGTTCGTCTGCATCTAGGTAGACTTGCACCAATTCGTCCATCTTCTGCGCATGGCTGCTGCTCTCGGTTGTGTAGTCAGCTGCACCCCCCGTCTTGCTACTTGCGTCCAAACTTAGCAACTGCTGCACATTGGCCACACCGCTCTCGTCCACTTGTCCTTCCTCCTTGCAGCAGGCGTTTATAAAGAGCTCCAACGTTTTGTACTTTTTCACGTCCTCCACAGAGTAGAGAAGCACATTTTCCAGCTGCGCCACATTCATCAGATTTAAGAATGTACCATATTTCAGGATCGTATTGTTAGAAGCCTTGATGAGGTACACCAACACATCATTCAAGTCGTCTCTCAATGTTAGCAAATTATTGTATATATAATTGAGTTCCACAAATACGTTTTTTAGAATATTTTTTTTTTTCTCACTAAGGGTAAGCAAATTTTTTAAATCGTCCATATTGATATTGCTGCTAGGGGTATCATGTTTGTTTTCCCCTTTGGATTCTTTGTCTTCCGCACTTTGTTCTTTTTCATTTGCCCCGCTTGTCTTACTTGGGTTATTCTTTTCGCTCATTTCCTTTTTTACGTTTTTACTTCCCCCTATGTCTGCTCCAACGGCGGAGTCGTTGTTCAAAAAAAAGTTATTATATAAGTAGTTGAAAAAGTATCTCTTTCTGCATAGGTAGTATATGTAATTTTCATATATGACATAAATGAGGTCTATGCAGAGTAGGAGCAGCCTGGATGAGGGTGTTTTGGGGGTACTACTCTCCTCTTCATAGTAATATACTGAATTGATTTTTGTCTTTATTATGTAAAAGCACAACTGAATAACTACATTTGCATGCATGCATGCATCCGAGCTGTAATATAGGTTGTAAAAATTTTGTCCCTGGTGCAAATATTCGTCCTTATCAAATGCCATTTTGTTATTTATCTTTTGATTGTTGACACTGCCAGTTCGGCTCATGTAGTTGTCGTACACGTTTTTTTCAGCGTTTGATTTATTATTTTTGCCTTTTTTTCGATTAGCCTTTTTGTTCTTCCTTCGGTTGGTAGCTCGGCTGGTGTGTTCCTGGTCTCGTTGGCCATGGTGGTCACTGTGTGGTTCACTGTCTTCCCCGCTTCCCCCCACCTCCTCATCGTCGTCATCACGGTTGTCACCGCTATCGTCGCTGTCATAGTCCTCAGAGGAATGCTCACTTCCATACTGTAAAACATGACTATCCAAAAATTCGTTCACGAAAATATTCTCCTTGAAGTACTCCTGACATTTCTCATTTACAATAAATTGAAAATAGTCCTTCTCGATAACCTTTTTAATTTTCTTATTAATCTTCTTTATGTCATTTTTTTTTTCCACGTAGTTAGACAAATCATTATTTATGTAGCTGAAGCACAGAGTATACATATGAATCAAATTTGTAAGATTAGAGACTAAGTCGTTTTCTATAGAATCCACAACATTTCTGTCTTTATGCATTAACTTTTCATTAACGATGACAACTTTGTTACGTCGATTTTGTATATACTCCTCCTCTTCCTCTTCGCACTCAATTTCCGCATTGTAGTTCTTACGGTAGTATAAAAAGGCATCTAGGAAATTGTTAAAGTGGGTGTAATAAAGGTCGAAAAATATATCGGTGCACAACTTCTGGCTGCCACTTCCGCCGCTGCTAGGACCGGCCCCCTTAAGGAAATCGTTCAAGGACAGAAAGAGGGAAATCATATTCATGGTACACTTAGCAGAGTAATATGGCAGCTTCAAATTTTTTATCAGGTAGTAGAGGTACTCGTAGGTCTCCTTTAAATGTACAAAAATGTTGTTAAAAAAAAAATTTATGTTGCTGTCAATGTCATTTTTAAAATATTCCATTATCGTGGACGCGAAATTGTATATATTATTCTTTTCTCCATTTCTGTATATGTGTTTGCACTCTTGTATGGCCACCTTCAAAATTTTAAAAACTAATAACAAATGTTCCTGATTCGTTTGGTGCAGTTTTATGAGGAGCTTACTGTGCTTGATTATTCCGAATGTGTAGATGATCATCTTTTTAATTTTGCCCATATCACTACTTAGCTTCGCGTTGTGTATGCTGTTCTTATCTGTTCCGGTTGGGTCGCTACTTTGAGGGGGCGTCTTTCTATTTTTGTTCCTCTCCATTTCGTTTATATCGTTTTGGAAATTTCTGTACGCCGATTCGCAGATGTACAGCAGACACTTCCTGAGGTCTCGCTCTGTGTTTGCTTCTACTGCCACCACCTCGAGTTGGTTTTCCTCACCATTGCTACATTCACCTGCACATTCGCTTCCAGTTTCACTTTCACTTCCAGCGTTTTTTTTCGGCCTTTCCTTAGCCTTGTTGCTCCCTTTTTTGGCCGCCTTTCCATTTTTCTGCCCCTTCTTCGCGTCTCCCTCCGCCACTTTGCAGTCCCCACTACCACTTCCTTCCAGTTCGTTATTATCCGTAATCGTTTCGATCGTTCCACCACAATGGGTCTCCAAAGCAATGTCATCCTTGCACAACAGTTCAATCATAACATCGATGCAGTTCACCGCATCTAGCATTTCTCTAATCACGCTAAGGAATCTATCAATCACTGTGTACAGTTTCATATTTTCATTATAGTTGGCGAGGTAATCAAAATAGTGGACAAAATTTTTAACAGTGGGGATGTTTCTGTTGAGATACTTTGTCAAAAAAATGAGATTAAATTTTACAATTTCACAGTTGGCGTCATTTTGTTCTACGTCAAAATAGTTGTTCCTCTTGCGATCGTACTTTTTTATTTTGTTTTTTATTTGCGACTCGTAAATAAGTGACGTGATAATTTTCGATATTTTACTATTATTGTTAAACCATATTAAGTTACTAACAATTTTCTTTTCCTTCTTTGAGAGAATATTAACCATGTCTGTTGTTATTTGATTTTGCTTTTTCTGTTCGTCATCCTCCACTATGGACAGCTGATTATTTCCAAGCACTTCCACATCGGAACACGTGTCCTGATCTTCGTACTCGTCGCTTTCATATTGGGACGAAGCATCAGACGTTGTCCCCTCCTTCTTCTTGGTAGGAGCCATGGGGCTATTCTTGGCGCTTTTTTTAAAAGCTATAAATTTGGCCTTCCTAATTTTCATTTTGCTCATCTGGAGAATCAATTCAAATGTCTTCACTCGAACATTATAATCATCATCGAAAATAAAATTCAGTAATTTTTTCTTACACATGTAGAGCAGCTCCACAATTTTGAAATTCCCATTCGTGTTGTACAAAGTGCACAGATATATTAAAATGTCCAATGCGTACATCTTAACCTTGCTGTCTTTATCGTACAAAATCCAAATCAGCAACTTGGTGTACTTCCTGTTGGTAAAGTAGGTGCTTAGCACCTGTACGTACTGGAGGAAAAACTCCAGGGTTATTGCCCTTATATCTGCAAACACGTCTTTTATCTTGTTCCTGTATATTATGTTATATGTGCAGACAAGGAAGTTATTCAAGATGGTTAGATTTTTTCTATTCTCGTTTATGTTATCGATGAGTTGGCTGATGATTAAATTTCGTTCCACGATGGTTCGGATTTTTTCGTTGCCTCTCTTTTTGGCGTAATGGATGAGCTCCTCTATATCAGCGTCTTCCCATCTCTCGTTAGCGGTGTTCGGGGTATGTGCACTGTTTCTGCTGCTCCGGCCGCTGGCGCTACCCCTCCGCTGAACATTCCCTTTGTTGGTATTTTCCCTCTCTCGGGCAAACTCCGCGAGTAGCTGCTTCCCCGCTTGCTTCTCATGGTTGTTAATATAGTTAATTTTTTTGCAGAGTCCTAGTAATATGGAGTGACTTGCTAAAGAAGCAGTAAATCGTATCTTCCTGTACTTACTTATGCTGAGGGCGAATATCCATATGCACACGTACAACACCTCGTGGATGTAATTCTCATCGAAATGGTAAGCAAAATCGGAGAAGAAACTTGTAAAGGACTTATAAGATTTATTATTCTCATTTTTCTTTTTTATCAAAACATCATTGTCGAGGTCGGAGGATAAATACTGTTCCAATTTTTTACACTTAAATGTGCATATCTTTTCAAAGTTAATTTCGTCTTTTATGATTTCATCTATGTTGGTGATTTTGCTACCTGATTGTGCCGTTGAGGGGGTTATAATTTCAGTTATGGAGGTGGGAGCCGCCCCGCCCCTGTTCGAGGCAGTCGACGGATGGTCAATTTTGTTATTTGCGATTTCTTCGTAGAGGTATACTTGCTTGTCTATATAATCAATTATGTCAATTGTCCACGTGAGCGTTTCATTGCCTGAACATTCAGCCAGAAAATTTAAAAAAAAAGTGGACACCTTAACCATTTCGTTATTTTCTGTATTAAACAAATAGTAATAAATTTCTTCTATAATTTCGTGTAAATTTCTGGGGCCTTTTTTAATTTTTTCGTACATATTAAAGTCATCCAAATATTTATGAGCATTTGCGTTCATGTTGTTTAGCCCACTGTAACCCTTATCATTGCGTTTGTTATTATTATTACTGTTATTGTTGTTATTATTTTTTATTTTTTTCGTAGGTCTCGTTTTTTCAGTGGTGTACTCATAATCGCTTTCGCTTGAATCTTCAGTGTTACTGGATTCCACGTAAATGCTTTTTCTCTTCTTCGATTTCATGTCTAAAGCGCTGCTAACCTTGTTGATGGTGGATATTCTTTTATTTTTGTCAAATTTGCTGTTCTTTTTAAAAATATCAAAATCTTCGTCGTCCACACCTTCCTGCAGTTTTTCTATGTAGCTTTTACCCTTTGGCTTCTTCTGTTTGTTGTTTTTGTTCACATTGTTGGAGTTTTGATCTGAAGAATTACTTTCTTCCTGGTTGGTGTTTTCTTCCTGCAGCACGATACTCTGTTCAGTACTTGCTCGTTTGTTTTGCTTGCTGGGGTTGCCTTTTTTTCCGGGCTTGCTTTTTTTCCTTTTATCTCCAACTGATGATGATTCGTCACTGTCCCTGTTGTTACGGATGCTTTTGCGTCTTTTTTGTTGATCCTTACTTTTACGAACATTGTTCCCCTTCTTGCTTTTACGGCCCGTATAATCATCACTTGTATCATCCCTGTGATCTTCACTGTCCTCTTCCTGCTCTTCGGAATGCCCCTTCTTCTCATTGTCACTTACTTTGTATTCACTATCCTCAGTAGTGCTGTCACCATCTGTGCTTGTTTCTTCCTCGTTAACACGTTTCACATCCTTCTTCTTTCCCCTTCCCCGCATTTTATCACCTGAATTGTCATCCTCATCGTCCGTTTTTTCAGCCAGCGCGTAGCTCACACTTTTGCCCAGTTCCACATTTTGGCTTAGTCTCGATGATCGCCTCAGGGCCATCTTTCCGTCCATAATGAAGTTACGTGTGGAGGCGTCTATACGTTCGAGTGGGTGTATGCACACACGTATGTACGTACTTGCATGCGTACATGTATGAGAATGTGTTTGCCTTTCAGGAGGGAAAAATGCTTAACGGAAAGCCTTACTGAGGGTGCTCGTTCACACCACTTGGTGATATTGAATAACTGCGCATTGGGGTTCTTTTCGTGGAGTCTGTATCCATACTTGTCGATGTGTTTGCATGAGAAAATTGGCGCCCCCTTAATGGCAGTCACTCTGACAATTATTCGTTGCTTATCTTATCGCTGCCTTTTTATAACCTTTTTTTTCAATTTCCCACTTATATTAAACGATCCCGCACGGTTAGGAAACGGAAAAAATAAGAATAATAAAATGAGCTGAGCGGATAATAAAAAAAAAAAAAAAGTATGCCTAACCTGTGGAAAATAAAAACGAGAAATTATTTCTTTCGTTTTTTTCTCCTTAAAAAAAAAAAGAAAAAAAGCAGCATGCAGTACATAAAATCTTCCCTTTGAATTTTATGCGCACAAAAAAAATTGTGTAAAACGGTAGTGTGAAAATTCACGAACTGGCACATAAAATTTTACTGCGCTGTGAAAAGAGGTTACAAACACAAGCTGATAATGACTACCGTTTAAGTGTGTTAAAACGTTATGGCTTTTTTTTTTTTTTTTTCTTCCACCCTGTTATTAGTGTATCATTATTTATCGTGTAATGCTCACTGCAAATAGCAGAGCTCGGCATGGAACTGATTAACACTTAAAATGGCAGCACACAGTTGAGCTCGGTGAGTTTTTTCCCAAAAGGCGAAAAAAAATGAACTGAAATGTGAAAGCTTATAAGCAAGCACAGTATGAAATAAGCTGCACATTTCTGTTGTCCTAAAGGTAATGTGTACATTTGTCATGCGAACTATTTTATGTTATTTTTTAATTTGTTTTTTTTTCCTTTTCCGTGGATCGCCACATTTATGAGCAAAGGGGGTAGAACAATTTTTCACTTAACGAAGCACTTTAGATCCGAATGGATAACATACACATGTATATATGTGCTCATTTTTTTTTTTTGTTTTTTTTCACTCCAGGAAATCATTATGATACGAAACGCACCTTATCATATCACACTGCTCTTTAATGTGTACATACATTGTTCACTGTAAAGGTTTATTTATTTTGTTTTTACTTCGTGCGCATTGGCATGTGAAAGGTCCTCCACGGACAAGATTCACCGGCGCAATTCGCATGTGCGAAGGGACCCGGTTTTACAAAAAAAAAAAAACCTTCCGTATGCTTCACTCCAAGTGGCGTAATTGCACATACGGCATTTCAGACAAAGGAGCATTTGCCCTACATTGGGGAGCACGTCAAACGATGTTATTAGATTTGGAGCGCGCTTAACTGGGGGGTGAAACACTCTCGTTCGCAGGGTGCATACACGATTGATGTATATATGAGGTGAGGGCACATACAGGAGTGCATACTAGAGCAAACGCTAGAGTGTATGCTGCAACGAACACTGGAGTGCATATTGGAGCACCTGCTCGATGCTGACCCTACACCGCAAAAACAAAAAAAAAAGACATAAGAGAAAAAAAAAAAAAAAATTTAACGTGTATGCTGTAGATGATTCACTTTTTCTCGTCTACTGAAAAAAAAAAAAAATTATTTTATCACACATGCAATAGTATACCATTTTAAAAAAGGCATTTTCCCCCTGCCGCCATGTTAATTTACTTAAAAAGCTTTTAACATTATTATGGTGAGAAACCACCGGGATGATTCAAATAGTGCTTAGCAGCGTTATGGGCACCCTTTCCTCGCGGCATTAACATTTGGCCGTACTGGAAAAAAAAAAAAAAAAAAAAAAAAAAAGGAAGAAATAACATGCAAAAGGGAAGTCTCGAAGAAGCGCTCCATCCGTCCTTCACATTTGTTTTTGTTTTGACACACATTTGTATAAACATGTGAACACGAAAGTGTGTAAACATGCGAAAGTGCAAATGTGCAAAGGCGTAGATACACGAACATACACGTCTGCCACACATATGTCCTCATTCGCGCATCGTTGTTACTGAAACGGATTTGCCTTCCCATTTGGAAACCCCCTTTTGTATCACAAAATGGACAAAAAAAAACGCAGCGGAACATCCTCCACATTCACGGAAGTTCCAAGCTTCAGCAAATCCTACCTGGACCTGAGCAATTACAGCAAAGATAATTACCACAAGCAAAATTCCATTAACAACACAAATGAGGTCTTTGAGTTCTTTACTAGCATAACCAACAACCAGAAGGACATAAGCAAAAAGTATGAGCAGTTATTTTCCTTAATTAAAAAGTTTGGGAAGGAAATTAAATACCTACTAGCCAAAAATGACGAGTACAGTGGTATCCTTATTGACACCAAGGAATGCGTGAAAAGGATAAAGGCCAAACTTAGTGGCGATTCGTGCGAGGAGTTTGAGAGTATAGGTAAAGTGGAGCACAGGTGACAGTCACTTATAAGTGATACAGAGGAGCACAACAAATTAGGAATAACTAACAGCAGATACGCTGCGAAGAAAGAGTCACACGAAGGAGAGAAGTCGAAGCCCAAACCTATGCAACGTAGTAGCGTGGAAATCTTGGCCCAATGCTACTCACACCGTAGAAACGGCCGTGCACTCGTTTAAAACAAGCGGCTCTTCATAGAATAGGCATCTTCACTAGGCAACAAAAAGTTGAACAATCGCTAAGTACCGCGTTTTCGAATATACCTGTGTGTGCAAAGATTTTTTTTTTTTTTGGTGTACTGCCCACACAAACAGCCCAAATGGCGGTCCCCCGTTTCTACCCTGTTTTTCAGAGGAGGAACTGCTGAAAGACAAAAACAACATTGATGTCATAAGCAAAATATTGACCTACCTCTGGGAAGAAATAGGATACTACAACAAAAACTCAAGTGAGTGGAATAAAAAAATTGAGGAATTAAAAAAGTACATCGGAAGCAAAGATGAATTCATAAAACTAGAAAGGAAACTAACCCTAACAAGTGAAGAACTGAAAAAGGAAATGATCGATAATATGAGTTCTCTTAAGGAACAACAAGATTTGAAAATTAAAATTAAGGAAGAGAGAAATATTTACAGAAAGGATATCCAAAATGTGCACGAGAAAATTCTGTATGTCATTTTAAAATTTCTGTTACGAGATAAAAGGTGTAAAACTCAGAAATATTTTTTTCATTTCTGGTTGAATACAACTAGAAGGAAGAAAGAAGCGACGAAGCAAATGATATCACACCTTGGGAAAAAGGTGCAGTGTCTATTATTCTTTTGCTTCAGAAAGTTAAAGAGCAATTCGTTCGAAGGGCATTTAATTGATAAGGTTATGGGCCTGGTTGATTTCCCGCTTCATGGGAACGGTGGCCACGGCAGCTCGCAAAGGGGAGTCCCGAGTAAAGCAGGGCGCGATTACGATTATAACGGCAATACCAATGAGGGCGGCAATCAATACAGCAGCCGTAATCAGTACAGCAGCGGCAATCACGAAAACAGTCGAAATACCTTGTCTAGCATACCGCAGGAGAGAAACAAAAGCAGCGTATTCTCCAACCTAGTGAACAGCGACAAAATCCGAGAAGGGGATAACATGTCTCCCATTACTTATGACCACCTTAATAGTGTATCGCGGAAGCGAAGCGAATCGATGCTTTTTTACAAGAAGGAAAATAGCTCTGTAACGCAAAAAAGTGATGTAGCGACAAATTTGTATGACCAGTCTGGGGATTTCTTATCCGGGAAGAGGGGCACCCAGCGGATAGGAAACGATAGCGAGGATGGCGACAGGGATGGCGGCAACGACGCCCGCAGGGACAGTCGCATCGGCTCGAATGGCTTATACGAAAAGAACGGCTCATATGAAAAGAATGCCTCATACGACAGGAACACCGCTCACGATAGGAACTCCGCTTACCAGAAGAACAGTCTGTGCGTGCCAAACCATGAGGTGCAGGAATACCCCAGCAGGGAGTCGAACCACCACGCTGAAAAGATGTATGATAATTTAGCCCGCCAAATGAATGATAAGGCGGACAAGAAAAGCGTAGAAATGATACATCAAACAATAAAAAAATTGAATAATAAAATTAATGACATCAGGGATACATTGGACAAGAAAAACAAAATAATGACCAATGACGACATGCACAAAAATGTCCCATATGATAAGTCTTCTCAAAATTATAAAAACCACTCAAATAGAAAGCACTCTGATCTGGATTGTAACGTGTCTTTAGCCAACAGTTCGTTAAACTTTCCGTCCGAAAGAACGTTAAGTGAATATTTAATAAATAAGAACAAGTCCAGAAATACAAACACTGATGAGTTGAACCGGGGAAAGGGATTGAGGAAGCAAAGTGAACACTTCCAAAAAATGAGTGAATATAATAACTGCGAAAAGAAATATGATAATCATGCACACAAGAAGAGCTATGAAAATATGGAAAAGTGGAACCTAAATAACGATAAATATTCCAACAGTAATTCTATGGATATGACAAGTGTTGACGATAGTTACCTTTACCAGAGGTACTCCAAAAGCACCGCTCGCAGTGGTTCTCATCTGAAGAGTGATGCCAGCGGTCTCGGTGGTGGTCACGGTAGCAACATAGGAAGCGGCATCGGAGGAGGCCAATACAGCGCCGCGTGCAGCAACAAGGGGGAAAACAAGCGTGGCGGCAGGGGGAACTCAACAGTTGAAGCCAGACTCGAGTCCAGACGAGACTCCAAGCATGATTCCAAACGTGACGACAAAAACGACGGCAGAGAGGCGAAGGGTACGCACAGTACGCACCGCGCGATGAGCAACAGACGGGACTTTATCGAAAATAGCAATGCGAGCTCTTCCCCGTCGGACATTAAGCTTATTCTCAGGACTGGGGGAGGCTTTCGAAAACTAAGTGAGCAATGTCAAAAAAATTATATAGAAAAATTGAACTACCTGAATGATAACAATTTGTTGGGTTACGAAACGAACCTGAACATAAAAATAAAAGGACACCCATTTATACATAATGTGCCCAACGGCCAACAAAAGGAGCATAAAAAGGAAAAAAGACACAGATCGCTTTCTAAGTTTTATAATATGCATTAAAAAAATGAGCTTTTTACAATCACTGCAGATCACTTCAAAGAATGATACGTGAGGAGATACAAATGTATTTTTCCCTCCCCAGGTAGGAGGACAACATTCCAGTCCTTTATCGCCATTCTTCACATTTTAAAAATATTCCACTTTTTTTTTTTTTTGTGTGTATATGCTTTTCTTTTCTTTTTTTTTTTTAATAATTCATTCATTACAGTCTGCATTCCAGAAAACACCACGCGTGTTTATATTAACTTCAAAGTTTCAAAGAAATTTTGTTCATTTTTATATATCCGCTGTTAACTCTGTTTCTATATATATATATATTTTTACTATACTGAATACATACCTATTGTGCATATCGATATGCACATCTTCCCTTTTTGCATAGTTAGCTATTTGCCGCTTTTTTTTTTTTTTTGCTTGAACTCGTCATAAAAAATGCGTAAAAAAATTCACACGCTGTCAGAGTGAAAGCGGTACGACTTTGGTCAACAGGGGAACACCTCTCCGTGACGTTGCTCAAACGTAGGTGTATGTATGTATTATATATATACTTGCCTTTATGTAGGGTGGGCTCTTGTTGTACGCGATCGGAAGTGGTGTTTCTTTTCCCGCAGCGTGCGCTGGGTGCTACTAGGTAAAGATAAATACCGACAAAATTAAGCAAGCATCCAACTGCTGAGCAGCCCCCAATGTTAATGGGTCCAGTTAGTGCGCGCCACTCGCATCACGGTTTAAAATACAGATTTTGTAGCTTTCGATAGGCAGAGCTGCCTACATAAGTGTACATATAGGAACACATGTTTGTGTAAGCTTACCCACTTGGGATGCCCCAATCAAATGACCATGCAACATTTTTCCAACCCCGTTCGAGTAGAATGAACATAGAAAAAAAAAAAAAAAAAAACGGATATATAGATAGTAAACGTAGCATTGCACCCTCTCAGTCCAGTTGCCACCTTCTGTGAGCAAACTTGCTAAAATGAGAAATGAAAGCAAGCACACGGAAAAAACAAATTTCGAAAATGGAAAAATATATGTAATATATGACAAGATTTATGATACACATAGGAAGGAAAACAAGCGTAGGAATTATTACTGCAAAATTGTGAGGTTCCCCAACCCTCAAGTGTTAATAATCAGGGCGTTAAGTGAAGTGTATAATTTGAAAGACAGAGTGGAGTACCTCCCTCGTAGTTACCCCTTCGGCGTACTAAACACACATTGTTATTTCAATGGGAAAAAAAGGAGCGTATACGAGACGCTGCTCCTTATGCATGCCCTGAAAAGCAAAAGGGAGTCAGCAAAGAGCGTGCGTGGCGAATCGCGCGTGAACCCCCGAAACGAAGAAAAAAATTACAAAGGCAACAACGACACCACAACATTGACCAAGGAAGGAAGCGCCAGGAAACCTGAAGACCTCTACTTATTTCACATTTTGAACGAAGTCCACCAAGTGTATGAATATTTTTTTTATGTGTATGGAACATGCTACCAAAAGTACACTCGCCAATTTTTCGTAAACATAAATCTAAAGTACAATTTGGTCAGAGGGTTTATAAAATTACAATACGTGAATGACCACATGTCAAGGAAGTACAAAAATGTATCCCTCGACAGTATGTTGAATAGGCTGATTAAGCTGCTGAATTTATTATCACAGCTTGGGAAGAATTACGAGCGAGTTGAATGCATCGTCTTGTATGTGTATTTCTACACCTTTTTATGTGTACCGATTTGTTTCTACCCATGGGGTTACCCCAATTTCGATCGATTAAGCAGGAAAATACTCAACGACGGAAACGTTAATATGATTATTAACCATGTGCACGCCAATAAAAAGAGCTTATTTTCCCTCCTCCTACATACGACAGAAGAACCAACTGGCTATTTCGAAACTTACGATTTCAACATAGCGATATTGGCGAACGAAGTTGACGGGGGCAGCGACAATTTGCACCCACGCATCGATGACCAAAATTATCCGTGTTACCTCGGCCATAATACTAGCCTGTTCGAAAAGAAGGAAGGGTACATCAACTTGAGTGAATATCGCCTGCTCAAAGACATAGGCTATAATTCGCTGGGACAGCTGTACAAGCCGTACTTCTATCATTTGAAAGTGTTGAGACGAACATTTTTGTTTCACACCAAAATGGAAATCATAATGTTTTTTTTACGCCTGTTGGCCGAACAGGTGATCGAAATGGATCGCCACTACAGAGGGTGTGTGAAGGGGGGGGAGTAGAAGTCGGCCAACAGGGGTTTCACGGCAGATGAAGCACCACCTGTAGCAGCAGCCGCAGGATTCTATGTAAACTTATTACCCCCCACACATACACAAATTTGGACCAAAGCGAGAGCTCCTTTTTACGCCGCATCGGTCGAGCGCGCACCAAATCGGCCGCTTCTGTTGCACAAACTTTATTTGCTCACTCGAATGTTACTTGTACTGTGTGTTCATTTTCCCCCTACCCCGTGCTGTGCACCACGTTTTTTCCTGTGCGCGCCGCTAAAAGGAGAACAGAATATCCCGGATGTATTCGCGGTTCTCCCTGTCGCTCAGTGTCTCGAAATATTTTGTATTCAGGGGGCGCACATTATAACCAAACAGTTGCAAATGTCCAATGACGATTTTGGAATCTCCGAGTTGTGTGATTATTTCGTTTCTCGTGGTATCCTGCGTGAGCATGATAACTTGTCTTTTGTCTCCCCTTATTAAAATGTCCAATACATAAGGGCCATAAATGTCAACAGAAACGTCGTGGTCAATGTCGAACTCATCGAGGATTTGCGAAACGGACGATAGAATTTTGGAGAAGGAAAACATATTTTCCTTTCTTTTTAAAAAGAAAATTTTCAAACATTCCAAGACGCAAAATTTGGGTAAGTCATACTCCATCCATTTGAACTGGATCATATGAGACAACCAGAGCAGGCAAACTTGATTTTTCTTTTTTTCCCAATAAGTACTTTTTCCAATTTTTCTCCAAACGAATGTGAATAAGTACGTATTGACATGATACATATTCGATAGAACTAATGCGTAGGAAGTATTAATTGCTGTTTCTTCGTCGATCTCTTCAATGTAATCTTCCAGATAGTTTACAACTGCTGTGATGCACTGATCGATTGCCTTGTGGGGAAAGTGGAAAAAGGCCAAAGACTCCATTAAAATGGACACCTCCTTTAGGGATAAGGAGCACTCCTTTCTGTTAATATAATGCTGGTGAAAATATGGCTCAAACTTTTCTGCCCCTAAAATTATACACCTTTGGAACAATAAGTTCATCCTTTTGAATGAGTTTAAAATGAGAAAAATATCCTTGTACGAAAATTTTTCAAAATTGTTCTCCATCAGCTTGGACAGGTGGAAAAAAAATCGATCATGTTCTAGTGCAAAAATTCGATGCTTGGAAAACGCATCAGCTATCATACTGAAATTGGTAGGTGTCAGATACTGCGTATAGTAATAAACAACTTTCTCGCTCATTTTAAAAAAGACGGGATTGTACACATAAACGTGTTTGTAAATATCTATGCTTTGGAGGAACAGGTCTAGGTTTAGGAAAATTGGGCAGCAGTAGACGGGTCTCTCTTTTGAGGGGGGGGTTCCCCAACGAGGGGATTCACTGGGGGGCATGCATCCCAAACCATCAGCTAAGCTCGTACCTACTACACTATGTTGTGCGCAGCCCTCCTTATTGTCCTGAAGTGGGGTACCTCCCTGATGTGGTGCGTTTCCTGTTAACTGTACTCCCTCTTCAAATGCCCTCCCCCGGGGGGCGGTTAAAAAGTTCTTTTTCGAAAAATAGTTTTCACTCAAGTTGAGAGATGAAAATATTTCGTCACTCGACAAGGGATAGTTCACATCATACTTATAATTCATGTAGACATAACTTCCTAGCTGTTCATGCACAATTTCCCTCTTTAATTGGATAAAATTATTTAACATGACGGTGTTTATCAGCCTGTTATATATGTCTAGGTTGTAGTACCCAGCCCAAATATACGTGTTAAAGCATTGAAGTAGTAATTGGATAACCGAATGGATTTGCACGATCTTTTGATTACCATTTTCGAACTGTTCTTTAATATACGTGTCGAAATTTTTTAGCGGATTCATAAACGAATTGAAAAGGAGGAAGTGCTTGTAATTTAACTCCTTCAGGGATATCAAAATGTGGCAAATGGACACTACATCAAAGTGCTTTCTATTTTTGTATATATCATCAATGAGCAAGCTAAATCGCTCATCTCGAACTATAATTTCTTCCACTTTTCTGTTTTTCTCAAAAAAATTTTCACTTTCTAGTAACTCCTTGTTTTTTAGGACGTCGAAAATGTGTTGATATCTTTCTATTAAATTTTTTTCAATTTTGTCAAATCCGGACAGATCCTTACTTTTGCACAGATCGGAGTTCCTCCTGCTGAGTAGACGTTCGTCTGATGTACTTGGGAGGCCATCTTCTCGCTTGTGTGACGCGTGTTCTAAGTGGCTTCCTCTCGTCACTAGCCCTGCTCCTTGTTCCCCTCCTTCTGCTGCCCTTACAAATCTGTTTATATACCCTCTAAACGGTATACTAACATCACTTTCGCCTTCGCTTTTCCTTTTCTTCCTCTCCTCAGTAACAAAACCAGCTAACATCCGTATTGCCGTTATCAAGTTCTGTAAGAATAAAGCTCCCCTGTGTGTTATAAGTATGGACAGAATGTCTTCGTACGTCTGGCACTTTAAGATGCTCTTATCCATCTGCATGCATATTTCGTTTACATAGATCATTGAGTTCGTTTCGTCTAAAATTTTTTCAATTGAGTTCATCTCAGCGGGGCCCTCATTTGAGACTTTAAACTCGGTTAGCGATTCTGCGGATTGACTGCACTGCGCAGTTGAGATGATTCTACTTCCCCTACTGGGACATATGCCAACATGGAATGACGGGTCATTTTTACATTTTCCCCTGCTCCGATATCCTACCACCTTCACACTCTGGTGAATTTGCCTTGTTCTTTGATCTGTTCCATGTGCACTGAGGACACTTCTCCTTTTTATGACATATGTGAGGCCCCTTTTTTGCCCCTGTGTGACGAAGTCTTTTCTCCTCCTATGTTGGATCAACTGAAGTAATAATTCTTTTAACATTTAAAGCTACTTTTATTTTTCAAAGAAGATCTCTCTGGCATGGCTAAGCAGGTTACACATGTGTTCCGCTGCGTGGGTGTCAGCGTTAATGCCAGTGCAGACCTGCATACATTCGTGTATGTGACCCCATGTACACGTGACACACTGCCCGAATAACTTCCAAATGTTCTTCCCCCTTTTTGTTCACGCAAAAGTAGCTTTCCTGTGTTTTACAGTTATGCCGGAGGCCTTTCCAAATACTTGTGCATGGGGAAAAATGGGGAGCCTCCTGATGTTGGCGCTTTCTTTCTTTTTTTTTTTTTTTTTTTTTTTTTTTTGCGTACGATTTTGGTGATAGTGTGAAAAAAGAACCTATACTGCTACGAACTCTCGAGGAATAATGAAATTTTTTTTTTCTTTTTTCTCCTGCCCCATTTGTGCCAAGGAAAAGTGAGGCATGTCCTTAAAAATGTTTTAATGAAAGATGTTGTTTTATCTTGGAGAGCAAGCAAACTAATCCGTTCTACCCTTCGCGCGGTGCACATAAGTGCAGGAGGCTCTCCTGCGTGTGTGCGTGGCGTGGAAGAGTCGTTACGCGGGCGGTCGTCGAACGACGGGCAGAAATTAGCGCGCGAGTGGTAAGCTGGCTTTTGTAGCGCACATTTTGGGCGGCCGTTTTTATATTCCTAGTTTGACCCTACAGCTGTTCTTTTTTCAAGTGAACCAGGGAAACACGGCGAGAACCCCCACATTAACGCACTGCTTCCGTACAGCGCAGCTATATGCAACCCTGCTCAAAGCGTTTTGCGGATGCAGCGTTGGTACGAATATTTCTATATGAATTGCTTAGTGGGCAGTAGCGAGGGGGGGATCCACGAATTGGACTCGTGGATGCACACGTAAACTCCAGTAGGCATAGTTATGTACACTGTCACTGCTGCGGTTGCCGCAGTCGCTCTTGCGCGCTGATGTTACTAGTGTGCAAAGAACAGTGATAATGGCTTCGTTCCAACCCCGAGTATCGCTGAGCTTCGTCGCACGATATTTCCGTGCCTTCTCGCCCATCGAGGGGAAACGATACATCACATGCCACTCCTTGCGAAATCAAGGGAGCTTAAAAAGTGTGGATGACGAAGCTTTCAATTTGCTTGCATCGCATTACAAAAATGGGAACTGTCTAAACTTATCCGTAAGTAACAATATCATGCCAAAATATTTACGGGAATATTTTTCACTGGACTTGAATAAAAACCTTTCCTTTGATGTGAACCATTTAAAAATGATTGAAGACAGGGCATTAAGTTTGTTCCACTTGGAGCCAAAATATTGGGGATGTACATTCGGCCTAAACAGCACTGCTGATTACCCCCCCGGAGAACTGGATGATCCCTTCCTTATCACGTTATTTCAAAGTCTTACTAATTACAAAAGTAGAGTAATGAACATAAATTTTGCCCTATCAGAAGAAAGGGAAAAAAGTAACCCTCTTATAGAAAACTACTACGACTGCATGAATGTAAAAATTAACGACAAAATCGATTATGAGGAAATACGTAAAATATATGACGCGTTTAACCCCCATTTGGTATACGTGGACGAAACGAACAACCCTCACAATTTTAATTATGATTTTTTTAGGACCTTGAAAGACATAAACAAATGTGTAGTCGTTACAAATATTAGCAATAAGGGTAGTTTAATTTCGCAGGATTTTATTCCCTCTCCTTTTAACCATTCCGATGTTGTGTATACGTATTTTAACGAAAACATGAGGGCACATAATTGTAATGTTATTTTTTACAAAAGGGGGTTAAAGCAGGTGGACACGAAGGGGAAATTAATTCATTATGAGTATGAAAAAAAACTGAAAAATCATTTCCTGCCCATTCGGGTAAATAACACAATTTTTTCCTTTCTGACGTCGTTCAGAATGATGAAAAATTGCGAATTTAAGGAGTACGTAATTCAGTCCAGAGAAAACACACGTGCACTTTTGTCTCACTTGAATAAAGATTTGTTTAACATACAATATGCACAAAATAGTAACTTCCTAAATTTAAATTGTACAAATTACCATTGTAATGTGTATGAATTTCACGAATTTTGCAAAGAATTAAACATTTTTTTTGACATTCTTAATCCGTTTAAGTATACCCAGAAATCTTTTAATGTTGGAACAAATTTTTTGACGAGCATGGGTCTCCTGGAGAATGACATGAAGACTGTAGCGGAGTTGTTAAACCGCACGCTTTCTCTATATGTTTGTGCAAAGCGGCAAAATAATTGCGCCAGCAACGAATTTGTGCAATTTTTAAAACACACTTTTGTTAAGTCTCCCAATATGTTGTCCCTTTCGAACGACATTTTTTGTTTCATATCTTCTTTCCCCGATGTACACATTTGACTGGTTTGCTCACCTATTGCGTGGTTTTTTTTTTTTTTTGTAACTTATTTTTGCAAATGTGATTTGCAGCACGGGTTATTTCGAACCATTCGTAGGGTGCCTCCTGTTTACTTCTGTGTAATAAGAATGGGTAAGAGTTGCATAGGAATGTTACATACAGCCACGTGCGGCGTGTGTGCGAAGTGCACTCCAGACCATTCCAATACTTATTCGTTGTTTTCCTCATTTCGCCATTTTTCACAAAAAAAAAAAAAAAAAAAAAAAGAAAATTAAAGTCAAAACGAAAATAGATGTCAAAATGAAAAATAAATCCTCAAGGTGGACATAGAACTTACCTAGTGGACAAAAATGAAACACCTAAACGGGTGCCCATATGACGGGACCCGGAAAAATAAATGACACCAGACGTGGACAGAAAAAATAATCCGCCTTAATCATGTGGCATACGCTCTGAAATGTACTTGAGTCATTTCTAAAACTTTTTCATATGACAAAATGGGGTGGTGCAACGTTCGTTCCATTGTATGTCTTCGTCACTAAAAAGGTGTGCACTCGAACGAAAACGAGCTTTCAGATACGAGTGCGCAAAGAAATACACACAAATATGTGAACTCATTCACAGGTGAGCACACGCCTGGGCTGTTCTCCGCGCATACTGAATGGTATCGAGGTGAAGACCCAAATTTTGAGCGTCGATCCATTTGGTAAAGCTGGCCAAGAGGCAAAAACATGCACTGGTGATGATTCATTAAAGAAGAAAGGAGGAACGGTTGCGTGACGACAAGAGGTACCCACACAAATAGCACCTACGCAAGCAGCCGTGAAGAAACACGTCTCGCTTAAAAGAATTCGAAAGAGACAAAACTAAAAAGGCAACTCTTTTGTTACTTGAAAAAAATAAAAAAATAACATTTTCGTTGACATGCGAATGGTATTCACTACAAATTTAAAAGAACATGCTTCTGAGTCCCCTTTCTAGTAGAATCATCTTTTAGCCTCCAACAAACAAAAAAAAAAAAAAAAAAAAAATATGCAAAGCCAGAGAAGCTGGTAAATGTGTGCCAAATGAATTATTAAAAATGAAGGGAATGTTTGAGTAACGTGTCAGAGCAAAAGTTCTGCCTCCTTTTTTTCTCTCCACTCGATTGCCTTTTGTCTAGCTAGTTGAACCGACTTATACTCTGAAGGGAAAAGGCGGGGGAGGATCGCACGTGTGCGTATAGACATGTGCGAAGGAGTGGGAGCGCATAGCCGCTTGGAGCGCACACGAGGTGAATCCAAATCTGCTGGAAGCGCGCATCGTTACGCTTAAGAATGAAGCAGAGGTGAAGGAGCGAAGAAGCCTTAAACGGGATACATTCATACAGATACGCACACACATATGTACACGCATATGTGTACAGTTCGTCACTCTGTGCAGTTGGCATCCTTGCTGCTTGCACCTCCAGCTGTGTGCCTGTAGCTATGCTCATCTGTCCTCGCCGTCCCTCCTTCTTTACCATTGACTGAAAATCCCTTTGTCTGAATCTTTCCGTTTTCCTTCCAGTTCGCCCTCCAGAGTTTCCTGGACTTGTCATAATAAACCCCCTTCCGGGCTTCAAATGATGCAACAACCCCGTCTATCTCGAGGTCGTAGTACCCTGTTCTCTTTTTCGGTTTGTGGTTTACGGGAGTATTTAAACTTTTCACTGTTTGATTTTCTTTCCTCTTTGCGGACATGTCTTTGACCTTCTTCGACGTATCCTTCGGTGAAGATGAAGCCACATTGGGGCAGGCTGCACCACTTGGTGTGGCAATCACGCTTGGTGAAAGCACCCCATTTGGTGGTCCCCCCCCGTTTGGCGTGACCGCTCCATTTTTTGCTTCCTCCAAATCGCACAAATCAAAGATGTAGGTGGGTATCTCCATCGCCTGGATGATATACGACTTATGTTTCTGATTTTCCAAAATGTCCAAGGAATTTAAAAACTTCTTAATGTCCATAGACTTGTTAAAGTTTTTCCTATACCACGGTTGGATAAATTCATTCATATTAACACAAATGTCTGGGCTCTTTTCAAATGAACAGGAGCATGGGTAATTATTTAGGCACTCCTGTGTAAATATGAATGGCTTGTAATTAGGCTCGTGTACCTTCCTTAGTTCGTCTAGCTCGTCTATAATCATTTTTAGCATAAAAAAATCCAAGTGCTTAACAGTTTCGATATTTAAAGACCGAAATATCAGGATGTATATTTTTAACTCTTCAATACATATGGTCATAATTTTTTTCCAATGAAAAAAAAAGTTCGCTTCGTACTCTCCCCAGATGGGTATCTTTTTCCTTATTTCTAGTAACAAATCGTAGCAATTAATTTGGTGATGTAAAAACAATTCCATGTGTACCTTTTTTCTCGTCAGGATGTTCAATTCTATATATTTTATTAACTCCTTTTTGTAGTTTTCTATAACATTGGTTGTGGATTTCTTATCTTTTTTTTCTTCTCCTACTATATGCTTTCCATTTCCGTAGTCGTCTTGCTCCTTGATTTTTTTCACTGTATTTTTTTCTTGTTCATCTTCTTTTATGCTTCCCCATTGTATAGGATCGCAGGGTTGGATTTCCTCACTTCTGCTTCGGCATACATTCTGCTGTCTATCTCCTCCTCCTTTGGGCAGCCCTTTACAGTAAGCATTCTCCCTTGCAGTTTGCAAATGACCATTATGGAGAAAGGAGTTCTTTCCTATGCCCTGCCTGTCAACAACTTCCTCTCTCTCCTTTTCATTATCTTCGTCAGAAGGTTTCGATTTATTCTTCACATAATGGTTCAGAGTAGATTCATTGCAAAATGGGTAACTAAAATCGGTGGTCGCATTTGTGGTGGCATTAGTTGTCGCATTTGTAGCAGTCACCCCGTGGCCATTTGGTATCCTACTGGCTCTATCAACGTCATACACATTCTCTGTCACAGGGGTCTTAAGTTTGTAATGTTTGTCGTGCTCCACCTTTTCAACATTAATTATTTTGTTACCATGGGTCTCCTTCAAATTTTCGCTATCATCAAGTGTCATTGTATCCCACAGATGATGTGTATTAATTGTTTGCTCATCTAGTATTATTGACGTTTCATATTGTATATCATCGCTTACTCCATTTCTGCAATGAATCATGTAACTGTTTTCATTCTCATAAAAATTTGATTTGTCTCCTTTGTATTTATGGACCGAGTTAGTTTTTCTGCACTTTTTTTTATGCGTATGTCCAAGGTCCTGTGTGTCTCCCCCAGCCTCATCCACGCACTTGCTAACTTCGTTATCGGTGATGGGGTTGCCTCCGTTGCTAGCTGTACTTTGGTTGCCATTTTGGCTTCCACTTTGACTGCCACTCCTGGTGCAACCAAAGGTGTCATTCGTATGCCCCCCTTTCTGTTTGTCCCAACCTCCAGTGTTACACACCGTACTTTCATTGTTCTGCAATAATGAATCCCCACTTGACATGTTACAACCTTGGCTAATTTGTCCCTCGTGCAATAGGTTTCATATATGATAGACCTTTATGGCGGTCTAACCCCTTCGTTTTTTGTTTTTTTTTTTTTGGGAAGATCTGTCTTTTGTTCCCCCTCCGCTTTATACAACTGGTTGGGACTTATAGATCAAATTTGTTTTATTAAATCGAACCCCGTTTTTTTTTTTTTTTTTTTTTTTTCTGTTCTGTTTACACCTAGTACACAGCAATCCATACATATATTGTATTATTCAACCTAACAGTTACAAATGATGTCTGCCTTCGTCAATATGCGTGCATACCCCTGCTTATGCATGTGAATGTATGTTTATATGCACTTGATGACGTAGATGGGAAACTGGGAGGAAGTGTTCCCTTTTTTGTTTTTGTCAATTCGGAAGGTCCCAAATGTATTGTGGTATGGATTTCCTTGACGACGTGCTGGTGATTAAAAAAAGGCATCATGGCACAAGCGTGAAGACGCGTATGCGTACAATTATGCGGCTGTATCTACGCGGACACGCATCAGTGCAACCATTCAACCAATATAGCACACAAATGTTGAAAGATTGAATTCGTTAAAGCTAAATAACAAGGACATTGTGCAAATGTTAAAAAGGAAGCGGAACGGAAGTTTAATTGATGAAATTCAAACTGCATACACAAACGGGAAGTTAAAAAGAAAAATGGGCAGAACAAAACGAAAAGTAAATAGAGCAAAAGGCCAAATGAGCAGGGGAAAAAGGAAAATGGGTAAAGTATAAAGAAATATTTAAAACCGAAAAAATGTCTTTAATGCAGAGAGGGCGCACAACCTCGTTTGTCAGATAAAGTCGCGCAGGGGGGCACCTGGGCAGATGATTGATCAACTGGTTGCAACTCTTCTGGCTGCACCTTAACACATGGTTGCACAAATGCAAATTATTAAAGAAATAAAATTATGGCCTCATTTTTACGTATGCACAGGAAAACTGATTTATGTGCGCGTGTGTATTGGTGTGTGTGAAAGTGTGTGTACGCCCGTAGGTATCCTTGAAGATGATGCAATGTGGGCAATAACCAGATCGAAAATAAAATAGTAATGAACGAAATCAAACAAAAAGTAAAACACAACGAATGGAGCAAAAAACAAATGAACATAAATACATCTGCACTGTTTTAGCAATGTCGATTTTTTTTTTTTTTTTGTTTAATTTTTCCCCATCCACCAGAAGAGCATCAAACTACTCGTTGTAAAACTATCCGTTTTGTGTATTGAGCGTTTAAACAGCTTCTCTTAAATACTGAGCAACGGTTGCAATGGTGACGACAGAGCGTTAGGGTTGCACGCTTTGTGGCATGAATACCCCTGTTAAAACTAACACAAAGCCATATTTAAAAAAAATGCATAAATAAACCAGTTCTGCAAAAATTTACTCGGTAAGCATATAAAACGTTGCTTGTAAAAAGAAGGAAAAAATCCCTCTTCAAACATAATGTGTGGCTCATTTAATTAAAATTTGTGTTATATGCTATTGCCTCTTGAGTTGTCTGATTAAGGATTAATTTGTAATGCGTTGTCATGTGTGCTTTTTTTTTTTTTTTTTTTTTTTTTTTTTTTTTTTTTTTTTTTTTTTTTTTTAAATTCTGTGCAAAAAAGTTGAATAGTGCATATATGCCAGTTGTCCCTAAAATGTAGTATGTGACAGAAAGAAAAAAAAAATAAATAAATAAATAAATAAAGGGGGAAAAAATGCTGCCAAATAATTTAAACCAAAAAAAAAAATGATTATCCTATGAGTCTGTTGCAAATGTGCAGTGGGATTTTACAGCCTGGGTGGCAGCAGTGTAGGTCCAGGGGGTGAATCCACGAACGGGCCAATTGGTAAGTGGGGAAAGAAATGAGCAAAGGAGGGGGCAACAAAGGAGCAAATAAACGGGAAAAAACTGAGCAAAATAAAGGATCAAACAAACGATGAAACAAATGCAAAATAAAACTCGTAAACAAACGAATGTATATGTGATGCCGTGCAATTTGGTCACAAAACTCATTTCGAAAATTCGACTTTTGTTTTAATTTTACTCTTTTTGTACATTTACCGTGCACGACAGCTCAAATAGCAGTAACAGAAAAAAAAAAAAATGGCATACACACGAAAACGCATGATGATGTGTTCCATTGCTGCTCATTTTTT